TACTGCCACCTACTATCCATATTTTCTATGCTTTGTATGAGCAGCTGGATGATGGTTCTTGGCCAAGTCTTTCGCTGACGGCAAAGGGTGAAGGGAGGGCTGCGCGGGTCACGGCTCGTCTTCGGGAAGCGTTGCACCATCACACTTTAGCATTCAGAGCGCCTCGATCCGATTCAACCCGACCCGACCCGTCTCGCTCCGCTCCGCAACGCATCGCACCACATCCGCACAAGGGCGGGATGTTCAACAAGGCTGGATGAAGAGGCCAGCTGGCTGTCCGTGGATGACGATTGCACGTCTCGTCGACAAGGGCGAATGGATGGAAGAGTGAGTGAATGGGATGGACAAACACGAAGAGAGGGGCCAGTGCGAATGGCCGAAAAAGGAAGAAGAAAGAAAGAAGAGAGGAAGACGAACGAAGCGGACGAGACAGGATGGATGGTGGTTGTGACATGGAAGCAGCGAAGAGGGATGGGGGGCAAGGAGCACAAACAACACAGAACGACCAACGACCTCAGACGGCGTTAGTGGCCGAGGACGACGCGTTGCTGAGGAAGCTCTTCAGGTCCTTGATCTTGCTGCTGGCAATCGTCTGGCCGGGCTGGGTGCGCGGCTCGACGACCAGGCTGCGCTCGTAGAGCGCCTCGTCGTCCATGACGGGCACGTCGACAATGAGCTTCTCGACGGCCGGGTTGGGCTTGATGACGCGGTCGTACTGCTGGCAGCGCACAATGGCCATGACGGCCTCGTCCATCAGGCTAAACTTGCGCCAGTGCACCAATCCGTCGCTCCGCTTCGACGGGTTGCCGTCTGAGATCGACAGGATGTCCTGCAGGTGCACGCCCACGTACGGGATCGTGGCGCCCTCGGAGTTGTCGAGCGCCAGCCGGTAGGCGGCGTTGGAGCGCTCCGACGACATGAGGCGCACCAGGCTCTGGTGCACCTTGTTGACCGGCTTGCCCTTGAGCAGCTCGCGCGTGTGCTTGAGCCGGTGCACCGCCGTCTTGCTCAGCCCGCCCAGCACGCTGTTGAGCGAGCCGTAGTTGTTGTCGTGCCGCAGGATCGAGGCAATGTTGTAGAACTTTTCCAGCAGCCGCGCCCGGTGCTTGGCCTTGCCCTGCGCCAGGATCATCGAGCAGACCCACGCCGAGATGTAGTTGAAGTGCGCAATCGAGCGCGCCACGGGCCCGTCGCGCAGCTCGCGGGGCACCAGGATGTGGCGCAACAGGTCGCGCGGCCGGATCGCCGTAAACAGCCGCCACTCGAGCCGCGTCAGCTCGGCCGCAATCACCTCGTCGTCGACCTCCATCAGCGTGTTGGAGATGGCCCGCAGCGCCGCCTTCTGGTCCAACGGGCGCAGCGCCGCCTCGGCGCTCAGGTAGCTCGCGCTCGGGCTAGCCGGCGACGCGAGGCCGCTGCCCGGCGCATTGACCGTGCCGCCGCTGCCGCTCGCGCTGAGGCTGCTGTTGGCGTTGGCCGCCGCCGAAAATGCGCGCAGATTGGCGGCCGCGCCTTCATTGGACGATGTCGTCACGTCCGACGCGCTCCGGTTGCGGCCGTCCAGGAACGGATCGAGGGGGGTGGGCAGCAGGCTGGTCTCTGACCCACCCCGGCCCAGGTTGACGTCGGAAAGGCTGCGAACGGGCGAGCTGGCGTCGTCGTGCGCGCCGGGAGCCAGTCCCTGCGCCGTCGTCGCGGGAATACTGCTGGAGCTGACGCTCGCCCCAGAGGCTGGCGTAGACGGCTTGAGCAGATCACTCTCGCTGCCGCCGCCGCCGCCGCCGCCGCTTGCCGAAGCAGCAATGCTATCAGCAGAGACAGCAGCCACCGCATCGTCGCCGTTTCCGGACGCCTCGGAGACGGCCGGCGCGGTGGGAGCGCCCTCGACCGCCTTGCTCCATACCGCGTCGATGTCCGGAGCCTGTGCGGCGGCCTCGACCGCGTAGCGAATCAGGCTGGCGGTGTGGGTCGTTGACGGGTGTTGCTGGAGGCGGGCGTAGAAGCTAGTGAGGAGCGCATACGTCTCCGGGTGCGATAGGTCGCCCGGATAGCTCTGCACCCACTCGCCCAGCATGTTGGTGAGCCGGATCAGCGCGAAGCGGTTCATCACCAGCTCGCTGCTCTCGCCCGTCGCCAGCGCCTCGAACCGCGCCTCCATCTGCCGCAGCAGGTCAATGGGCCTCGCGAAGCCGCGGTAGAAGACCATGAACATGTCGCGGAAGCGCTCGTCTGGACGAGGACGAGACGGGGACGGTGCAGGAGGATGAGAGAAGGGTGAGGGAAATGATGAGCAGGCGAGTCATTATCGGGACTCGTCTCTTTTGCGCCACCACTCACCGTTGCCAGATACGGCCGCGTGGAAGAGCTTGTCCCACAGTTCCTCGATCGTAACGTAGCCGCCGGCGGACCTGGCGTTCTGCAAGCCGATCCTCGCCTTGGCCAGGCTCTCCTGCAGAGCCAGGTCGTCCTCCTGACTCCCCGTGTACGAGGGCGCGTCCGAGAGGTTCGACGACACGGTCGCGTTGCTCATCTTGCGCGGCGTGTTTCTCCATTCGGCCAGGCTGACCGACGAAGCGTTGTGGCCCGAGGCCGAAGAGGAGCCCTCGAACGACGACTGCTCCATGCTGACGTCGAGCGAACCGAGCCGGCTCGGGGACGGGTCGAGGTACGAGCTGGCACCGCTGGCGGCACTATCGCCCCGAGCGCGCGACGACAGCGTCAGGGAGCTGCGATGGGGAGAAGCGCCCGAGTCGTCCGGCTGATTGCGCAACGCCTCCTGGTCCAGTGGCATGGGCTGACCGTCCAAAGAGGCACGTGATGGGGACGCCTGTTGCTGCGACGGGCGCGCCTGGCCGTGCGACGGCGGCACGGTCGAAGCCACCGGGCGCCTACCCTTGCCCGTCCTCGCCTTGGCCACCTCCTTGACCAGGTACGAGAAGCAGTCCCGCATCCGCTTCTTGCCCTCCTCGCTCTCGACGGTGCATTCGGCCAGCCCCACGTTGTAGACGCTCGCCATGTCGCTGGCGTAGTACGGGTCCACTGCCTTCGGGTGCACCTCGGACTTGCAGGCCAGCATAACGGTGCTGAGGTTGCTCAGGGCAAAATTTTCTGCAGCGGCGGAAGTGGTCAGAGACACGGGGGAAGGGGGGCGGCGCGCGAGGGGCCGTGTTTAGCCTGGAAGCGCCATACATCGCAAACGACCCGTCGGGCGAAAAGGGGCGCTCGATGCTCACCGAGCAGCTCGGACATGCCGCGGAACGAGGAAATCTGGGCTGCATCGTAGCAGAGGATGACGGCGTCGATGTGCGGGAGGAACTTGGGCCATGCGAAGCGTTTTCCCGGTCCGTTGAGGAGCACCGAAGCATCAATCTCCAGCACTTCGATCGTACGTTGCTCCTGGTCGACCACGCAGGCCGTCGAGTGCGATGTGACTGCGCGGCGGCAGCATCGTTTCAGCAGATGGAGGTGCGAGAGCAGCATTGTCAGCCTGTCAGTCCGTCCGTCAAAGTGCACGCCATGCCGAACGACGCGCGCGGCAGCTGCCGTGCCATGGTAGCCCAGCCCACTCACCCTTTTCCGACAGCACGTGCGGCTTGGACAGTCCAAATTGCCTCAGCCCCTTCTTGATGACGGTCGATTTGCCCGCCTGGCTGTGGCCGACGACGGCGATAACGAAGCTGGCGTGCGACTTGGGTTGCGACTTGACTTGCTGAAGCAGGCTCGCGCTGCTACCGCTCCGGCTGCGACCACCGATACTGGGCCGACGGTCGCTCGCAGCATCGTCGGCACCACCATTGGCAGCCTCTCCGCGCTCGGAGGCGGTGCGATGAGATGAAGACGGTGCATCGTGCCGGTCATCAAGCGGGGCAGTCGAGGCGTTGGCTGCTTCGTGGCGTCTCGCGGCTGCCGAACCGGCCGCCAAGCTGGCAGGGGAGCTCGAGGAGGCCGCAAACTGCACGTTGAGCCGCTCCAGGGGTGAGTTGATCGTCGGCGCGCGACGCTCGGCCAGGTCCAGACCCGGCACGATCTCGTTGCAGAGCAGCGAGCGCGGTCTCGACTTGCTCGTTACGAGCATGCGGCCAGACGCGTTGTAGGTACCGTGGCCAGAGCTCGCTGGAACCGCGCCCACCGTGAAGCCTCGCGGGCGGCCTCGGATCGTGCCGCTGGGACCGAGCGTCGTCGACGCCTGCGGTGTGGGCACAGGGTCGCTCGGCACCGAGGGTGCGGCCATCGATGACATCGAGCGGCCCATCTGCGCCAACGTCGGTGGCAGACCAGATGGCCGGCCGACTGGAATCGATGCCGGGGTGGCGCCTGCCACGCCAAGACCGCCATCGATGGTCGTCAACGGAGCCGTCGCCGGTGCGGGCCGCTCTCTCGAAACAGAGGCATCTGCCCCCGCGAGCGCGCCCTGCCCAAGGCTGAAGCTGCGATTCCGACCGTTGGCGTCATCGAGGCCAGTGCGTACGCCGACGCTGGGGTGTACGGCCGCGGTGTAGCCGCGCATGCGGCTGCTGCTGCGTCCCGGCGGATTCGCGCCAGGCGGTGGCGGGGGCAGCGGCGAGTTGGGCGTCGGCCGTGGTGGAGGGAGGGCCGCGCCCGTGCGATGCGACCGCAATGGGGTCGCGACGACGGGCCCGCCGACAGCGTGGAACGACTGCGAGGTGGTTGGGCTCATGGCGGACGGTCCAAACGAATGGCTGGCCGGAGAGACGGGCGAGCTGCTGGGTGCCGAGCTGGTCGAGGCCCCGCTGGCGCTCGAAATGGCCAGCCAGCGTTGGTGCGATGCTGCCAGGTCGGCGGACGTCGAAGAGCTCGACCTAGAGCTCGACGCCGTCAGGTCCACCCTCGAAGGCGTCTGATCGACAGCGGAGGGCTTGGCGCGCTCCTGCTGCTGCATCGCGTCCTGCCGCAGCGTGCTGGTCGATGTCGGCTCATGCAGCGTCGGGCTTCCCAAGCTCAGCCAAGGTGCATCGAGCTGATCAGACTCCTCGGCGAGGGAGAGCGAGCGCTCCTTGTCCCGCTTCGACGACCTGGTCCCACCGTGCCCGCCGCCGCCGCCGCCGCTGCCGTGGGTCGAGCTACGAGGCAGGAAGGAGGCTTCCGGAGGGATCTTGGTCGGTGAGGATCCGGACAGCTCGGCATCGTAGAAGGTGTCGACGAGACTGCGAGGGCTGCTCAGGCCAGATTGAGCGAGGTCTTGGTCATGCTCGGTCTCATGATCAAAGTCGCGAGAGCTCGAGGAGGACCCGGAGTCGATCCAGATCTGTCGGCCGTGGCCAGGCCGCTCATGCCGCTGCGGCACCCGCTGCTGCTGTTGCGTCGAAGAGACGCTGCTCGAGGCAGAGTGGGTGGAGCGCGGCGGGCGGGCCAGCTTAGCCTGGGCTCCGAAGGCCTCGTCCCGTCCCAGCATGGCCGCCACCGCCGTCGAAGTCACCGGCGAGCCGCCGTGGCTATAGCCACCTGCGGCGGCTTCGCCAGCCTGCACGCTGCCGGACCGCCGCTTGCTCCGCCGCTTGAGCTGTTCGCGCAGCGTCTTCTTCATCCGCCTTGACTTTTCCGCGTCTCGGTAGGCAAGGTAGGCCGCCTCGTCGCCGAAATCGGTGCGGCTCAGCTGCCGCCGCTCCTCGCGCGGCTCGTCGTCGGCGGCAAGGTAGGACCGCGTCGCGCTGCGCGGCCTCGTGCTGAAGGTCTTGTCCGAGTCGGCACCGAGGTCGTAGGACAACGACCGTCGTGGAATGATGGGCTCGAAGCCAGCGCCGCCACGCCCGCCACCGTGACCGGTCGAAGAGGCGGCGCTGTCGGCCGATGCGCTCGCAACCATCCCAGAGCTTCCCGGGAGCCGATGCACTGCATCCGAGCCAGAAGCACTCGAGGCTGTGCCCGCGTCGATGCTGACGGTCGCCTTGGGCTCATCCGCACCTCCCATGGCCTCGGCGGAGGCGATGATCGGAGAGTGTGGCCCGCTCTTGGTCCCCGGATCCTCTTGGGCCAGTCCGGAAGCGGTATCGGACGGCTCGATGACCATGGGCACGATCAATGCGGGTGGCACGGCCGCTGCTGGTAGCGCCGGCGTTGCTGCGTCATCGGACCGGTTCAGGCCCTGTTCGGTGGCTGCAGCGGTCTCAGACGGAGCGGCATCTGGCGGGTTGGCCGCTCCTCCTTTGCTCCAGGAACGTGACCGGGTCGGGCTGGCGAATTCCGCAGCCGCGGCTGGGCCTGCCTCTTTGGCAGGCTGATCGGCAGCGGCGGGCGTGTGGGCTGCAGAGACGCGGACTCGCCTCAAAGGCTTTGGCGTCTCGGAGGGGCCAGCTGGGGCGGCGCCGCCCGCCGACGAGGCCGAGTACTGCTGGATGAGCCTCTGCACGCCGACAAAGGAGCCGGCCCCTTGCGAGCGAGGTAGGGTCTTTGCACTGCCTGCAGCTGCCTGCAATGGCGGTGGGGCGGCGGACGGGCGAGACGATTGTGTATCTGAGGCAGCAGCGGCTGCACCGTCCTTTGCGGGCCGCTCCCAGAACGCCGCCAGGGACGGCCTCTTTCGCTCGCCTCGATCAAGCGGCTCCTCCATGGTGTTGCTTGACGAGCCCCGATGCGGGCCGGTAGAGGAGCGGCGGTCTCAGGTGCGCGGAGCCCTGTTCGGAGCGAGCGACAGTCGTTGCAATGCGCCGCCGTTGGAGCGTCGAAAGAGTCCGCCAGCCGCGATTGGCGCTCTGAAAGGTTTCGCTTTCGATCGCGATCGCAGATCGGATGCAGAGAGCGCAAAGAAGTAGGTCACGACGTCCGGGCTCGCAGTGAGGGGCGGGGCGAGAGCAGGCGTGACAAGGAGGTGCGTTGCGTGGGGCGAGTATCAATGGCCGGCTTGGGTGGTCATCGTCGGCGAGCAAGTCTGGCGATGCGGTGGAAGGATAGGAGCGAGCGGCGCTACTGCGCTGGCGAGTGCAAGGCTGTCTGGACGAGGGCGGCAACGATTGCACGAAGGCGGCAAGAATTGCGTCGATACCTCTCGAGAGCAAGGATCCTGGACGCAGCTGATGGACGAGAAGAGCGAGGCGCAGCCTGCAGAAGGCGACAAAGTTCGTGATCAAGCGGCCAGGCGGAGCGGTCGCACCAAGTCGGCAGAGGAGTGTCTTGGAATGCAGGAGGTCGGAAAAGGCGGGGAGGGTCGGGGAGCACCGGAGGGTTGGCAGACGAGCAGCAAGCAGCAGCGCGTCACAGAGTGGTGTTGTAGACTGAGCAGGGGAAGACTGGCAAGACGACGCAGCAGAGAAAGAACGGGCGGTCGGCGCCAGAGTGGTCGAGGGTCTCGGTGCGGTGTAGGTTCGGCGGTGTAGGGGCGGCAGGGTGGTAGTATGTAGAGTAGAGTATTGCTCCGTGTCCGCAGCGCCGCTGTTCGGCAGTGTGGTTGAAAGGCGCAAGAACGAGACAGAGAGGATGAGAGCGAGAGGGTGAGCGAGGAGGAGAGCGAGGATGAGAGCGAGGACGAGGATCAAGCAAGATGAGATGACAGCTAGGTGGCCACCAGAGACAGAGAGCGAGCGGGCCAGGCTAGGCCAGCGCCCAGCCTAAGGCCTAGCCTAGCCTCCTCGGCGGCGGGCGGGCGTGGGCGGCTGCAGGCCAGAAACACACACACGCACACCGGCGCCGCTGGCCTAGCCTAGCCTAGCCTAGCCTGGCCTGGCCTGCCCGCCCCTCGAACGCGCGCCTCTTCTCTGGCCCGCCTGGAGGCGGCGGCGCAAGGGGCCCGTGGTCCGCGCTCTCCCAAGCGAGAAAAAGCAAAAGAGAGCACAGCGCAGCGCAACACAGCACAGCACAGCACAGCACAGCACACCGACCGCACCGCTTCAGCTCGCCGGTCACCAAGCAGCACATACAGAGGCCAGGCAGGGGGTGCGGGAGAGGGATATGAGAGGGGGAGAGAGAGAGATCTCGAGAGAGAGAGGCTCGAGCGCAACCAGCGCCAGGCACGCCTCGACGTCGGCTTGCCCCTGGACGGGCCTGGCCTGCCCTACCTGTGGTCTGCCTGGAGGCTTCACCTCGCCTCGGCCCCATCCCGTCACCGCTGCTCTCTCTGTTGCAGGCCGCGGCCGCCGCCACCGACCGTCTGGTCCTCCGCGTTCCCCTAACAGCCAGGCCAGGCCTCTTGCTTCTTGCTCGTGGACCCCTCCTCGGGCGCCCGCTCACGGTCAGAACGTACAGCGACGCCACACACACACTCTACCACTTGCTCCCAGAATTACTCTGCGACCGTGCCTCGTCGTTGCTGCTCAATGTCGTTGGCCCGTCGTGCCGGCCCGTGGTACCGTAGCCTGCCTGGCCAGGTCGGGCCGCCCTCGATCCAACAAAGAGGCAGAGCAGTCGCGAGGCAAGCTCTCGTGTCAACGCCCGGCATCGTCCTTGGCTGCTCGACAAAGGGTCCAGCAGATTGCGCAGTCGACGTTGCACGGCACCTTCGCCGTGGCACGGGCGAAGGGATGTATACGCCACCGACTGGATCCAAAGGCCTTTCGAGACGTCGGTAGGGGGTAGCGCTCACGACACCAGGTAACGTTGCCAGCCGGACCCCACGTCCGCGCGCCCGTGCCCCACCGAGGGTAATGGCCGAAGCTCGCCGGCATGCTGATCCCTCGTCGGGCGAATGATCGAGTAGATTGAGAGGGATGCGGGCCTCGTTCGCCGCTCTTCTTCCTTGCGAGCCTGCCTTGCCTGCCATATGCTTTCGCCCCCACCCATCCCTGAGCCGTCGAGGCCGACGGCAGAGAGCAGCCACCCGACCACCCACACTTTGCTAACTACTTACCGCGCAGCTTGTAGCCTGGGCGGGCGGGTGATCGATGCTGGCTGGTCCCGAGAATGGTTCGCCGAAAGGCCCCGCCACCGTGCGCCGGGCGTCGAACAATGCTGCTGGTGCCCCCCACGGGCCTACGTAGTGTTGCTGGCATCGACACAAGGCAACGCAACGCAACGTAACAGCGGGGCCGCGCCGTGTCTCTACCCACCTGCGCTGTCGATCCAAGTACTTACCTGTCTCGTCCGCCCTGGCTCGGGCCGGAAACGATATCCCGAAGGGCGCTCCTATGCCACCCGGTCGCTGGCTGGAAGAGTCCGGAGAGCGCGTCCCGTCGTCGCGGGTGGTGGGTGGCGAGTCAGACGATGCCCGCGCTACCGCCTTCCTCCGCCAACGTCCAGGCCTGGCAAGGCTCCTCTGGCTCTAAGATCGTTTTCGCGGATCACAAAGGGCGACTTTGGCCCTCGGGGTGCGGCCGTCGACCATCCTCCGCCGAGCTGGACTTCGCAGCCACACAGGCTCGTTCGCACTTGATTGAGCACGATGCAGCCTGACCTTGCCGTCGCCAGAGAGGCTCAGCTTCCTAGCCTCGCCATCCACTACCCGTTTCGGTGTGGCGTTCTCTCTTTGCCTCGTCGTCCAGACCGAGTTCGCCAGGGCTACCTGCTGTCGTTTGCCGGTGTCGGCGCCAGACGGTCGGATCCCGGGCCGACTCTTCTTCACGGTGTGTCGACCACTCCTTCTTGCTGCCAGCTCGGGCTGCCGGCCGGTCTCCGGAGCCCATAAAGACGAGCGGCTACTTTTTCCTTCTTCGACGGGCCTAGCCTGGCCTCCTCGTTTTGCATAAACGGTGGCGCTGGTGCCACGTCCAAACACGCACGCGTATGTACGTACGACGTTTGGGGCCGCCTCCGCACCTTTCCACCAAGCAAGCACGGTACAATACGCACGGTGCACACCACCTGCGCATCGACTGCGCGCCTGCGACACTAGAAAGGTTGCGCACGCTCTCACGCGTGGTGCTCAGCAAGAGTAGTCCGGCCCCGTGTCGCCGCCGTTTCATGGCAGGCTAGCAGGTTATCCCTCCGGCCTCCAGGTTGTGGCGACCCGAGGTGCGGGAAGCGCTCGGCGTGGCGGACATACGAGCAAACATGATCGCGACGAGAGGACAGCGCCGCGTGGGCTGGGCAGCATCGCCACCAAGCGCGGATGAGTCAAAGTCAAGACACCAGCAGAGCCTGTCCCGAACCATGACTCTGTATCTCCAGGCTGACGGGAGCCAAGAACGGTGTGATACGCCTTCTTCTTGCTTGCGTCTTTCTCTGTCGCGCTGCTGCGTGTCTGCGTCCATCCCCAACCCCGCAGCCCTGTCACCGCCGACCAGGCCTCCCGTCTGAAACCAAGGTCTGCGTTGCGTCGGAGCGTGTCGCGTTGATCGAACCCCTTGTGGGAAACAGCCCAAGGGCCCTCTCTCCCGGCGTGACCGGCCAAGCCCGGCTCGACAGCCAAGAGCGAGGGATCAGCAATGCCTGGCCGCGCCGTTTCCGAGCCCGGCCGACAACATGCTCGCGTGGCTGAGACTCGCGATGCCACCCTCGAGCCGGGCGGCGGTACGTCGTATGCGTGCTGGTCGCGACGTGTCTCGGGCCTGGTACCTGGAGCGATCGGACCTATGCTGGCTGGCGCTCTGTCGCTTTCTCCCCGAGCGAGCTCGATGCGTTCTCGGCCATCTGAACGACCAGTTTCATCCAGGGCGAAGCAGCGACCAGGGCAAAGCCAATTCTGATCAGTCTTCAGAGTTGCCCTTGGCCGCCACCTCGTGACTTTGTCCCTGGCAATCCGCAACACCGATGCATATACGCAGTCCAGGGGCGATCCAGGGCGAGAGCGCGCGATGGCGACGACGACGAGAGCGTAAAGCCAAGAAGAGGAGAGGATAGAGCGGCAGCGACACGCTGGGAGGAAAGAGACTGACGCGCCTGACGACCCGGAGCATCGGGCCCCAGAGACGAGCCAAGGTGCGACGTGGTGCTTCGTGACGCCTGCTCAGCTTGGCACACGTACGCATGCAGAAGCAGGGATGAGCGACGCCCGCGGGGCGGTGGAGCCACGGACACGGCTCTCTGGCGGCCAAGTCCTCAACACCAGACCGCAGCCACCACCACAAGCTGCCCGAGGTTCGGGAGCAGGCAGGCAGCTCGGGTGCATGGCAGGCCGGGCCAGCTCGCCCTTGGTTCGCTGGTGGCCCCGATCGACGCCGATGGACCGCCAGAGGCCTGGCCTGCCCTGCCCTGCCTGGCCAGGCCGCTTTCACGCTTGCCTCGTCGAGGGCCCTGGGGCTGGCCGGCCGCCGATTTGGCTGGCTCGATCGATCGGTGCGCGCGATGCCATCTTGGATTTTTTTCGCCCTGGTTCTGTGCCCAAGAGGCTTTCCAGATCGGCGCCTGGCCTGGGCCTGGCCTGCTGGGGCTGGCCCTCGCCCCCTGCCGATCCTCTTTCTGAGGCCGAGGCGAACAGACGCGCGTGCGTTGGCTGGCTGGCTGCCCGGCTCTGGCCGTCCGACGAGGGTGCACCCGCACGAACCGCACGGCACCACATACACTTCTGCCCCCTGCCTGGCCTGGTACCGGTAGGTCTGGCTCCTCTCTGGCTTCCATCCACGCAGCCCACACCACCTACACTCTCCAACTCGCATTGCCCCTGATCGCCTCGTGCCATCTCTCCTTTGCATCCGACCACCATCGCCACCCTCCCCACCCTCCGAGTCGATCCGTGATCCGGCCGGTCCACCGCACCTCCCTTTTGGCAGTCGAAGCTCGGCGGCTCTCTTCGCGTGTTTGTCGCTCGGCGCCCGCCCTTTCCGGCATCCGATTTTGGATTGGCGGCCTTCCTGATCTCATCTGGCCGGCTTTTTTGGCTTCCAGATCGGGCATCCTTTGGCTCCCCCGCCTCGCTCTGGCCCCGCCGTCCATCTTCAACCACCATCACCGACATCCGGCATCGCCCATCCACCGGCAACCATCGCCGTCGGTCGTCACCAGTCTATCCCAACACCATCGAGCTACGACCACCTCCGGGCTCCCCTTCCTCGCGCGTCTCTGTGACCCGTCACTGCCACCTCCCGTCTGGCGGCCTCGCTCGTCTCTGCTCGACTTGCTGCTGCTCAGCCCCACTCCGCCATCGGGCGCGTCAACCGTCAACTTGCCGGCGACTGGCCGTTCCTCTCGACTGTCTCTACCGCTTTGGCCCTCGGTTCATCTCGACGACCGTCGCTTGCTCACACTCGACATCATCGAGGACCGAGACGTCCTCGCCTCCACCTCCCACGCCGCCACGACGCGTAAATCCGCCCTCACTGCCGCCGATCCGCGTCCCATCGGGGCCATCACCCTCGACCCACCGTGCTAGCCGGCCGCCAACCATCACCGCAACACGGCGTGTTTCAACATTCGATCCGCTCGGCTCTGACCCCCTCGGGACTGATCGCACGCGCCTTTGCTATCCGCTGCGCTTCGACCAGACTTGCACGCGCAGCTTCGGGCACCGTTCATCGCGGTCCACAACCGAGCTACGGCCCCGCACATATCGATCACCATGTCTTCTGGCCAAGTCGACGCTGACAACACCGGCAACGGAGGTGCCGGCGACATCCACAGCAGCCACGAGCACGATCATACTCAGAGCCTGTTTGGATCAGGTCTAGTCAAGGCGTCGGGGATGCACTTCGACAGCGAGCCTTACACTCACGTCGGCGACACACTCTCGAACGAGCAGAGCGAAACAAAGGATGCATCCCGCCTCGACGTCTCTTCGGACCACCATGCTTCGCACCAGTCGCCCCCGGTCAACGGTGTCACCTCGCCGCAGCAGCAGCAGCCGCCCCCACCCGCGCCCCAGCAGCAACAGCAACAGCAGCAGCAAGAGTCGCACGGCAATGCAGCGCTGACACCTCACCCCGAACCGCCGCAGCCGGAGCCATCTGGGGCGGCCGAAGATGGAGCCCAGGCACCCATCGACGACGGCCAACCGGACCAGCACGACCTTACCCACGCCGCCACGCTCCAGGCACTCGCCGAACTCCAGTCCAGTTCGGTCTCGGCCGCCTATGCGGAGGCTCCAAAGGACACTACAGCGGCCAGCAGCCACCCTCAGGATGGCCCGAGCGCGGGCGACGACGCGACTGCGAGCCGCGAGCCTGGCGCTGCACCAGCCAACGGCATCCCGAGCGACGCCCCTCAAGGCCCCGAACAGGCGTCCAGCTCCGCTACCGGCGACTCTCAAGCCGCTCCCGCTGCTTCAACGGCCGAGCCAACGCTGTCCAAGAAGATTGCCGAAGACCTGCGAGGGGTGAGTTCAGGGCATGATGCAAGCGGCTCGCGTCTCCGGTCGCTTCTCCGCTTAGGATGGCTTTACCGCGCCTCTCGTCGATGATGAATGGCTCACTAACCGTCCTCGACCTCCGCTCACCTCCTTCCATGTCCGCGATGACGCTCCCACACAGATCCACGCTGCTGCCGCGACGATTGCCAACTTCACTGCCGCCCACATCAACAAGGGCGCCATCCCTCGGGCCATCGATGTGCAGGCCGCCGTCGGGCGAGCGCTCAGCATCACCCAGGCACTGACCTCGCTGCTGTCATCGCCCGAGATCGCGGCCGCCGCGCCCAACGACGACCAGACGCGCAGCCTGTACGATTTCTCGGCTCCATCGACGCCGAGCCGCGCCGGTCCGCTCAACATGCTCGCCACCTACTCTCCTTACGACCTCTCGGTATTTTCCAGCGGGCGAAAGCGGGGCGGTGGCGGCCCCAGGCAGAGTGAGTGTTTGGACGACGGGGCTGGGCGACGATTCGCATGGCGCTGACCCCCTCTGCCACATTCGCCTCCCTCTCTCCTTCTCACTGCGCAGGCACCGCGCGCAAGCGTCGACGCTCGGAAAAGGGCGATGCCAAGGCCGAACCTGGCGGCGATGCCGCTGCGGGCGGCAACCAGTCCGGCTCGGGCCAAACACAGGCCGGAGGCGACGCGCCGAGGACGCCAGGAGGCTCGACCCTTGGCCCGGACGACAGCATGGACGCGACGGGCTCGTCGGCCAAGGATTCTTCGGAGCACAAGGGACCCGTGTACAAGAAGCGCAGCCGGGCGCCCGTCATGTCGCCTTGCGCTTCGTGCGGCACGCTCGAGACGCCCGAGTGGCGGAGGGGTCCCGATGGCGCGCGCACGCTGTGCAATGCGTGCGGGCTGCACTACTCCAAGCTGGTGCGCAACCGGCAGCGGGCGATGCAGGAGGAGCTGCCCGAGGGCGGCATCCCGCTGGTCCCGCCGCCGCCAGTGACGATCGAGGAGCTGCGCGCATCAACCAAGGCGCACAACATTGGCGGAGCGCCGCCCGGCCGCTCTGGTGGCGGCGCCGGCGACGGTGCTGGCCCTTCTGGGACCACGGGAATCAACGGTACGCCATCGCGCTCGTCGTCCGACGACCGCAGCTTCGCGATGCCCGTATCGAGGGCGCCGACGGGGCTCGAGTCGACGATGGTATCGAGCAGCGCGAGCTTGCCGCTGCTGTCGCACGCTGGTGGCCCATCTGACGTGGCGGCGCCGACTACGACGTCCAGCCACGATGACTCGTCGATTGCCCCGCAGCTCCGAAACCAGGGCGTGGGCGAGATGCATCACTCGCCGTTGGGCGTCTCTGATGCCCCCGCAGTCTCCTCGTCGGCCGCCACCGCTTCGATCCCGTCGTCATCCGCTGCGCCGGCTGTGTCCGGCGCTGCGGCTGTGGGCGCGATGCAAATGCACGACGACAGCACCGTCCACGTCCCGGCTGCCCCGACGCCGGCTCCGATCATGACGGCGGCGGAAGGCTCGCACGATGAGACGAGCAAGACGATGGGCATGGATGCGAGCATCCAGGCTGGGCAGCAGGCGGAGCCGCCCGCGCACCAGCTTGGCGCGACGACGGGCGACGAGAGGCCGATGGATGAGGCCTAGGTCTCGCTGGACGCGTCACCCTGTCACGTCAATGCCTTGAGAACGGCAACAATGGAAGGCGCCCGCCGCCCGTCGTCCGCCGACTGCTATACCTCTTCTGTTCTCTTCTCTCGCTCTTTGCGTCTCGTCGTCGGCTCTCATGTGGATCTTAGGGTGACTTCGGCCCTCTGTCTAATTTGTGGATATCCCGTCTTCTTCGCCTGCTGCTGCCGTTGCTGCCTGTAATCCATGCCCCTCAGCCCCCCTGCCACGACACCCCACGCTCGACGCGGCAGCATCCCGGCGCAAAGATCCGACCCGCCACCGGCACAGTCTCGACCACGCACTCCTTGTCCGCTACGAGGTCGGAACCATGTTGCATTTGTACCGTGCCAGACAGCAGCTCAACCGTGGGCTTACGCAAGCCGATGTCGCCTCTGTCCGGCTGCACACTGTCCACAAATCAAGCCTCAAATGGAGACGAGGAACTCGACGCACTCAAACGATCCTGTACCCTTCGTTCAGGTCTTTGTGAGGAACAGGTTGCGAGTCTGGACAGAGAGCTTGATGGGTGACTACCGGCTCGGGAAGAGGAAGGCGTCGACTGCAAGACCGGTAGCGGACGTCCCCCTGTCCTGGATCCGGAACGCTATGCCGTCGTGCCTCGACTAGAGTGGCCGTACGATCCGTTCGTGTGGCGACGGCTGCCAGCTTGAAGGCGGCTACCAGCCACCTACTTACCCTTGGGCTTGTGGGGGTTGCCGGACGGTCCAGTCTGTTCCCCCACCGCAGCGCGCGTGCCTGCCTGGTGAGGTTGGGCGAGGCGGGGCGAAGCGGGTCGATGAGAGGTCAAGGAGCCCGACTGACCGTCTCATTCACCTGTGCTCGGGGCGTCGTCCGATATCTTCAGCCGGAGGCCCAGACGCACGGCCAACCCACATCGTCTTGCGCCATGGGCGCGTAGCCAAGCATGCCCCCGTGAGAAAAGGATCCAGTAACATTGTCTGCGGAGACAATCGAGCGAGACGAATCCGTCAGGCCGGGCGGCAGCTAGCCGCCTGCCTCAACCAGCCCGCAAAGAGCGCCCGAGGCGCACAGAGGCGCCCGAAGGAGCTCGATGGAAACGCCGCTACCATTTACGGCTGGGCAGGCATCGATTTGCCACCTGCCATGACAGCTGCTTCTGCCAAACAGAGCTTTGCTCAGCCCCTGCTATTCCAGCTCCCGATCGACCGGAGGGAAAAGGAGCAGCCAGACACGCCAAACGAGTGGCAGCTGACGCCCCCGGTCGTATCGATACCTCGCGTCTGTGGTCGCCCTCGGACGCAAATCCGTGATTGTGCAGATAGGGCTGGTTGGTACGACGAATCTGTACACGTCTGTTGCTTGCCTGAGTCTGTGCGGTGCGTGACATTGGTATAGTAACGGGGTCATGTCTGTTCGTGAGGTTGTCTTTTCCGCCTGGGATAGCATGAGTTTTCGTCCCTATTCGTTGCGCTTCTTGGCCTGGACCACGAGCAAGTTGGCCGTCAGTCCACCTAGAAGCAGCCCCTCTGTAGCCGCACCGAGCGTCCTGCCCATGATTTTGAGCTCGTTCTTGGCCTCGTCGACCAGCGCGCGTCGACCAGGAGCGACCGCTGCCCCGTCGGCATCGCGATGCATTGCCTCGACTTCTGCGCGAAACTCCTTGGGCCTCTGGCCAAGCTTACCCCGACCGACGAGGACCATATCGCGCTCGCCGTCGACCAGCGACAGCAGCGAGGTCAGGATGCTCCGAATCGGTCGGACATTCCCAGGTGTGGCCTCGGGAGATAGGGGCAGCGCCACAAAGTGTACGCCGTCGGTCGTTTGCGCTGCGGGTAGAGGGTCGCCGTCGTCGTTGCGAACCTCGGCCGAGGCCGACGAAGGCGAAGGCGCATCGGCCTGTTCGTGCACCGTCGAGAGGATGGCTTGCTGGCCAAAGAGGAAACGGGCATCGGCCCGCGCGGCTTCGGCTTGGTAGACGGTCTGGAGGTTGATCGACGCCTGGTTTTCCTCTTCAGCCACCCGCTCTTCCTCCTCCGTGGTCTTTTGCGTCCGCGCCCTGGCGGGCTGCGATGCAAGGTTCTTGATGGTGTCGCTCAATGTGGCCGCGGAGATGACGACGCCATCGACATCTCCTTCCGACGCCGAAACGATGCATTGCAAGAGTTCGACGGCGGCCCGGTCATCTGCGCCGCCGAAGAAGGGGACCAAGATCCGACGGCGGCCTCCCGGTCTTTGGAGGCCTAGCCTGGCCTCCTCTCGTCTCAGGCTTTCTGAGCGTATTGCTGATAAAGGCGCTGCGCTGCCGACCCCGCCAGTTCCTGGCCAAGCATCGAAGACCCCGCGGTCTATCAACACGCCGGTGGTGCAGGTGCGCCGAAGGTCCGTGAAGATGCGCGAAGGAAGGGCATGCGCATCAGAGTCGGCCTGCCAGAAGGCGCCGGCAGCGTCATCGTCGTTGTAGGCCGACTGCTGACTGCTGGAAAGCCCGCTCGCCGCTGCAGCGGCCCCAAGCCACGAAAGGCCGCGTCCGAACGAGCTCGAAACCTCCCACGAGACCACAACCAGGCCGCCGCCTAGATCCGTGTTGCCGCTGGCTGCTGCCGACACCCGAAGACGCTGCATGGCCTTGGCGTGCTGCTTGGCGATGGCATCGGTGAGGTCGGCACGCGGGACCGTGAATGTGTCTGGCGGCAGGACCTGGTGTTCGTGTTGCAGCGTTGCCGTCGGCATCGACCGACCGGGACCGCCGTGGAGGAGATCGTGCTCTGCCGCCAGCTCGCCGGAAGTCGGCACCGCGTGTAGCCTCTGGACTGTTTTGAGGCTTTCGAGCATCTCGTCGCGCCGCCGGTCGTCCGAATACGTGATCAGCTGCATGATCGAGGACGTGGTGTACTCAATGGGCAACAGGCGAATCAGATCCAGAGCAATATGGCCGGCGTTCTGCTTGTCCATCTCAGCATCGGCACTGCCTCGTGCGGCGACCAGACCGGGATGCCCCAAGACGTTGATCAGAGACATGAGCGCCTGGATCGCCGGATTGGGCGACGTGATCGCCACAGTGATGGGGAAGTCGGATGACGTGGTTCCGCGCTTCTCGTTGTCGACGCCGCTCGGCTGTGCTCTGCCGGTTCCTTCCCCGTTGGCGGCGTCGGCGGCCTTTTCTTCCTCCTGCTGTAGCGTCGAAAAGTAGACGCGGCGCGACAGCGGGCGGACGGTGATGGTGGTGCAGAGGAAGCAGGTCACCATCATGGCAAAGACGCGCGGGCTGACGACCTCGAGCTGCAAGGCGACGTTGAGGATGATAATCTCGATGATGCCCTTGCTCTGCATCAGGCTGGCGACGCACATGGCCTGGCGCCACGGCATGCCGGCGAAGCGGGCCGAGAGGGCAGTGGCGCCAAACTTGCTCACAAAGATGCCGACGACGAGCAGAAAGATGAGCCCCCACGTCTTGCCGCTGTCGAGCAGCTTGAAGTCGGTGCTGAGGCCGCTGGTGACAAAGTAGAGGGGCAGTAGGACCATGATGACGAGCGTTTCAATGCTCTCGGTCACCTTGACGGCAAAGTTGCCGTGCGGGCAGCAGACGCCGAAGGCGAAGGCGCCGACGATGGGGTGGACGCCGATCGAGTCGGTGAAGAAGGCGCTGACCAGAGCGCCGACGAGGGCGATGACGAGGAGGTGCTCGGGCACGCGATCGCCTGCGCCGACGGCCATGTTGAAACCGCTGCGGCCGATGAGGTGCATCATGAGGGGGCGGAAACCGAACCAGAGCGCGGCGATGTAGCCGGCTGCGGTGAGGAGCTCGTAGAGGGCATTGATCTGCTTTCCACCGGTACCGAGTGCGCTGCCGAGGGCGAGGAGGATGTAGCCGATGAGGTCGTTGCAGACGCCGGCGGCGATGGTGATGGATCCGAGCGTGGTGCTGAGGATGCCCATCTCGGCCATGATGCGCGAGAGGACGCTGAGCGACGTGACGGCCATGACGGTGCCGACAAAGAGGAAAAAGGTGGTGAACTGGACCGTCTGGTCGGTCTCTAGCTGCCAGATGAGGCGGGCGATGCCGACCGACACGGCAAAGGGGATGGCCATGCCCGGGAGGGTGATGATGGCGACCTTTTTCCAGTACTTTGCCATGAGGTCGGTGTCGGTCTCTAGCCCGACGAGGAAGAGAAAGAGCGAGAGGCCGATTCCCGCGAGAAGCTTGAGGAGGCCGAGGGCGCTTGGGGGTATAATGGTGCTTGTGAAGCCGGGGATGTTGCCGAAAGCGGTGGGGCCGAGGAGAATGCCGGCCAGAAGCTCTCCGACGACGGCGGGCTGGCCGATGCGCTGGAAGATCTTGCCGAGGATCTGGCAGAGGGCGATGATGATGGTGACCTGGGTGAGGAAGAGGGCGAATCCGTTGGTGGTATCGATGGAGTTGCTAGGATCAAAAGTGAGCGGGTCCACGCCGCTCAGCCAGCCATGGTCGGGCGAAGGCATGGTGGGCCAGGTACGGTGGCCGCAGGACCAGCCTGACGTGGGTCTGGAGCGATGAAGACGACGACGAGAACGAGGACGAGAGCCGGGCCAGACAGAGGCAGAGGAAGCGGTCTAGCTCGAGCGGAACGAGGTTGGCTTGTGGACGACGCAAAAGCGGGGAGGATGGTGAAAAGAGGACGGGTAAGGCGAGCGTCACGGGCTTGGTGTGGAGCGCGAGACGAGGGGCGAAGCCGGTGTCGGAGTGTCGTCAAGGAACAAGGACGGAATGCAGGAAGGGCAGGTGACGAGACGTATGCGACGAACGAAAGAGGTGGTGGACGGGAGCAAGCAGGGCCAAGGCGGGGGCAATGGAGGGGGGAGGGTAGGTAGGGAGTGCAAGCTACCGAGTACCCAAGTCGACGAGCAGCGGGCTGAATGCACACCACACGCTGGACCCTTGGAGACAAGCACTACTAGACGACGCCCTGAACCCCCAGGCCTCGCCTCGCCCCGCCGTACTCTGAGGCAGGGGCCGGCCAATTGCCAGCGCAAAAGAGAGAGAGGGGGAGCATGCATGCATGCCCACCCACGCGCTTGCGCCCCTTGCGGCTTGCTCCTTTGGCTCTCTACACTTGGGTCGGCTGGGTGGGCCTTTTCCAGAGCCGTCGTTGGTACCGGTAACGCGGTCAGACGACGCCGGCCATCCCTCTCATCTCAGGGGCTGCGCCTGGTGACCCAGCCTTGCTTGTCGCAGTCGCAAAACTCAGCCAGCCACCCATTCACCACGATACCCCTTTGGCCCCCAGCCTAGGCTACTTAGGTAGCATCGCGCGCCTGTCGACCTCCATCGGCCTGGGACGCCTCTTTGCCATCACCCTCACCCGTCCTCCGCCTCCTCGCGTTCAAAGCCATCGTCAGGACAGGCCAGACTAGCAGCAGCAGCTGCATCAGCAGCAGACACAGATGGCCGTGGCGGTACGTCGAAACCTTGAGGATTGCAAACGAGCGACCGAGAGCGTGACCAAAGCGAGAGGCCCAGAGGCAGATGGCGACGAGGGCGGTGGCGACCATGATACACGTACGCAGAGAAACAGAGGGAGTGGGGGAGCGCCAGGAATGGGAAAACAGCCAGTCGACCAAAGGACGACACTACTACCGAAGAGGTTGGCCCGCCAAAAGCCCACACCTTGGCTTCGGCTCATGGCATCGGCGCTAGGCGCTCGACGAGTCTGCCGCCTTGTCCTTGTCCTCGTCCATGGCGTCGGCCTGCGACCCCTCCTGACTCGGCTTGACCGCCACCTTGACCGCATCGCTGCCGCTCTCGCTTGCCTTGGCCACCTCGCGCGGAGACTCGACAATCTCCGGCTGGTGCTGCAGCTCCGGCCGCTCCTCGCCCTCGCCCTCGGCCCCGCGCCGCTCAGCTTCGGCCTTGCCCTCGTCCTCGAGCTCCTGCACCTTTTCCGTCTTGCCCGCCTCGTCCGTCTCGGAGCCGCCGTCGCTCGAGTCGTCGGGTGAGACGTAGGCCTCGTACGTGATGCCCCCGTCGTCGTCGGTACCCGTCCCAGGTCGGAAGACGATCCCCGCCCCTCCCAACGCGCCCGCCAAGCCGCCAAGCAGCCTCGCCCGAGGGTCCATCCGGCCGCCGCCGCCGCCGCCGCTTCCCGCGCCCGCAGAGCCCGGCTTCTTGTCCGGGTGCATCTCGTAGTAGTACTGGAATGGCGACCGCAGCGTCTCGGGCGTCTCCCAGCCGATCTTGTTGTCCACCCGCTCCTTGACCCACTGGCGCCATTCGTCCTTTGTCCGGCCTCCCAGCAGCGCGATGATGCACACCGTCATCTGTGGTACGGCCGAACGGCGAGCAAGGGACGTGCGGGGGGAGAAAGAGGGTGGCGGAGAGATGCTGTTGTCAGCCAGACGCCACGCCATCCACGCGAGGTCCCTACGCGGATCCGGCCACTCACGTTGTCGCAACCGACCGACTCGGTGTGGGGTGCGAGGCAGAACTCCATCATCTCTTCGCAGATGGTCTGCAGCTCCTTGCCCTCAGCCACGCCGCGGCGCACAAAGTCGACCACCGTCTGGTTGCTCATGCAGTCCCAGATGCCATCGCAGGCGAGCACCAGGAACTCTTCCTCGCCGTTGATGTCGTGCGTGATGATCTCCGGGTCGGCCGTGACGATCTGGTGCTCGGGCCCGAGGAAGCTGCACTGCTTGTACTCAAAGTCGCCGATGGCGCGGCTCAAGGCGAGGTTGCCGTTGACCCTCTCCATCTCGACGTATCCGCCCGCAGAGAGGATCCTCGAGTGCTCACCTGCAGAGGAGCGAGTAAGAGGCCGCAAACGGCAGGAAAGCGGAACGTCAGTGTGTCTGGCTCCAGCGCCATCCCGCCCGAGGCCTAAGTCTTTCTCCCCTCCCACAGACTACGGAGGCACACTCACGTTCGTCCGTTGGCTTGTGATCATGACTCAGAGCCTTTGCCTCGCCCTTGACGCCTAGCACGCAGCGCGAATCGCCGGCATTGGCCACGATAATCTGCCGCGCAGCCTTTGCGGATGGATCGTCGTTCTTGGGACCGGCGACCAGTAGGGCCGCAACAGCTGTGCATCCGGACGGGTCGTGCTTCCAGCTGTCATCTGAGCGCAGTCAAAAGGCCGTTGCAGTTGAGGGATATGGTGAAAGCGGGATATGGTGAAAGCGGTCAGTACGGCAGGTCGGCAGCACAAATGCAGATCCTGCACTTGCGGCCGCCACGCACCTCCGAGGAAATCCTCATCCGTCTGGAGAAATGCCCGCTTCAGAGCTGCAGGGTAGTCGCCCTTCTTGTAAGCCTCGGTTTCGGCCAGTCGCTTGTGGAGCGTCTCTCCGGTGAAGTTGGCCACCGTCTTGCCTGGACACGGGCGACGATGGCAAGGGAGCAGTGGCATTGACGATGTCTGATCAGCATGTATGGACCATGCAAGGAAGAGGGAGCGAGCAATCTGATTTCCAAAGGGTTACGCACCGCCATGGCCGTCGTAGACGGCAAAGAAGCTCGCCTTCTCGTCGCCGGTCTTGCCATCCAGGTTCAGGATGGTGGCATGCGCGTCCTCCATACCTGCACAAAGTTAGAGCGCAAAGGCGCAGAGGGGAGGAAGCAGCAGTTGCGAAGCGTGGAACCGCCCGAGGTCAGCGCGAGGCCGGCCGCGGCCAAGCCGAAGCGACTGGCAGCGCCCAGCTCATGGTGTGCGAGCCTTGCCATCAAACTCACTGATGCGCCAGCCTTGCATCTCAGAGACTGCATAGACCAGGGTGTCATCTTCGCCGGAGGACGAATGCTGCTCGAAGCGCATCATGAGGCGAGATGGAAGAACGGGTCAGAGTCGGCGCCGAGGACAAGCGCAGAGAAGAGGGGGCGCGCCGGGGATAGCGCGAGGACAGCCTGCAGGGCCTGGCCCTGTGCACGCCGATTTGCGAGCCCCGAAGCTGTCGCCGTGGTGAATCAGAGTCGACCTCACCTTCTCGGTGATGGGCTCTGACAAAGTCTGACCCATGTTGGCGTTGGTCTAGGGAAGGGCCCGTCGGTAGGGCGGGGTCGGTTGATTGCAGGTGTGAGGAGCCTGAAAGCAGTGAGCGTTGGCGATGATCGGTTCTAGGCGATGGATCAAGTTTGGGCGACCTGACAAAGGTCGTCGAGCTGGCAGGGCTCGGCTTTTCGAAGAGAAAGCGCGGCACGGGTCGAGAGGATGTGCGGATGAAGAGGGACCGTTCTGGCTACGCCACGGGACGAGTCAGAGGCGAAAGGAGAGAGGAGAAGAGGGAAGATGAGGGCTCGTCGTGATAGGTAGGTCGGTGGTCGGTCTAACGATGAGGGAAGATCAATTGCACGTTTCGCAGGCGGTGGGCCGTTTGGCGCGTGTGTAGGCTTGGGCGGGCGCCGAACGAGTCGTTGCCGAGGGAAAAAAGGGTGAAGAAGAGGTCCGGAGGAGAGAGCCAGGAATGCAACAAGGTCGATGACAAGGTGGCGGAGATTGGGATGGCGGAGGGATGGAGGCTCGGGGGTGAGGGGCCCAGGGCTGCGAGAGACGGTTTTCGGTCGGCAGATGACGCCGCCAGGTCTACTGTATGGGGCGCGCGGGCGAGACCAGGCCAGGTCAGGCCTATAGCCTGGCGAGGCGAGGTCAAGCGCGACCTGGGCCAGCATACAGCACGGGCAGGCGGGTTTAAAGTGCCTGCCCCAAGCCGGCTGTGAAGGATCTAAGAACCTCAAAACCCGATTACAACACGGCCCGGACGCTCGAAGGGGACGAGTTGAAAACCCCGTAATCCAACAACAGCACTGTGTATAGAGGCCAGGCCTGGCAGGCAGGCATTTGAATTGTTCAAGTGGCTGGCCGCGTAAGGCCCAACACAACACCCCCACGCCCTCTTGAATCTTTCTGTCAAGCAGAGGTGACGGTAACCGCTTCTGCGGGGGCAAGCAGCTTAGCAGCGGTAGCAGCAGGAAGGGACGGCGCGCACGGATGTGGCGTCCAACAGCACGACAAGAGACGACGATGCATACATGGTTCGAGAGCAGCACGACGACGACGACGACGACGACGAAGACGACGACGACGACGGGGAGAGGGTGCGAGCATCGGGTGCTGAGAATAACATCGATGGGCCCCAACAAGGCGAGGACCATCTGGGACGCAGGCGGCCGCTCTGCTGTCGACGATGGCGGTGGAAGGTCTGCCTGTGTGTCGCTTGTCTACACCACGACGAGCCCCTCTGCTTGCTTGCTTTGCGAGCTGCTCTACCCTGCTTCGGCTCGCCGGCAAGCCGACTTCCAACGCACGCACGGCCACACGACGGAAAGCGAAGCAGCAGACAGGCCAGGCCAGGCCAGGCCAGGCCAGGCTGGCTGGCGTGCTTTCGCGCAGGTGCAGTCGGTCGCCTCCCTCGATCTACGCCTGTTCTCTCTCCAGGAGGTCGGCTCAGACGACGTACTGTACGCTTGCATGCGCGCTGCTCCACTCTAGACTACACTGCCTCTCTCAACGGCCGAGTCATGGCCATAGGGCGACGTCGACCAGCCATCATCAGAGGCAGGCAAGGAACAAAACTCAAGCTGCTGTCAACAAGCCCAACGAGCTAGGCAGCAGGCTCCGCTGGAACCCATCACTTATTAGACGTTCCGTGCCGACGGACGCGACGGACGGCCAGCGGGCGGGCGCACATCGTGGTAGATGGGGTCGGGCTCCTTTCGAGCCCCGGCGGCTCAGCTTGGGCTGCGAGAAGCGGACGTCTTGAGTGGGACGCCAGCGTCAAGGTGGCCTGGCGGGTTGGCGAGACCAACAGCAGCCTTCCAGATGCCATGGGCCCCCCGGAGTGCCCCTCCACCGGGACAACCACCTTGCTTGCCTATCCCTCCAGCAGATGAGAGGGGGGCAGGCGACGAATGCGGTTGTGAGCCCCGTTGACCGTCAGCCATGGCGGAAGGCAGGGCGGATGCTGGCTGGCTGGCTGGCTGGCTGCACGTCGGTAGCGGGAGGACGAACTGAGCTTCGGGTCCGAGCGCGGTGATCAGAAGAATACAGGCTGGGCTCTCCCGGCCAGGGTGCTTGCAGCCAGCCTTCTGGCGCCCAAGTTCAGAATCAGGAAAATTGCGGCAGAGAGCAAGGCAAAAGACGAGGGCAACGCGAGCGAGCCCACCGCCCCCGCCAGCAGCCTCGCCAGACCAGGCCAGGCCCACCCGAATACGATATTCCACTCCAGACGCAGATCCACAGCGGCACCCGACACCATCACCCCGCGCCCGGCCACCACCATCACCATCACCATCTCCATCTCCATCGCCGTCGCCTTCGCCGCCCTCGATCCGCCCTCCTCGCGCTCCACTCCATCCTCTCGTGCCAGGTAGCGCAACACGCCTACGACCTACACCCCTCCGCCCCATCATCTGACCCGGCCACCTCGAATCGGCGACGTACACGCCACCATGCGTCCTATCCTCCTCTCCGGACACGAGCGCTCGCTCACCCAGGTCAAGTTCAACCGAGAGGGTGACCTTCTCTTCTCCGTTTCCAAGGACAACGTCATCAATGCCTGGTTCTCCCACAACGGAGAGCGGCTCGGAACCTACGATGGCCACAACGGTACCGTCTGGTCCGTCGACGTCGATGGTACGTGATGCAGGTCGATACCAACCCGTAGAGGCACCCCTGCCCGAGCTCCCTCGGCCCGCAGACCCTGACTTTGTTCTTGCCTTGGACATTTCGGTCTGCTATTCAGCTTCATCCGAGCTCCTCATCTCCGGCTCCGCCGACAACCAGATGAGGCTCTGGGAGGTCGCAACGGGCAAGTGCCTGTACACTTGGGAGTTCAACACCGCCGCCAAGCGCGTCGCCTTTTCCGAGGACAACACCCAGGTCCTCGTCGTCAACGAGGCCCGCATGGGCTTCCGCGGAACGCTGCAGGTCTTCCGTCTCAACCGCGACCCCGCCACTTGGTCGCAGCAGAACCCCGAGCCTATCCGCACCATTACCTTCTCCGGTCCCAAGGCCGTCGTCGCCGCCTTTGCGCCCCTCGACCAGTACATCATCACCGGCCACGAGAACGGAAAGGTGGCAATGTACTACCACGACGACAAGGAGCCGGAGAGCGGCATCGATGCCGAGCTCGAGGAAAACTCTGTCGACGCTCATGGCGGAGAGATGATCACAGACCTGCAGATGAGCCCAGACAGGACATACTTTGCCACCAGCGGAAAGGACAAAACCGCAAAGGTGAGCTTTTCCATGCATCGACCTGGGGAGAAAGCAAGGCGGAACCAACGTCCTGCAGCCGAAGGGGAGACGTTCGCTCGAGCCGGACCTTGCCGCACCGGGACATTCCCACGGCCTGAAGCTCGAGGGGTGCGACCTTGAAGCCTTTTTTGGGGCGCCCGAGCGGCTACTTCCGCGTAGGACTGGTGGCGGCTCTGCATGCCTTGCAGCAGCGTCGCACCTGCGACAAGGGTCACATGATGTTTCCGGACAGGTTGCGCTGACGCCCACGACACCTGATCTTCCCCAACCAGCTCATCGACACCAAGTCGCTCGCCATCCTCAAAACGTTTGCCACCGAGACGCCACTAAACAGCGCCTCGATCCACCCCACGAAGCCATTTGTCATTGTCGGAGGTGGTCAGGAGGCGATGAACGTTACGACGACGAGCGCGAGGCAGGGACGTTTCGAGACGCGGTTCTGGCACAAGGTGTTTGAGGAGGAGTGCGCAAGGCTGCCCGGCCACTTCGGACCGATCAACACCATCGCCATCCACCCGGCAGGCAAGGCGTACGCTTCGGGAGGAGAAGATGGCTACGGTGAGTCCGGCATCTCGAGCAGCAGCGGTGGCAGCATGCATGAACTGATCGCTGATCGCCATCCTCGTCGACTGACCTGCGTCGGCACGCTGGCATTCGCCTTACCACAGTCCGCGTCAACTGGTTCGACCCTGGCTTCTTCAGCTCCAAGCTCTACGGACCGGATCTCGAGCTCGCGCTCGAGGACCAGTAGCGAAGCCGTCGCCGAGCTGCCGCGTCCGCCCATTCGTGGGCCAGTCGTCCGCCTGCGCGAGCGCGCACACAAAAGGAGTCTGGGCATCTCGGGACCTGCTTTCAGTCCCCACCCAGCTTCAGCGTCGATGGACGTCCTACCACGATGAATGGCCGTGCGATCCCCGCTTCGCGACCTTCGATGCCCGCTGCTACCGGTACCTCTCTCCATCTGTAGAATAGCACCCTTTTACCAAGCAAGGCATCCCCCGTCGTAGCCGAACGCCCGCCTGATGATGTCCGACCACAGTACGCGGCATGCCTGCCAGCCCGGTAGCTGCACGCCTGGCTGTCTTGTGGCAGACGTACGGGCGGAAGACCCACGCACGGCAGATGCCTCGCAGTGCCATGAGGGAGCGAGCTGTCGAAATCGCCGTCGCGACAAAACCTGTTTGCCATTGCTGCCGTGCCCGCGACGACAGAGGTGGTTCGAGCTCTACCTCAGCCCAGTATGAGCTCGTAAATGATGACGACGATGTTGACGGCAATCAAGGGGACTGTGGGTGTGCGATGCCGGACGGATGCCAGCCGAGACGACGGTTCGAGGCAATCGGATCGATGTCAGACCTCGGACCGCGAAGAATCGTTGCGGAACCCCAAGGGCGGAGGGTGGATGGTTGCACTCACTCCTCATGAGAACCCGCACTGCGCTGATGAGGTTGACGAGCCTTGCTTTGATGCTGGCGTCCTGACCCATCTGTCCGGGAGTGGGACCGCCAAAGCCTTGGTCGAAGGACTGAGGCTGGTTTGACGACCATCCCACTGATCGTAGCCAGGCAGAGGAGGGGGCAGACGCACGATGCCAAGGATCAGTGCGTGGTCCGACGAGGGCTAGGTCAGGGGAGCTGGCTGGCCTGTGCCGGACAAGGTGGATCGAAAGAGGATGCGACTCACCTCGCGCCAGAAAGCGCTCCTCATTGAGGATGGCGATTGCGTTGATCAGGAGAAGGGTGACATAGAAGATGCCACCTAGACCCAGCACCATCTTGATGCGAGGGAGGGGTAGGCAAGATACGGACTCCGCGGCTCTAAGAGGGCGGTGGTCGCGGTCGAGCCAGCGGCGGCGGCACTGAGGGCTGCACCGAATGGGGTTAGAGTAGGAAGTGGCGGGATGAGCAGCGATGGCCGACAGGGAGTTCGTCGTCTGTGGATCCGGAAAGGCGCAAAGGGCAAGACAGTCCCGAGGCCGAGAGGAGCAGCGATGGATCGTGGCGATGGGAAGCGATCCAAGAGAGGCGAAGGTGGAGAGGAGAGGAGAGGAAGGAATGAGGGCGCGCCGACCGCCAGTCCAACCCTCTAGGGTTGGTCTGTGTGCGGCCCGGCCAACTGGGGCCGACCAGGAAGTATTCATCACGTGGCGAGCGAGTCTCGGGGGCCCTTTGCTACTTGGTTCAAAGAGCATGCATGCCCTTCCGTCTCGGTTTGGCATGGTCTGGCGCTGCCTCCCGGCTCAGTCTGGCTCGACTCGATGGAAGCTCTGCCGGCCAGGCCAACCTGCTGCTTTGTCGGTGATGACAAGGGTCGATCGCGATGCTCTGCAAATCACCTGGTTCGAAGCTGGGCGGGACGAGGGCGTGCAGACGACGAGTTTACCGTGATGAGGCAGGGTGGAGGATAGAGTACAGAGAGCGCCGATACATGCAAAGGGAGAAGAGGACGCGGCAGTACGTCTGAGTCGAAGAGGGGGAGCGCGGGAAGCTTTGGAGGCTGCTGGTCAGGAAGCGCGAGCAACGACTTCTCCCGAGAGCTTCCTCTTTATGGCGTCGCGGATCTCCCACCAGCCGTTTTTGCCGCAGTCGACGATGCCGATTTCGCCCATTTCGAGCGGGTTGATGGTCTTTGCCCTCCTGCCGGTTGCGAGGCGGAGGAGCTCGTCGGTGGCCATGCTGAGCTTGCGCGAGGGTTTGGAGACGGCGCTCATGGATTCCAGAACGGGGCGGTCATCGAGGCGGTACTTGAGGTCTACCCAGAGCCTCCTTGATGCGACGCCTGCCTGGTTGTAGGCGGCGGTGGAAGGGCCCGCGACGGTGCCGCGGGTGACGTTGTGGATGAAGCCGTGCTGGAGTAGAATGGAGACGATGGAGAGGTTGTCCTTGGTGGACGGGATGGCGACTGTGCGGAGGCGGGCGCGGGCAGCGTTCTGAAGGCGCACGCAGAGGTCGGCGTGGAGAGGCATCGTCTGGAGGGGTCCGAAGGAGGCGCGAAAGAGAGAGGGAGGTTGGTAGTGCAAAGATGGCGAGGGGAGGGAAATAGGGTGGGTGGTCAAACGCCGAGGTCGGAGGTTTGAGGGGCAGGAGGCGGATGCTCTGGCCCTTGAGCACTGCGCTGGTGTGGTCGTGTATACTCACTCGATTGACGCGGTTCAGGAAGCGCCACGGTGCTGCTGTTGTTGGTGTCGATGCGTAGTAGTGTGTGTCGAGTGCGGGCCAGAGATGATGGTTGAGGATGGGCGGGTGGGGGTTGCTTAGAGGGAGGGCCCCCTTTGCTGGGGCCTTGCGGCGTGAAGCTTCGAGGTGGCTGGAAAAGTCGGGGCGTGGCCATCGGAGCCGACGAGGCTTGCACTGACGGTGCCTCGGCTTGCAGCCCGAGAGCCGAACGTTTGAAGCCCAACGCTCGGCCAAGGGGTGGAGGCGTCGCCCAAGCAACCAAAGCCGTCCGCTTGTGTGTGTGTGTGTTCCTCTTCTCTGCGGGGCACAGAGTCTCTCTCTCTCTCTGGGCTGTCGGTCTTTGTGGCGAGTGCTTTGGTAGGGGCCTCTTTGGTTGCCTCGCCACTGGCCTCTGCCTCTGCCTCTGCCTCGGCACCTTGCACCACCAACACCTACCCATGGCCACACCCATACGCCTGCTGTAGCACACACACACACACACACCCGCCCGCCATGGTTTTGAAAGCTGCGCCACGCCTCACCGCCAACAATCTCCGCTCCACTACTGCCATCCGCCGCCGCTGCTGCCACGCTACTTCACCCCGGCAGTCACCCTCATCGCCTCAGCCCACGCCCACGCCGTTGCGCGTCTATCGCTACGTCGTCGACGTCCACGGCCAGCTCTTTCTCCACGACCAGGTCCCCAAGAACCTCACCTCTTGCTTCAAAAACACCGCCTTCCTCGACTTCTTCTTCACCCGCCTACGCCCCAACCCGAGCTCGCCCACCTCTCGCGACGGGGCTCGAATCGCACAGTACGACATCCTCTCCGCAGCCCCGGCATCCGGCCCGCAGTGGCCCGACGATCCGAGGCTACAGGACGCCGACACCGACACCGACACCGCCCGCCAACTGGCATGCCGTCTGGCCAACGACGATGGCTACGAGTGGCTCAGCCCCTGCGGGCCCGAACTCAACTTTGTAAAGACCCAGGACACGCCCATCGTCTTTCGCGAGCTCACAAGCACCGGAAAGCTCCACTACGCCGGCTCCCTCCAGCACGACTTTGCCCCCGACTCGCTACACGTCGATCCCTCTACCGGCTACCTCTACCACCCGTCGCCAGACCCGACCTCGGACTCCGTGCGCACTCGCAGGCGTGCCAAGTCTAAGCCTGACTCTGCCCAAAGGTATGGTCGCTTCAGCCTGCTCTCCTCTAGTCTCGTGCTCCAACACCTTGCACACGACCTCGAAATCGATCCAGACCAGTTCCACGCGGGCGATGCCGGCAGCGTCCAGTGGCAGGGCACACGTTATCCGCTCCGCTTGCTTCCCTCACCCGCCCCTTCGTCGTGACCTGACCTCTTGAGCGCCAGGCGAGGCCATGCCGCCTCGCTCCACCTGCTCGACAGACACCGATACTTGATGCCATCACGCTCGCGCGCCATGATCCTGGGACGACTGCCTCGATCCTCACTTCGGTCCAGGAGTGGTAATCCTATGAAAGTCGTAGAGGCATTGGAGAACTGTTATTTCGATTTTCTCGTCGTCGCTAGAGGCGGCTGGCGCATCGGCCATCATACAAGGACGGTTACGCAGGTCAAGAGCGAATGCCGGTCCGACCCCGGTTGGATGCGTTCAGCTCGAGGGCAGCAAGTCCTGGCCTTCACGCGCCCATCCTCGAAATCAGCATCTTGACGCCGACCAGGCCAGCAGTGATGTCGCCCGTGGCGCTCGTGACGAGCTGCAGGTGGATGTTGAGTGCAGCTTGCTGGTTTCGCGCGTTGATGGCTGCGACGAAACGAGGGAGAGACAGGGTTCGAGAATCGTTGCCTGTCAGGACAAGTCGCACGCCGACACGAGAAGATCCGTCAAGCATCATGCGACGAGACGTGGAGCACTCACCTCCGACGAGCTGCAGGAGCCCCTGGATCAGTTTGGCGTCGATCGTGCCGCAGTTGAGGTGGTCGAGCAGCAGGTTGATCCTCCTCTCGGTATCGTCGACCATGCGCTTCTGGTTCGGCGGCGACATCGCCTTCAGGCGCCCAAGCTCCTGGCTCAGGGTCTGCAGAATGGGCTTCTGGTTGTCGGGAATGTGCGATCGATCGCCGGCGGCTGCGCATCAGAGAGGGAGACAGATGGGTATTTCGACGTCAGCATGCCGGTGCAAGAGATTTGCTCAGCGCCGCCGCAGCCTACTCACGATACTTGAGGGCGGGCGTGGCCTTGGCGCCAGGCGTTGCGCTTCGCGGGGGAGCACCAGCTCCGGCTCCGGGCGTCACAGCTCGCATCGGCGCACCTCCGGGAGGCGGTGCCATGCCCGGCACTCCAGGCTGGCCCGGCATGCCCATACCGGGTCCTCCGGGCGGCGGTCGAGGCGCGCCGGACGGCGCTGCACCGCCGGGTGGACCGTACGACCCCATCGCGGACGGAGGTCGGCCGTAGGGTCCAGCTGCAGGACCGCCGTGACCTGGGACGCCGGGAGGAGGCATCTGCTGATGCTGCTGGTGGTGGTGCTGTTGAGGTTGTCCATACGGGCCGGGCGGCGGAGGTCCGGCCTGGCCGGGTCGCGGCGGAGGCGGGACACCAGCTGCGCCGGGAGGGGGTCGGAATCCAGGGGGGCTCTGGACGCCGCCAGGGCGAGCGCCATACTGCTGACCGACGCCGGGGGGAGGCGGGCTCATGAGTCCGCGTGAAGGCGTCGACCCGCGAGGGGGACCCTGCGGTGGGGCGGCGCCGTAGGGAGCGGGCGTGGAGGCGGGGGAGTTGGGGAAAGGCGAGGTGATCGCCTTGGCCTTCTGACCCATCGCGCTCGGCGTGCGGATGGGCGCGGTGGCCGCCAGAGGGACATCGTTCCAGCCGCTGTTGTCGCGCTTGACCGGCGGGGGCGGTGGGAGCGCCTGCTGCTTCGACTGGTAAGACATGCCCATGGGCGGTGGAGGCACAGCAGCCGGATCCGTCGCACCGTACGCCTGACTTGGAGCCGAGTAGGGGCTGTAGGCGTAGTCCTGGGCATTGGGCAGACCGAAGCCGGGGCCTGCCGCGGGCGTCGGAACCGAAGGGGCATACCGGCTCTGTGTCTGAGGCTGGGCCGCCGCAGGCTGCGAGGCAGGAGCAGCGGCGTAGGAATCCTGGCCCGCGTACGAGGGCACCGCGGGCACCATGGGCACCGAAGGCACCGAAGGCACCGGGGGGACTGCGGCCGACCCGGCATTGGCGGTTGAAGCAGCTGAGTACTGGTCGTAGCTGTAGCCGTTGGTCGAAGCAGCGGTAGCAGAGGTAGCACCAGGAGCCGCGGTTGTGTACGCATCGCTCGCATGGGCGCCGAAGTCAGCCCGGGGCCGGGCGGCCTCGGCCTGCAAGAGCCGCTGCTTGATGGCGCCGGCAGTCAGGCCCACGGCCGTCGAAGGCCCCGCGAGCCCGGGCAGGGCGCTGCTCTTGGGACGATAGTCGACAGGGGTCTGGTCGACGAACTTGAGCGCGGACGAGATGAGACCCTGGTCCGCCAGCAGCTCGATGTACTCGTGGATCTTGTCGTAGAGAGCGCCGAGCTTGTAATTGCGGCCGGCATCGACGCCGGACACCGTTTGCTGCAAGTCGACATCGACGTACCCGACCGCATTCTGGAAGACAGTGATCTTCTCCATGAACGTCTGGAGGGCCTCGGCGTGGGCCGAATACAAGGTGCCCTGCTCCGCGGAATCGTCCCTGGCGCCGTTGCGGAGGGCGAGCTCCTCCTCGCGCATCTCGTCGATCCACATTCCGGCCACCTTCTCCAGCTTGCCAGCTGCCAGGTAGCAGAGCACGGCGTCCCTGCGGTGCTCCTTTGACGCGCTCGGGTCGCTGCCTTGTGTAGAGATGTACTTGGCCTCGAGGCGCTGTCCGAGCTGTTCGGCCAGGTTGCTGAACTCGTCCTGCTTGGCAAAGGTGCAGAGCACCACGAAGATCTCTTGCCACTCGGCGAGCTCCGCGTTCTGCACGACATCCGACAGATCGTTGGACACAATGCTCTGGAAAAGCCGCAGATAGGGCAGCTGGGCGGTCCGCTTCTCGAAGTAGGCCTTCTGCGTCCGCTCGAGCAGGTCTTGACCGCCGCGGACGGCGAGCAGGAGGGCGTCGGCGAAGCGGTCCGACGAAATGCACAGCGAGACGGCGCTCTCGAAGTCACCAAGGACGAGGGCTCGGGTAATGAGCTTGTCCGCCGTCGACTCCTCGGCAGGATAGATGCGGAAGGGCGACGCCTTGGCCCCGGCAGCGGATCCGGTCTCTGCAGAAGAGGGGTCGGCAAGTGGAGCATCCGCCTCGCCATCGCCGATTTGGTCGAAAAAGTCGGCGGCGGAGGCGTTGGCGGGGGTACTGTTGGCGGCAGCGCCTTCTTCGCCGAAGAGGCTGGCTTCCTGGTCCTGAGGGGCATCGCTCTCGCCTTGTCCAGCAACCGAGTCAGCCGAGGCATCCCCGTTCGGTGCGGGAGTGGCTTCCTCGCTGGCCGCACCAGATGCAGTGTCGACAGCGGCGGTCGCCTCGGTGGCAGCTGTAGCGGAAGGAGCCGTTGAGGCGAGGTCGGTCGACTTGAAGGCCTCGATGGCACCAGAGACCTTGGCGGCGACGTCCTCCTTCGAGAAGCCGAGGAGCGCGACGAGCTCGTCTCGCGAGTCGGCTCGGAACAGCGTCTGGAGCGCCTTCCAGTTGGCGATGTCGTGGCGGGCGGTTGAGTCCTTGCTACGCTCTTGACAGAAGTCGGCCAAGGTCTGCGAGTCGAGAGCCTGCTGCAGCCTGGTGGCCCTCTGGACGATTGAGGGCTCGGTGACGACGTCGCGGAGGTGGATGGTGCTGCTCTGCGTCTTGCCGGTAGCCCCGGGCAAGTTGCTCGTCGAGACCAGTTGGCCGCCGAAACCGAAGGTGGCCGAGACGGGCCGACGCAGCCACTTGGGCGGCTGCTTGAGCGACAGGCCCTTGGAGGGCGCATCGGTCTGGGCGGGCATGTTGAAGAAGTCGGAGCCCTCTGCGACGGGAGCTGCCGCGACCGGATCGCCTTCCGGAGCGTTGGTGCTCTGCAGGGAGTGGACCCCGATGCGTCCGTCGAAGCTGGCGGTGGCCAGCATGCCCGGGTTACGCGGGCACCACTGGACCTCGAACGACCAGTTGGAGCTTGAAGGGAGCTCGCCGACGATCTCGCACGTCTGCGGATTCCAGCAGATGGCGCGGTTGTCCTTGCCGCAGGAGAGGAGCAGGTCGGCGTCCTGCTTGCACCACGAGAGCGACAGCACACCCTTGTCGTGCCCAGTCATGATCTTCTCGGGAGCGCGAGAGTTTCGCAGGTCCCAGAGCATGATGACGGGGCTGGTATCGTCCTCGCTCGCAGTGACGAGGCGCGTCGGCGTGTCAGGGTGCCATGCGACGGCGCTCATGCCGCGTCGGCCTCCGGCTGCCAGCGCGCCACCGACGCCGCCGTTCATGCCGCCGAGGTTGCCGCCCGCGGTGCCAGCGCCTCCGCCGTATTGAAGAGCGACGACCTCGCGCTTGCCTTTCAGGTCCCAGACCACGGTATACCCGCTCGACGACGACGTGGCCAGGACGTGGGGCACCTGGGCGTTCCACGCGAGCGAGGTGATCTCGTCGAGCTTTTGCGAGCGAGCGCCCGGCGAGTACGGCTTTCCGGGCGAGTTGAGGTCCCAGATGAAGATCTGTCAAGGGTGGGAAGGTGTCGGCAGATGTCAGAACCAGACTGGACGACTGCGGAGTGGGCAAGCAGCACACAGGCCCGGTGGCGCCTGGGTTCAGCCGCACCAGAAGGGGGCAACAAAAAACTTACCTCGCCATTGACGGCACCGCTCGACAGGAGGTTTGGCTGGAGTCCATTGAAATCGAGACCGCGGACCGGACCCGAGTGCGTGTTATTCTTCATGACTTGCGAGCTGCAGAGGAAGGAGAGGACCGGAAGCCATCGTGGTGTCAGTCAGAGGCCGGTTCGCGCGCGTGAATGCCAGGAGTCCGACGACATACTCTTCAGGACTCGAGCCAGCGAGGACCTTGTCGGCATCCCAGATTGCGAGCTCGCCATTCTCGAGGCCGGCAGCTAGTAGGCCTTTTGGTCGGGACGGGTTGACGTAGCCCCAGGCAAGGCGGTTGAAGCTGGATGAGGGGGAGAAAGATCGGCGTAGACGCAGGAAGGAGACGAAGGCAGAAAGCAGTGTCAGCCAACACGGACCAACGAAGGCAACGAGGCGCGGCGATCGACTGGAGCTCTATCACGGTACCCACCGGGCGCTGGTAGCGACGCTGCCGAGGGGCTTGGCGTCGGACTGGTCGGATGGCGAGGAGGAGTAGCCGGGCTGCCAGAGCTCGAGAACGCTCTCGTTGCTGAAGCTCTCGTCGAGGGCGCCTGCGACGGTGCCGGTGGCGATCAGGGGGCTATCCGTCTCGAGCGCCGAGGGCGACCAGGTGAAGGTGGCGGTGCGGCCGATGTTTGCCTTCATGATGCGGCGTGAAAAGCCAGGAGTTGATGGGCAGGTCGGAGTGGTTGCGGCTGTATGCAGCTCTGTCGTGCCAGGTCAAGGCAGGAACCGGCGCTGCCAGACTCGCGGCGAAAAGCTTTGGGCGGACGAAGATGGGTCGGGACGAGGCGAAGAGCGAGCTTGCAGCGACGAGAGATCAAGGCGGGGCGTAGCAGCAAGCAGGGAGGTCTTTGCGGCGCTGCGAACGAGCGGCGAGCCCGAAACTCAGGGTGAGCGATGTGTGAGTCGAGACTGCCGTGGGTGAAGGGAGAGAGGTGGCTCGAAAGGGGGAGAACGCAGGCAATATCTGCGCGCTGTCGTGCCGGGTCGTCAGGAAGGGGCGTGACGGTACAGATGAAGATGGGGAGGGACGTTATGATGGCGATACGGTGGGGAGGGTGCAGAAGACAAGGAGGTGGCATCCAAGGAAGGAGCGCCTCTGGCCATGCCACGTCGACCACGCCCCCAGCCTAGGACTGGAGGCGGCGGCCGGCGTGCCAGCCAGCCAGCCAGCAGCCCATTCACGCCAGCCCAACGTCGTTTGTTGGCCTGAGCTCGTCGCGAGCCTGCCCGCCCTGGCCTGGCCTGGACTGCAACGCCAGGTAGGCCTGCCGCGCTGGCACCTGCTCCCGCGCCCATCCCTTTGAGGTGCGAGGCCGCAATACCACCGATTCAAGAGATTCTTGAGATTTCTAATCTCCATCCCCCTCTCCAATTCATTTCTCTTGGGCGGCTCCGGGGGGGGAGTTCAAATTCCTCTGGATCCGACTGGTGCTCGATCGCGCACGGGTCAGGTCAAAGCACCCAGCAGCAAGCAACACCCGGCGGCGGCGGCCAGCCCCGCGAGCGCTGCCTGGCCTCGGCGCCTGCAACCGACCCAGAGGCGTCCACTCCAGGGCGTGGTGATGGTGGTGGTGAGGTCTCCCGCCTGCCTCAACCTGGCTGGTCCGGCTCGGTTCGTGCGACGACGACGGCGACGGCGGCAAAGGCGAGGAGATGCTTGAGACTCGACAGATCTCGGCGATCCTGTCACCCCTCAGCTTCTTCCCACGTCGACGCCCTCTGCCGTGGCTGTACGGCCGGCGACCGAACTCGAGGACGACAGCAAGACACAAGCTGGAACACGCTGCACTCATGGCTATCAACACACACGTACACACGAGGCGGCGGAGGCGATGCGGATGTCTGCGACTTGCTGGGCGCGCCGTTTCACTCTTCCCCCACCCATCTTGAGGCTATGTCGCCGACGTGGGGCAGGTAGGGATTCCTTGCCAGCGATGGCGCTGCCTTATGCGCCGTCGAGCTGCACGTTCGTGGCGTCCGAGACGGAGCGGGACGAGGCAAGACGGTGGTCAGTCCTGGGCACGTCGCGATGGAGCAATGTTGGAGCCCGCCCAACTGGGCGCCAGACTCACCCGCAGACCCAGAACCAGCCGAGGGCGGCCATGCCCATCAGCAGGCCGATGGTTTTGAGGCCGAGGACCGACCGCACCAACCAGAGGGCGACGAGGAGCGCGCCACCAAGGATGCCGGATTGATAGGCGTGGAAGCGGGCCAAGTCCTGTTGGAGTCAGCGCGCGGTGAGCGGTGGGCCGAGAGCAGCCGCGAAGACGAGGTGCGTCAGAGGGGTCAGAGAAAGAGAGAGGGAGGCTTTCAATGCAATGCGAAGCAAGGTGAAGGAGCCGCCGATTCGACTGCGCTGCGAGGCTCCACACTAGTACTCACGCTCTCGGTCTCCCAGACGAGGACGATTAGGCTGGTAAAAGGGGGCAGCGCCCAAGCGATGGCGCAGACGCTGCTCAGGCTCCAGGATTGAGAGGTGTTGAAGGACTGCGCAAAGGGGCTCGAATGATCCGAGAGGCGAGGCGGACCGGCGACGGACCAAGCTGGCTGAACAGGCGGTACGGTGGACGAAGGGAAGCCGTGGGATGGGGAATGGTCGTGCGAGGTGGCGTCAAAGACGACGGTGTGGTGGGTGTTTGACGGCGGCGGCGGCGGCTGCTGCTGCTGATAGGACTCGGTCGTGTATCTCGGATCGAGGTCCTCGTCGAGCGATGGCCTGTAGGGGGACGAGGTAGAGGTATCGGTTCGAGGGTCGGTCATGCTGGGGTCGTATGGCCTTTATCGCGGCGTCTCGCGGCGTCTTGATGGGACGGGTGGAAGGTGCAATCAAGAAGAGGTGGCTACCAGGCCAGGCAGCAAAGTGCCGCTGCCACGCCTGGGCCACGCACCCACCGCCGTTGGGCTCTTCGTTTGGCCGTGAAGCCCACAGCCTGGCCTGCCGTGCCAAGCCTCCACATGGCCCGTCCGCTTCTGCTTGGCGTCACAGAGAGCCGTGAGTGATGTACGACTGAGCCCTTGGCCGCCGCCCCGGCATCGGTCCGACCCATCCAACTCTTTGCTTCCCTTACCACCACCACCACCACCGCCACCGCCACCGCCTCCCTCGCTGGCCTCGTGGAAGCGCTCTCTACCCTGATTCCCCCGCGCCACAATGTCACACTTCAACACGCCCAGCACCGCCAACGACGACCAAGGCACCCCTTCGATCCTAACCTCGCGCCTCTCGAGGCTCAACCCCTTTTCAAAGGCACAAGATGACGAGGACCTCGGCGAACAGTTTGACTTCGACTCCATCGCAGGCGGAGGCCATGCCTCCAGGCCCACGGCAATCACAAAGCGACAGCTCAGGGTCAGCCACGCCCTCCGTCGCTTCCTCGTCGACAACAACGTCCTCTCCCACCAAGACGCCGCCCCCGACAGCGAATCCGTACGTCCATTCTGCCCCTCCGCATCAGCTCTCGTCGTGCTCAGACTGATCCGCTCCCTTCCCGCTCACACTCGCGCTCGTTCCGCCGGCTGTAGATGACGCCGGCAATTTGCGAGCTCCTCGACGCACCTCACATCGAGGTACCAGCCCATGCCACCGATCGCTCCCACCCTTTATCGGAATACTTCATCAGTTGGTCGAAGCCCCGGTCTCATCCGCCCTGTTCTCGCTGCTCCGCCCGGCATGCTGGATCTTCGCTGATGCTTCGCCAATCTGCCCTTGCCCTGGTGTCCAGGCTCGAGCCACAACACCTACCTCATGGCCCATCAGCTTTACGGCACCTCTTCGGCCGTGGCCTACGAAAGGGCGCTCCTCACCGGAGCCCGCTGCGTTGAGATCGATGCTTGGGACGACGATGACGATGCCGAAGAACCCAAGGTCACTCACGGCTACACCCTCGCCTCCCACATCTCCTTCCGAGCCGTATGCGAGACGATCCGTGACGCGATCGACAAGGAGGTCGAGCAGGCTGCCCGCGACCAGTCCCTCCATCCCGCCCCCGTACTCATCTCGCTCGAGAACCACTGCAACGCTCAGGGGCAGCTCAGGCTCGTCCAAATCATGCAGGAGGTCTGGCAGGACCGGCTCGTCAGCGAGGCCGTACGAGCCGAAGGCCACTCGGAGCAGCAGGGCACCGGCGAAAAGATCCGGCTGGACCACCTGGGGGCCAAGATCGCCGTCATGGTTGAGTTCCACCTGGCCGGCGAGAAAGGCGATGGTGACGGCGACGATTCCAGCAGCAGCAGCAGCTCGAGTGATGACGAAGACGCTGAGCACCAAGAGGACCGGAAGAAGTACAAGGAGAAGAAGAAAGCCACGAAGGCCGTCGGCATCATTCCCGAGCTTGCGGCCCTCGGAGTCTATGCCCAGTCGGTCAAACCCGTCAACGACTCGTGGCTGAGCGGCGAACTCGCCGCGGGGCCCCACAACCATCTCATCAATATGTCAGAAAGCGGCGTCGGCTCACTCATCCCCAAATCGGGCGACAAGATTGCTCGCCACAATGCCCGCCATCTGATGCGTGTCTACCCCAAAGGAACACGCATCTCGTCCCGCAACCTCAACCCGGTCCCGTTCTGGGGCGTCGGGGCCCAGGTATGCGCTCTCAACTGGCAGTCTTACGACCATGCCATGCAACTCAACGAGGCCCTCTTCAGCGGCTCGGACGGATACGTCCTCAAGCCCGCAGCCCTGCGGATTGGCGGCAGCGGAGACCTTTCCACGGGCCGTAAGAAGCTGAAGCTCCACATCGCGGGTGCCACCGACCTCCCCATCCCTAGCGGACGCCAAGCCGACGATATTCGCCCATACGTCAGCTGCACCCTCGTCCACCCGAGCGACCTGGAACGCAAGCCGCCCAAGAGGAAGACCTCGGGTTACAAGCAGCACAAGCTGCAGATCATCCACAAGGGCGAGCAGCCCATCAACACCGACCCAATCTGGAACGAAGTCCTGGAGTGGGAGTACGACGACAACGAGCTCACCTTCCTCCGGCTGATCGTCAAGAGCGACGACAAGTTCTCGCGTAACCCCATGTTTGCCGTCGCTGCCGTGAGGTTGAGCTACTGCACTCCCCACTGGCGCTTCATCCGCCTGCTCGATCTCAAGGGGCGCGAGACACACGGCACCCTCCTCGTCAAATTTGACTTTGAAGACATCTAAAACGTTCCTTGAATCCGATCTTGCTTAGCTCGCCACGACCGCGAGAATCTACATTTGCCGGTGTGTGCGTGTCCGTCGCTGGGGGCTGCAGCCACGTAGCAGCAAAACTCTGCCAATTTTTTTCAACACAGCTTGTCAAGCAAACAAATTCTGCTGCTAACGGCTGAATTAGAGGCATATCTAGCATTGATCAGCTGGGCAAGCGAGATACCCCTATGGCAAGCAGGGCAGCAGACCCATACAGTCAAAAATGTCCTAGGCCCCCTATGGCCCTGGGTGCTGTAGGGGTTTGATGATCTCCTGCAACACTCATAGCTAGCATCAGGATCTGGTAAACAAAAAAAAAAAAAAAAAAAAAAAATCGCACGTGTATAACAATTTGAAAATCTAGCTGCGGCCAGCTTGTGCAATTTCTCAGATCGCAGCAGGCATGCCATCAGCTGCGATCTGAGATCCTGAATTTTTCCTGCCTGCAATCTGAAATCCACTCATAGTGGCCAGGATTTCAGATCGCACTTGTATAATGACTCTTAAATCCTGGATCGCACAGCCTGTGCGATTGGAAAAATCGGAAATTCCTTTTGCTGCTAGCTATGAATGCAGCGGTATGGTACTGTAGCAACTCACCTGAGCAAGCGCTGAAGAAGAGAAGCACGCGCAAGCGGAGAGCTAGGAGCAGGCCTGGGCTGGATTTGGATGGTGGTGGCAGGAGGGGAAAGAGGGAGGAGGGCCGGGTGGCAAAAATGCTCAGTTGAGGGGCTGCCTTGCTGGCAGGCAAAAAACCAGGTCCGCTCGGCCGAGAAAAAAGTCGCGTCAGGGTCAGCGTGGCCCTGGCTTTGGGCCTGCGTCAGCGCAAGCCTGTAGTGTGGCAAGGTTGGTCTAGAAGGCAACGGCAACAAAGAGGCAATAAGGAGGCGTGTCAGCACTGTTAATGGCACTCTAGGTCCAACACAGCCAATCGGCGGCAGCGGCGCAGGCACTCACCGGGAGCATGAGGTCTCAACCTTCCCCTGGTGAGGCATGGGAGGGTACTGAGTGGTGGTGGCGGCAGCTGAAGAGGCTGAGAAGAGGGCAGAAGCGTGAGCGACCTCAACAGCAATTTGTAGCTAGGGGCAGGCTTTTGGCCTGCAATTTCAGGAATCGTAGATCTCGTACAATATGGCAGTGCCGTAGGAGATCGTTAATTCCATATGTCATCTGGTGCCGTAGGAGGACCTACAGCACTTTTGGCCATAGAGGACCCTCGCAGCGCTTACCGCATGCCTGCCCTCGCACCCGCAGCCGTATGTATTCCACGGGCATTGTATTCATGATTGCAAAATCTAGTTACACTACTGCGGTACCAGCAAACAGGCAAGGTGATCAAAGGAGGGGCGCGGCAACGGCATTTGTGGGAGGCGGGGCGAGCAAGCAGGAAGGCAGGCGGCAGGGCGGCAGCAGGCAACAGCGGCAGAGCATTGTTGGAAGCAAAGAAAGGCGGTAAGGGAGGAGCAGGCAAAAGGGAGACGGGAGCAAAGGAGTCAGCAACGGCGCGCAGAGCAGCAGAAGGACAAGAGCAGCACAAATTCACATGAGGCGGAGCAGAAGCAAGTGCCTCAATCATCGGAGACGCCGGAGGAGGCCTCTCCGACGTTTCCGATGATTGACAGTGGCTGCTGGCGGAAGCAGCGGCGGGGCGGAAGCAGCGGCGGCTGGCAACTCACCGGGTGGCTGGCTGAGCCGGCTGGTGGCTGCTGGCTTGGCAGGTGGCTGGCTGGCTGGGCCTCTTGCTGAGCCTCGCTGGCGGCTGGCGGCTGGCGGCTGGCTGGCCGGCTCAGGTGGCGGCTGGGCAGCTGGGCCTGGTGGGTAATGGGCCTTGCTGGTGGCTGGCAGGTGGCAGGCTGGCTGGCTGCTGGCTGCGCTGACGGCTGGCTGATGGCTGGCTGGCAGATGCTGGCGAGTGGTGGCGGCTGCTGGCAAGTGCTGGCGGCTGGCACCGGGTGGTGGTGGCTGGCACCAGGTGGTGGTGGTAGGAGGCAGGAGAGACAGATAGGCAGCGGATGGATTTCGCAAAGGCCCGGGTGGCAAGGGGCCAAATGTGCGTATGCAGGGCCCCCTGTGCTGACATAGGCAAAAAGTGTCATTTTCTGCGCAGGGTAGGGTCGGCCTAGGGCCGTAGGCAGCCCTACAGCCAAAAATGCCGTAGCTGCCCCCCAGAAAATGGCCGTAGGTAGCCTTATGGCCCGAAAAGGGCGCAGGAAATTGCCGATGTCCAGCTGTAGGGCTGCCTGCGGCTATTCTTAGCGTAGACGGTCCCCGCTTCTCCAATTTTGGCCTGTAGGCCAGCCTACGGCCAAAACCCACCTGTCCTTTGACGCTAGCTATGGTTGGCTTTCATCCTTGCCCCATCCTTGTCCAGCAGCATGCATCAGTTGCAACAACAACATGCAAACACCATCACCAGTCATACTGCTACACCGCGCTTGCCAAGGTCAGTATTGTCACTTTGTTGCAGCACGCTGATAACCATGAATCTGCTTCTATCCCTTTTCTCAGGTCTCAGGTCAAAACCCTGCTTGCCACCATGCCCTGCATCAATGCGCTGCCGCCATCAAACTGACGCCAACTCTGGCCTGCCCTTCCTGTGATTTGTCCCTTGCTGGTGGCAGCCCCAGCAGTGCAGTTCAGAGTTGCCTGGGAGGGTCTATATGGCCCTGTCAGCTAGACCTGCCAGTCATAGCTAGTAGCAAAAATGATTTCCGATTTTTCCTATTGCACAGGCTGTGCGATCCAGGATTTGAGAGTCGTTATACAAGTGCAATCTGAAACCCTGGCCACTATGAGTGGATTTCAGATCGCAGGCAGGAAAAATTCAGGATCCCAGATCGCAGCTGATCGCATGCCTGGTGCGCTACTGAGAAATCGCACAAGCTGGCTGCAGCTAGATTTCAAAATCGTTATACATGTGCGATTTTTTGACCAGATCCTGCTGCTAGCTATGAGTTGGCGGTCTAGCTGGCGCAGCAGTCTCTTTTCCTGCGCATTGCCCACTTCCGGACTTGGCCTAACATTCCTACCTGCCCTTGCTGATGACCAACAGCAAGCCTTGCCCCTTGCACGCGGCCCCAGACATCAGAACGTCATCAGGTGGGCTGAACGGTGAATATCTGCTGCACCAGTTGCTGCCAAGGCTGCTGATGCCTTCCTCTTTGACCTCTGCTGACATCGCCACCCAATTGCCACACTGCAGCCATCATGCCCTTAGGTCTGTCTCCATCTTTGTTGCCAGCAGTCATAGCTAGCAGCAAAATGTATTCTCATTTTTTCCCATTGCACAGGCATGAGGCTGTGCGATCCAGGATTTGAGAATTGTTATACAAGTGCAATCTGAAATTTCAGCTTGTAGGCAGTATATTCCAGGATCTCAGATTGCACCTAATGGCACATCTTGTGCGCTTTTGGAAAATCGCACAAGCTGGCTGTAGCTGGATGTCCAAATCCTCACGCATGTGCGTTTTTTTCAGATCAGATCCTGCTGCTAGCCTTGAGTGCCTACTGAGCTTGCTGCTGACCCTTTCTTCTGCATGCCCCCTCTCTGCTGCCTCCTGCATTCATACCCTGCATGCTGTTGTATGCTTGCCCCCAATTTGCAGGTGCAATTGGATTGTAGTTTCTAGTAGCATAAGTAGGCATAGCAAGCAGCAGGGTTGGACCCAATTTCGGTCGTAGGCAGGCTACAATCTAAAATTGGGGATCAATCCCTATCTTCGATTTTTCTGATGCGTAGCCTACCTTCAAATAGCTACGATCCAACATTCGAAATTGGGCCTACCTATGATCCGAGATCGTAGCCCCACCTGCCTGCCTGCCTGCCTTGCCACCTCATGGCCGCTGCCGCCTCCGCACTGTCAATCATCATAATCCTCGGAGAGTGAGAGCAGATCTCTGAGGATTCTGATGATTGACAGCCGCTCTGCTTCCGCTCTGCAGCGAGCAGTCATACTGGCTGGCTGGCTGGCAGGCTCGGGCTGGTGGGCGAGGTGGCTGGCAGACTGGCGCGCAAGCCGGCTGGAGAGCAGGCTCGGGCTGGCTGGCTTGGGCGCGCAAGCTGGCTGGCTGACGCGGCTGACTAAGCTTGCATGCGCGCAAAAAAAAAGTGGAGGCCAGGCTGCGCTGCCAGGCCGCGTGCGTGTGTGCTCAGGCAGGCAGGCAGGCAGCCTGCCGTGCCAGCTGAGCCTCGCCCGCCTGCCTGCCTCGGTATAAACTCTTGCCCGCTCCGCTGTAGCTTTGTCCCTCCCGACCACTACCATCGACCTTGCCCGGCATCGACCCTTGCCCGCCAACAACCCTCGCCTGCCACTGGACCTTTGCCTGCCATCAGACCTTCGCCTGCCGCCACCACCCAACTGCCGTCAGCCCTCGCTTGCCGCCATCGGCCCAATCAACCTTGACGCCACCAACAAGCACCTTCCCCAGCCGCCTCACCCCGCCACCATTGACGCCAACTTGCTGCCACCACCAACGCGAACTTGCTGCTACTGCCAACGCCAACTCGCACCGCCCACACAACAAAGACCGCCTCTCGCTAGCGTGAGTCACAAGCTGTATGCGCGCGGTCGCTACCTGCTGATCTCAGGTGCTGACAGCGATCTCTGCTTGCCTCCTGGCGCATACACAACAATGCCACCTACGGACAACTGCCACTCACTTAGCAGATCATCGGCATGTCAGCAGGTGAGTCGCCCTTTCTGATTTTGTCGCATCTACCGCATCAACGATGCTGACAATGCTCCTTTCTCTCTCCATCTCACCAGCAGCCGCCACCACCAAATTGCCGACGCCAACCCCGGCTTGACCCTCGCTGTGAGTACCTCCTTGCCGGCGCAGGTGCTGCTGCCAGTCAACAATGCTGATGATGGCCTCGGTATCTGCCTCATTTCCTCTTTCTGCCTCCTCTCTCCACCTCCATTTCCTTCTGCGCTCTGCAGTCGTTTGTTTGCAGTGGTATTGTAGTTTTAGTAGATACTAATCTTGCAACTAAAGCTAGTATGGGGTTCAGTTGATTGTAGCCTGCATTTCTGTCATATCTGAGCTACGATCCAAAAATCGTAGGTAGACCGTTCTAGCCACGATCTGAAAATCGTAGCTAGTATACAATCTAAAAATCGGCATGGCCGGTCTGCATCCTGAAATCGTTTGTGTAGAAGGATCACCTACGATCTGGAATTCGTAGATTGGCTACGCCTACCTACAATCTGGAAAAAATCGTAGGTTGGCCCTGCTGCTAGCTATGCCAGAGCCGTAGTTCTGCGTCAACCTCTAGAGCTGTGGTGCTCCTACAATCCTGGAGCCCTAGCTGACTGACAGCATTTTGCCTGTAAACATATGGCCCTGCGGTGCATAGGGTTCCTATGGACCAAAGTTTGAAGTGGGAGACCGGCTGAGTACAACCCTGGGGTGCGAAGGAGATCTTAAACTCCCGGGGCCGTAGCTAATTCCCTGCCGCCAGCTAAAGGCAAAGCCCTTGCTGGTAACACTTCCAAGCATAGTGAGCAGCAGGACCTCAATGTCTGATGAATTCAGGAAGTCGACAGCATGGCGGGTGCAGGTGGCGTGGCGGCGGATATATGAGAGGGAAAAGTTGGCGTGGACGTGGATGGCAAACGCGATTTGCGCAGTGCTCACCTGGCCGTTTGCCGCGACCCGGGGGCCATGCGGTGACACTATCGACGATGATTCCCGCAAAGTGCGGACGACGTTGGGGACGACATCCTAAGTCTTCTTGGAGGTGTCGCGGGAGAGGATGGCGGCTCGGACGACCGTCCCGAAAGTGGTCTCGATGGAGTCGATGCCCTTGTTTGGCTCGCGGCCCTTGCAGTCCTCGCAGAGGAAAACCGTCTTTGAGGTACGGTGGAGCCACAGACGAGGACGATCTCGAGGTCGCCGAGACAGTTTATGGCAGGTTCGATGTTGAAGGAGAGGACGTCACCGCAGATTCCCTCGAGGCGGCAATGCCGACGAGGGTATGAAGATTGGTATCTTACGAGAGCCAGCCGGGCTTGTCGGGGACATGAGCGGCCAACTGTAAGGAGGATCATGTTCATAGTAGAACCGCCTGAGGTTGTCGTCGGACCGGCACATTTGTTCGGCGCATGTACGGCGGTCGCGGAGCCGGCTAGTAGCGCTGCACGCGTCGCAGTTGTAGCGTGGTGGGACCGTGACGGTATCGATCGCGCAGGATATGAGGCGAGAGAGCGACTCGAGGATCTAGACCGGAGCTGGCGTTGCTACAGTGTCGGACGCAGTGGTGACTCCCCGACCCTGGTCCTTGTCGGAGCAACCAGGGGTCGCCATGAGGGTGAAGGTAACGCCGCAGCGGGGCGTTGGAGGCAAGACGGCCGTGACGGCGAATGTGTCCAAGCCGGAACTCGGCCTGTCGCGTTAGGCGCGGGCAGCGACGTCCTCTTCCATCAAGCTACCACGGTGTCGACGATGCTCGTTGTCCGTGTCTCAGGCTAACGTCCTCGCAGACACGCTGCACCGCCAACAGCGGACCGAGCACAACGTCGGACCGTTTGGCTTGTCTTGTTCAGCAGCGAGGCTCCCTGGGCCGGTCCGTACCATTTTGGCCGTTGCGCGGTCACGGTGAGCGGGTCTTGGATCGGCGCAGAGCTCTGAACGGTTGAGTGTAGAGAGGGTGGAGACGTTGAGGCTGGCGGCAAGAAGTGCATCAGCCTGTCGAGTGAGACGGCGAGTGTGGATTTGACGGTGAGCTTGGCCGTGAAGTGGAGCCACGATGGCGGTGGTGGCGGCGAGGGTGCGTTGATGATCCCCGCTGGCCCGCGGGGGGCGTCGGCGCGGGCAATTTGGCTTTTGGGCTGCCCCCGGCTGAGGCCTCGAAGGGTCGGTCAGTTGGGAGTCCCGGGTTGCTGCGCGCCACGCTCTCTGCTGGGCGAGTGTTCCAAGCCGACCATTTCCCTCCACACCCGTCCACCACCAACATCGTCGCCCATTCCCTCTGCCTCGTACACCCTTCTGCGGAGCCCTGGAGCAGGGCCGGCCCCTCTTGTCGAGTCGCTCAATCGACTGGGTCCTGACGACTTCCCGACTCCGGGTGTCTTCACCCATCCGTAGCGCGCCACTTGCTCTACACTTCGACCCACGCCTCACCTCGTTCGCGCACCCGACCACGCCGCTCACATTCCCCCATGCTTGCTCTGCGCCAGGCCAGCATCATCGCTTGAATGGGCCGACACTCTCATGACAACGATTAGGTCGCAACGATTCGCCGCCCCCCCTTCATCATCTCGATCCCCATGACCGACCGTCACGACTGGTCCCAACAGGCCCGTGCCGCCGCTGGGGCCTTTCCCCTCTACACACACCAAGGCCCGCCACATCAGCAGGCTATGCAGCCCTTCGCCCCGCTCTACGACGGGCGCGATCAGCAGCAGCAGCAGCATCAGCTAGCCGCTCAACATCACGAGCATGCCTGTCCGCAGCCCACGTCGCAGCAAGGATCGCCCCAGCATGTTCATCTACCTAGCGGAAACGGCATTCGCCACTATCCCATTGCGATGCAGCACAACACTCACATCGCCGGACCGTTGACCTACTTCTCACATGCACAGTCCCAAGCGTCCCAGCTCAATGGTCGACAGTCCGCCTCGCAAATGTCGCTGTTCCAGCCCCAGACCGAGGCCCACCACCAGCAGCCGTTTTTACATTCCCCCTCCTCGTCGTACCAGCTGTCCGGACACGGAGATGGGTACACAGACCTGAACATGGCAAGCGGAGGAAATCAGCAACATCTGTTCCAGGGTTCGCTGCCTGCACCGTCCGCCTCTCGTCCCCTGGACGGCAGCCTTTATTCCGCCAATGTCCGGATGAATATGGTGCCCAACATGGCCTCGTCGCTGCAAGGCGATCACCAGCTCGCCACCCAATCTGGACACCGGCAGGTGCCGTCCCCAGGCTACGGTCAGGGTGAGGCGGCGAGCTCGAGCCAGGTTGTCTCCCAGTTATGGCGCCACAGGATTTCGACCGATAGCTCGACCTTGAGCCAAGCGTTTGGCAGCAGTAGCGGCCTTGTCACACCAGCCGGTGCCAACCACCGCACGGATCGAGCTTATCCTGCGAGCAGCCGAGTTGAGGGAGGGCGTTCGAAGGAGGTGCAAGGGTGAGTAGGCGCCAGTCGGGTCCTTTCCGACGACTCCGGCAGGCCGAAGCGGCGAGACCGCCATGCATGTTGGCTTGTTCGCCTGCGCCAGATTCATCGGCATCGGAATCGGGCCGCACCCCGGCCTTCTGGCCACGCCCATCCCGAGCTTGCGTAGCCAGCATGAACGGGCTGATGGCTTCTGGCCAATCCATCGACTGACTGATCTTGTCACCCGCTTCTCACCCTCTGCAGGCTCGACGCCTGGAGCCAGCATGCCCGCGCTTCCACAGACTTCGGCCATCAGCAGCAGCAGCAGCAGCAGCAGGCGGCATCTGGCGGCGGCCGCTTCCGTCAATTCACGGAAGCTCCGGGCTATTCGGGCGGTCCGATCGCGGACGAGCCGCGATTGGCTTTTGGCGGCGCAGCAGGCCAGGGCTGGCCGAAGTCTAGCAGCAATTCGCACAGCTCGCTCGACGCCGCCTGGGGCCCGCCTCGGCCGCAAAGCGCGTCGCTTCCGAGCCCGTCGCCAAGCTTGAACCCGGCAACCTCGTCAGCCTTCTCGCATCGCCCAAATGTCATTCACAGCTCAAGCGGCGGCGATGGCAGCAGCAGCAAAGATCGCGGCACCGCCTCGTACCGCCTTGTCCCCCAGCCATCCGGCGTCGACCAATTCTCGCACAGCGGCCATTCAGCATCCTTTGTCGACGCATCCCCTCTTGGCTCAATCGGCGCGCCAGGTCTCTCAACGGCGTTCGTGCCCCACGAGCAACCCGTTCATCCGCCGCACCAGATTCAGGCCATCAGTCCGTCCTCCACCGTCCCCCAGCCGCGGCAGCCCAGCCCGCCCCCACAGCTACTCCAGCACGCCGGGATTTCATCGCAGTACGGCCCGACCAGTCTCGCTCAACCCCAATACTCGCAGCACTCACATCTCTCGCACCAGCATTCGATGCTGCCGCCGCCATCGACGCAGCAGCAGAATCAGCAGCAGCAGCAGCATCAGCAGCAGCAGCACCAGAGGCAGCATCAGCAGCAGTCTGAGCATCCGGCGCAACAGCAGCATCAGCAGCAGTCTGAGCATCCGGCGCAACAGCAGCATCAGCATCAGTCCGAGCATCCGGCGCAACAGCACCACAGCAGCATCCTCACACCGCCCTTACCCACCCTGCACCTGGTGCAAGCGTCGCCCTCGAGGGCGCCGCTCAACGATCTGCAGTCCCTCGAGCCGGCGACCTCTGCAGTCGCTTCCGCGGATACAGCGATGCCCGAATCCACGCAGCGCAATGGATCATACCAGTGGCCTGCCCAGGCGCAGCAGCAGGCGCAGCCCAGTCTTCGGGCTGACGGCATCATCCGTCAGAACCAGGACAGCAGCGTGCCTCGCTCGGCGTCAGACTCTTGGCAGCATCCGTTGACGGTCCCAGAGTCTCCCGATCCGCTCAACCTGCTCGATGGGCCATCGTCAGTCGCACGCGGATACCACCCCTCGGCGTTCTACGCCGATCCGGCAGCTACAGGCAGCCCCAAGACTTCCAAGAAGCGCAAGGTCGACGCAGTCGGTCCGCGCGAGGCGCCGACCTCAAAGAAGGCTGCCAAAGGAAAGAAGGACCAAGACGCCGTGGGTTCGGCTAAACGGCCATCTGCACCGGTCCGTGCAAAAGTGTCGCCGGAACGCCCAGCATTCGCGAAGCAAAGTTCAGTGATCGAGGTCGTCATACCAGTCACTTCGAGCTCCTCGGCGATGCGCAAGGCTAGTGGCAAGATCAGCCAGCCCGCACCCACACCGCGACCTCCATCCACACCCTCCGCCTCGGTCTACGTGGAGATCCCGCCAGCAGGGCCTGGCAAGCTGCCACTGCCAAAGAACAAGGGCTCGAAGCAGGCGCGAAACACGGCGACCTTTGCCGAGATCGTACTCGACTCGGACTCGGAGCAGGATGCCGAGGGCAGCGACTGGGACGACCTTGACTTGCTCGAAACGTGGAGCACGCCCAAGAGCTTCCTCGGCGGCTCAGACTATGCAACGCCGCTCGGAGCCTCTCGCGTCAGCAACGGGCCGGTCAAGGGTTCCACCCGCAAGGTCCCCATGGCCAAGCTCCGCGGCATGATAGAGGACATCTTCGAGGCCGACGACACGCTGCCCGACTCCGACGCGATGGCGGCCATGGCAGTCGCGCAACCGTTCGACGGCCCTGCCGAGCAGTTCTTCGAGGTGATCGCCTCCCTCCCGGCTGCCTCCGCCTCCTCCGGACCCAGCACGACGGTCGCCGTGCTCCGATTCGAGGTGCTTCAACGACTGCTCAAGTTCGTACGCCAGTGCTCCCGATCCCTGCAGGAGATGTCCGGGCCGGCGCGCACCACGGCGTCCGGTAAGCCGATGGACCTGGCAAGCTTGCCTTTGCAAGACCTCGGCCGTCTGTGCAGCATCCTGAGCCGCACCGTCAGGCTCTCAGAGGACCTCGATCCCTTTCCGGCCCATGCAAGATCCGCGAGCCCGGCAAAGGGTGGCACCGCCAAAAGGTCGATGAAAGGGGCCAAGAGCAGGGCCGACGGCTCACCCGCCATCACCACCCCTCCTCCTCCGGCGGCCGGAAGCGATTCCAACGCACCTCCGGAGACCCAGACCCAAGGCCACACAGTCGCGATGGGGTCGCGTCCGTCGGAGCCTCCCTCGACCGACGACGCCCTCGAGGACCTCAACCTCAAGCTGGCCGCCGCAACTCGGAGCACGCTGGCGGCCGAGTGCTGCCTCGCCATCCTCGGCGCCGACTCGATGCCCAAGCCGCTGCTGTCGGAAGATCTGGTGCGCTCCTGCTTTGACGCAATCAAGACCTCGCTCGACAAGGTCATCCTGCCGTTCATCGAAGGATGCTCGAGCGGGGCCATCGCCTCTTCGCACCCTCTCCTGGCGGTCCTGATACAGGCACTGGCGCCGCAAAAGGCGCGCAAGAAGAAGAACCAGCAACCCGCCCTTGACAATTCGGCCGCCGGCATGGCAGTCCTGTGTCGAGACTCCCTCTCCCGCCTCTTCCGACACACCTGCTCCGCCCTCTACCTCGTCCAGCGCCTGGTGCGGATCCCGACCGTCAGTCTGTCGGACCCTGTCGTGATCTCGGCGGTCTACTTCTCGCTGGGCCCCTTTTTCGTGATAGAGCCAGAGGCAGCTCCATCCGGCGGCGGCTCCAGCGAGGCGGCCAGGACCAGCGCAGCAGGACGGGCGGCCATAGCCTCGCTCGGTGGCACCAACGCGATGAAGTCCCTTCGGCTACCCGCCCTCAACCTGCTGCGCGACATCTTCGCCACACATGCTGAGCAGAGGCAGTGGATCGTCGAAGAGATCCTCACGTCACTCACCAAGTTGACGGACCTCAAGAAGAACCGTCGACACTACAGCCTGCGGAACGGCAAGTCGATTCACTCGGTCAACGCGCTCCTCCTGCAGCTGATCCAAGCTGCGACGCACGGGCTCCCGGAGCAGGTCCGCTCGGCAGTCGAAGCGGTCAAGAGCCGACACAGACATCGACAGAAGGTTGCCTCGGGCCTTGCCGAGGACGGCGAGGACGAGGCAGAGGACGAGGATGGAACGCCCGATCGAGCGGCAGAGGGCGCGGTCTCCGACTCGGAAGACGACGTCGTCGTCGAAATGGATGCCTGGCGCCGCGGGCTTGAGGGTGCGCATCAATCTGCAAAGGCGATCGTGCTGTTCCTCTTGCAAAGGGCCGGTCAGGCCAAGGTGGCGCGTTCCTCGCAAGACACGAGCTATGCCCTGATGATCGACAATCTGATCCAGGATCTCCTCAACGTGCTATACCTTCCGGACTGGCCCGGCGCTGCGCTTCTGCTCAGCTGCTTCTGCCGCCTGTTTGCGACCTGCCTCGAGGATCCAAAGGGCAATCCCGACACCAAGGGTATCGCGCTGGACCACCTTGGTCAGATCGCGGCTCGGATCCGCCAAAGTCAGCTGAGGGGACCCGCTGCGATGCTCTCGTCCAAGCTGGCCGCAGTCGATTCAGACAGGGGTCGACGTGAAGGTAGCAGTGCATCCAGGGATCCTTCCAACCCGCCCCTCAGTCCCCTCCCCGACGATGCGATCCAGCCGGAGGAGAGCCTGTCGATCGTGGTCGCGCTGCGAGACCTCGATACGGGTGTGGTTGAGCGGATGGTCGAGGCGTACCACTCAATCTTCGCCTACCTCGCTCGCTGCGACACGGACCAGCAAGCCATGGAAGGTTCGATGGAGTTCCTCGTCGCCCAGGTCCAAGGCGAGCTGGCTACCGCCCACTCCAAGATCAGGGGCCGACTTGACGTCGCCATCGATAGAGACGCGCCTTCACTGGAGATCGCCCGCATCCACCGCTTTGGCAAGTTCCTCGAGGATCTCATCGACAAGGTGGCGGCCTGGTCGCTGTCCGAGGTCGAAGCCTCGGCGCCCTGCACGGACGACAGTTTCCGACGCACGCTTGCATTGTCGGAGCGGCTGATCGTCTCGAGCAGCATCATGGTGTCTTACGAGTTTATGCACGCGCAGCTCGTCGACGCCCTAGATGGCCAGTCGGTGGGCAATAGGAGCAAGGCGCTGCGTGGGTTGGGCAGCATCAGCGCTGTGGATCCCGATTTGCTGGACACGGTGAGTGCCCGCCCTTGACCTCACTCTCAACGGCTGATGCCGTCTCACATGCTTATCACGGCTTTCACTTCCTCTCTCAATTCTCCGTCTTGTGTCGCAGCCCACGGTGCGTTCCGCTGTCGAGATTCGTCTGAGGGACAGCAGCACGATCGTCCGCGAGACCGCGGTCGGCCTTCTCGGCAAGTACGTGCTTCGCAAGCCGGACCACATTGGGCAATACTACGACCAGCTGGCCGGGCGCATCCACGACGCCGGTCTGGCGGTTCGAAAGCGCGTGCTGAGGCTCCTCAAGAGCTTCTATCTCGTCAGCACGTCGACACGCATCCGCGTCGATGCGTGCGCGCGGATCGTGAGGTGCATCAACGATGAGGACAAAGTCGTACAGGAGCTCGCGTTAGCCACCATCGGCGAAATGTGGCTGCCCGTCGGCCCCTCCGCTTCCCAGCCGAGTCACGACGTTGAGCGGGTCCTCGCCGCCTCTGCCGACAACGTGGCCAGGCTGTCGGCTCCTCTTGGCGCCGAGATTAGCGGCGCCGACGTCGTCGAGGACGCACTTGACGGCCGCGGTGCGACCAACGCTATCGACACGATCATGGCTGTCGCCGACGTCATTCGCGAAAAGCCCTCGCCTTTGGAGGAAGTCTTCCGCCGCCTGCTCAAAGATCGGCGCGAGCCGGAGGCCAGCGAGTTGCTCGGCAAGCTCCAACAGCTCAGCGACACGATGATCGACACCTTGGTCGAGTCGAGCGAGGAATCGACGCGTCATACCGTCAACCGCATCAAGACCGTGCAGCTGCTGGTGTCCACCAACCCGTCGATCCTCACCATCGCCAAGGCCAAGCTCCTGCTGCCGTACCTCAAGGCCGCGCAGACCTCGGAGGAGCTCCAGATCATGGAGTTGCTGCTCAAGATCTTTCGTGCCTGCCTTCCGTGGATGCCCAAGACGGCCCTGGCGTTTGCCGAGTCGCTCGAGAAGAGCCTCACGCCCCTTGTCAGCCGACCCCCGCCCGCAGCGCAGCTGCAAACCATGCAGGAGCTAATCGCCTGCTTCTGCACTGTGATCGTCAGCCACACGCACAACTTCAAGATCCTGGCAAGGACGCTCAAGGCCTGCTTTTCACGCCTGCAGCAGATGAGGGTCGCTGCGGCCGCTGGCAAGAAGGTCGAAGACTTTCCGTCCTGGAATCGCCTCACTTCGCTCACCGCCCTCCTCTGTGAGCATGCCGACTTTGACGACATCCGAGCCAAGCATCCAGAGGCCGCCGCCGACATCAACTCGATCACTCCAAGGCCGATCGTGGACGCAGTCTCGGAGAGCCTGCTCGCCGTTTACAAGCTCAGCAGCGGTCCCGTGCGGTCGTTTTTCCTCCAAAACCTAGGCTTCCTCTTCCGCGCCTACCCGTCCCTGATGACGCGCGGCTCGATCACGCAGGTCATGGACGACATCTTCGAGATGGGCTCGCTGCAGGATAGAGCCATGCTCCTGCGGATCATCCTCGACTTTCTCGACGCCGACTCGGCCCGACGCGATCCTGATGCTGTCGTAGCTCCTGCCCAAGAGGGACGCAAGGACAAGAGGGAGGAGGGCGCTGACGGCAGCGTTGACATGACGGTGCTCGTCGGCAACACAGAGAGCTTTGCCGACACGGGTGTGGGCTCGGCCATGATGCAGCGGTACTCGGACCCCGTGCTCAAGGCCACGCTCGAAGTGCAGCACCCGGCGGTCCAGCGCAGTGCCACCGAGATCCTCAGGTTTACGGTGATGCAGGGCCTGTCGCACCCGATCCAGTGCGTGCCGTATCTCGTGGCGCTCGAGACGACCGGCGATTCCGGGATCCGTGCCAAGGCGCTGCAGCTCCACAGCCACCTTGCGTCCAAGCATGCTTCCCTGGTCCAGGCTAGGTTCCTGGATAGCGCCAAGACGGCATTCCGCTTCCAACTCAGTCAGGCGACGCCTCAGACCGCGCGAGGCTTTAGGACGGAAGGGGAACCCAGCGCGATGCTCAACGCCTGGTATAGCCTGCTCCGCGACCGCCGCAACACGCGCCTCGACTTTCTCCGCCAGGTCGTGAAGGCTCTCGACGTCAACACCGCCGCCTCGGAATGCGAGCTCCAAGACGTGCTCTTCGCGCGCTTCATCGCCGACAATCTGGCCACCCTCGACTACAAGACGCTGGAGGAGCTCTTCATCGTCATTGGCGAGCTGCGCTCGATCCTTGCCGTCTCCGGCATGCAGGTGCTCTTCATGATCCAGTCGGCGCTCAAGAGACGTGCGGCCGGCGGAACCTCGGCTGCGACGGACTCGCTGCCAAGCGGTGGCGACACGCATGTGCGTCCTGCCGAAGTAGCGGTGTCGAGCTCGCAAGGCGATGACGAGACGGCAGCGACGGAGCCCGAGCAAGCCGAGGGCGTCCCCATCGCACCGCCAAAAGCGCTGGCCCGCATGTCGATCGTTTCAGGCACCGCGCTCCTCCTGCGTAACCACCTGAAGAGCCTCTACAACCTCGCCGAGGCGCGATGCGCCAAGTTCAACCCCACCAAGAAGCAGAGCGCCGGCGCAGATCGGCCAGCGGTCCGACGCACGCTGCAGGACCTGTCGATGGCGGCCCTCTCCTTTGATACCATGCCGCTCGGCCTTGCCCTCATCGACACCGAAGATGACGCGTACCGTCAGATGGAGGCCTACGCGGCGATGATCGAGCATGAAGGAACCATGCTGGAGCCAGAGGATCCCGAGGTGATGGAGGAGCTCGCGCTGTAGCGGTCGCACACTGCCACGCAGCACTGGTCCTGCTCGAATCCATGCCGCCCTAACAGCACGCTGCCTACGGCCTGGCCTTGGCGCCGCCATTACCAGTCTGCTTTGGCTTGACGCGCTGGACTCCATTGTCTTTGCAACACCATGCCGTTATCAACGAAACACGCTCGACCAAAAATTGACGTGTTCTCTTGGTGCAGTGAGAAAAGTAATTGCCCCGTACTAGGCTCGAACTAGTGACCTTCTGTTTGATACTCAGCCCGTGCTGAGGCACTGTGTATTAGACAGATGCGATAATCCAACTACGCTAACGAGGCTTGTGATGCATGTCGATGACACAGAATTGTATATATCAGAATTAATGACGCGGACAGGAGCCTGGGCGGCTGCGAGGCGACCGACGGGCGCTGATGAGCGACATGCGGGCAGCTGCGAAGCGCCATCTTCCCGAGGCGACTGGAGTGACGAGTCGGTTCTTGCCTCCATGAGCAGCAGCATGCAGGGTCGAGGCGAGAGCTCGCCGCAATCGGGGCCGGGCGACAAGAACGTAGCCTTACATGTCTTTGTGCTCTCGCAATGTACTCGCATGCAGACGAATTCAAGCTACGATCGGACAGTCGCGTACAGGTCACGGCAAGCCGCGGTGAGAAGTGCCATCGAGGAGGAAAAGGACGATGGGCGCCATCAAGACAATCAATCGCAGTTGATGGGCTTCTTGTTGGCGGTGTCTGCTTTGCACTGGTTGCAGAACACGTTGCGATCCATGTTGCACGTGAACTCGTGAGTGTGGTAGATGGTCTCCGGCCCATTGGGGGAGCAGTGCCAACTGGACACGGGCTGTACGGAGTAGCACATCGAGATTTGCGGCGCACCTTGGACGCTGAACTCTTGCGAGTAGATGTAGGGATAGAATTTCTGCTGGCGACGCTCGATGGCATCGGCAGATGCCGCCTCGGCGCGGGCATCGAGGCGAGCAGGGGTATGGCGCTTCTGCACCGAACCAGTGTCGCAGGCCACCTGCTGGCGCATGCCGCAGATGGCGACGATGGCAAGGGCAGAGGCAAGAAGGCAGCTAAAGGACCTCATCTGTGGTGGCGCGTGAAGGAGCTGTTAGAGTCAGCGGGCACATCAGATATCGGGCTCTGCGGTTGGCGGGCGATTCGTACCTTTGCAACAGGAGAGATGTTCGTGATCGAGGATGTGAAGGGGACAGGGGTTCGCGAGCGGGAAAGGCTGCTAGCTGCTGGTGGATCAATCGAGAAATGTTGGGATGTAAAAGGGCGTTCGCCCTCTACCCTCGACTTAAATGTATTTTCGACGACTTGACAGCGATTAGGGACGCAGCGTCGCGAGGCCTTTCGGCACAGCCTCAGAGCGCTACGAGGTGGGTTGTTGGACCTGCTGACCCCACTTCTTGCGCTGCCGTAGCACGGTCATCTAGAGAGCTGCAGAGATTCAATGGCACGCCAACGAGACGATAGAAAAGAGGGGTACGTGATCATATTCAACGAGGACAATGAGGCGACAGGAGGCTGGATGACTAGATCAAGGTCAGGCAGGCATTGATCCCTTCCAAGCCACAGGAGCCGTATCAAAACAGACACTTGTACCAGCGTCCGCCGCGGCGACGGCAAAGGTCGCAGAAGTACCTTTGGTCAAGGTTGTAGCATTCGAGTTGTTTGTCTGTGCGCTCGATGCAGCCGCCAATGGACTGCAAAGTCTTGAACTGGCATTCGGCCTCGATGAATCCGTTCGTGTAAAGATCGGGGAAGCTCGGGTCGTTCTGGTTGAAGCCCGGGCTCGTGTTGGGAATGTCGCGCTTGACAAGGTCCGCGGCGACGTGGTGACGCACGGAACCAACGGCAAGGCGACGATAAGGCTGGCGTAGAACTTCATCGGGCTGTGTGGGTACAAGGAGGTCGCAAGATGGTTGGGAGGAGGAGGAGAGCATCGTTCACGGATCAGCGGAGCCGCCGACGCAAGAGGTGTTGGATTTGCCGGCGACGGGGGCAGTGGCATACGACACGTACGGTGGTGGCGTCTTCGAGGTTTCCTTCTTGGTCAGGTGTCGGGTTTGCACTCAAAACTCTCGACGAGTGGGTGACTGGGATTGGATGAATGACGGGCAGCAACTACTGATACCGAAGTTGCCCATTTTATACGCCCCAGGCCGCATCTGTCGCGGGCAGCGCAAATTGAAGAGCCACGGCACCCACGCCGGCTCCTCATCCGTTCGCTGTGCCACCCCCCACCTCCTTCGATGATCCGCCGACGAGGTGGGTTGATATTCCGGTTCGCCAATTGGCCTTGCGGCCAGGCCATCGAGATTGACCTGCGCACGCCAGAGAGCTTCGACAAGCGTCGGGCTACCGCAAGTTGTTGCAACCGGACCTGCATCCTCCATGGCCGTCCGAAGTCGGTACTGTGCGCCACAGATGGTGTTTTCCGTCGAGGATCTTGCCGTGCAGTCCGCGATAGGACATGGTCAGGGGCCTTTTAGGTGGGTTGTCTGTACCTGTACAGACAAGGTGGGGGGCTGCTGTCTAGGGACCCCGCTGTAGTCATCGTCCAAGTAGAGCCAACGGCCTTGATTATACAGTATGTAGGTGAGAGCAGCCATTCATCGCCATGTAACCCACCTTGCAACTGCGCCAGTCTCCAATTCTTGTCAAGAAGACACCCGGGTCGAAATCGTTCACGACCGTCAAGACGCTCGCATTGGTGGACCCGGGTTGTCGCCTGCTCTGCTGTGAGGCGATCCAGGCTGGCTCCCGAAGATGTGCGCAGTGCCTCCTTCCACAAAGGCCACGGCATTCTGTGCTAGATTTTTGATTCTTCGCTGCTGTGTGCTGGATGCCACACCTGCGTGCGTGGGACGCGATGTGGCTTGTGACTACAATGGCGGAGTAGTTGGCCCCCTCCCGAGGGGTACGAGTCTGCCCCTTAAGTCCGGCTGGATCCGTCGCCCTTGAACCCACCCTCGTTGGAGCCTCCGTGAAGCACGGGGTTCCTCTTTCCCTCTGTCTCGTTGAACTGGGCGGAGCGGGCGTTCATGCCCCACGTCTTCTGCGATCGGTCTTCTGGGAGGATGGAGTCGACGCCCTCCTTTTCTGCGCCCGTAGCAAGGCCGTGGACGTCCGGGTGGGGCGGTGCGGCCTTGGTGCTGGCGTTTTGAATGGTGCTGCTGGGCATGGCGCCGGGGGGCGGAGGAGGCATGTCTTTGGGGTCCCTGCTCGAGACGGGTGCGTCGGCGGTCGTGTAGCCGGGGTGCTCGCCCACTGATCCGTCCGACGTCTTTGCGGGTGTGTTCCTGGCGCCTTGCGTGGGCTTGAGGTTGTGTTGGTAGGCCGAGGTGAAGAGAGAGCGCTGGCCGATGATGGTCTTTGCCGCGTTCTTGATCTTCTGGGCGGCACGGCGGTGGGTGCGAGTCTCAGGGGCCTCTTCGGACCCAGTAAGGGCCTCGCCGTCTACACGAGGTCCGCCTCCGCGGTGGTCGGAGAAGGAGCCGGACTGGCCATGGGGCGTTTCGGGCTCGGGCTCAGCGGCGCGGTTCTGGAGAGGCGCGGTGGGGTTGGGATCGGCTCGAGCCTGCTCCTTGTACTTGTGTGCCTCGTAGTAGCCGGGAGAGTTGGCTGGTGGTGGGCGAGGCAGAACGAGTGGTGGGCGATGCAGAACGAGTGGTGGGCGAGGCAGAACGAGTGGTGGGCGAGGCAGAACGAGTGGTGGGCGAGGCAGAACGAGTGGTGGGCGAGGCAGAACGAACGAGGCAAGGTCAGAATCGGAATGGAACTGGCGCTGGTCGTGGCCCCTGACCATGGATGCCTGCGAGACCCACCTTGGTTGTCAAACTTGTTGGGGTCGAGGGGACTTGCCGCGGGGCCTTCGCGCTTGAACTTGGGCTCATTGTTTGCGACGCGGAGCGAGGTGTGCAGACCCCGTCGTGCCGGGATGGATGCGACGCCGGCGCCGAGGTGTCGGCTGACGAGGTTCCGCGCGGCTGGGCTGAACATGTTGCGGCGGTCTGCTGAGGAGAGATGCTACAGTAGTAGGGGTGACAGTGGGTGGTTAGGGAGGTGGTGGTAGGAGTACGAGGGTGCTGCTCGAGGGCGACGCCAATCTATCTATAGCTCGCCGACGAGGAAGGAGCCAACGGGCTTGCACGGATTTGCGATTCGCCTACCCAGCAGCAGCGGTCGGCGCACTGGCTGGCTGCTGCTGACAAGAGCAGAGCGGAGCGAGGGGATGGCTGCCTGCCCAGCTGGGTCGCTGGCGGGGTGAGGGGGACAGCGTCGCTCGCTTTGCCGGGCCGACCAGCCCTGGCTCGCGCACGGTGTGTATGGCCGGGCCAGGCCAGCATGCTGCTTCTGCCCACACGGCCAGGCCCCTCAGCGGGGACGGAAGCAGGAGAGGAACAGGCAGGCCAGCAGGCGAGGTGTGTGTGGTGGATGACGCTACGCGGGCCGTCGTGGATCGAGACAGGCAGGCGTCAGAGAGGAAAGGTTGGTTGGAGGCCGCCCGGCGGGGCATCTCGTCAGGCAGAGGGGCGGGCAGACGAGCCAAGCGTGAGGCCCAGTCAGGGTCCATCCGCGCAAGCTAATGCCCCTCGTCGCCTCCTAGCTTAGCCTGCCGTCGTCACCCCGCAGCCCGATCCCGATCCCGTCGGCTTTCTCCCTCTGCCCCCGATTGGATTTATCCTCGGGTCGCGCACTCCGCTTCCAACGAGAGCGCAGAAATTTTGACTGTGCCAACTACTGTCCGCCAGCCACGCTCCGCCGAGAAAGTCGCCGCCTTCTTGCTTCGTCACCCGCCACCAACACCATCTTCGATACCCTCCCGCATCCATCGACCAGTGATCCCCCGTCGTGAGGTCAACACCCGCTCCATCAAAGCACCACCACGAAATCTCGGCATCCCACCTCCAACCTCTTCCTCTCCCACCCTCGCGCTACGACTGCACCATGTCCGCCCCCAACCCCAAGGCTTTCCCTCTGGCCGACGCCGCCCTCACCAACCAGATCCTCGATCTGATCCAGCAGGCTTCCCACTACAAGCAGCTCAAGAAGGGTGCAAACGAGGCCACAAAGACCCTCAACCGCGGCATCTGCGAGTTCATCGTCATGGCCGCCGACGTCGAGCCCATCGAGATTGTCCTCCACCTGCCCCTCCTCTGCGAGGACAAGAACGTCCCCTACGTCTTTGTCCCCAGCAAGACGGCCCTCGGTCGTGCCTGCGGCGTCAGCCGCCCCGTTGTCAGCGCCAGCGTCACCACCAACGAGGCTCGTGAGCTTCAGAGCCAGATTCAGACGGTCAAGCTCGCTGTAAGTTTTCGCCCCGTCGCCCGCGGTGCCCCCGCGCCGCCGCCCGAGATCTTCGTACAGGCTCAGTTGCTGATCACCGCATCCATCTCTCTTCCCTCTCCACGCCCCTTGTTCCGCCCGCAGATCGAGCGTCTTCTGATTTAGAGCGTGCGCCGTCTTGGCCTAGGCCTAGACCGTCTCTTCGGTCTGAAAGCCCCTCCGTCGGTCAGCACCCGTCTTGTGGGCCTTTCACCTTTGCTTTGCAAGCGTCCACGAGTCCGCGCAAGGTAGTGCCATTGTAGCCCGAGCTGGGGAGGCAAAAAGAGAGAGGGGAATGGAATACCAGGCATCGCCCTGGTGCTTTGAACAAATGCATTGCGAAACGAGTCTTGTCTGCGCGCACATCAACCGGGCGTCCGTCTGATGCGCCGGCCCTAGAACATCGACAACAGCAAACCACTTCACGAGCCCAGCGCCTGCCTCAGATCCTTCCTCTGCGCCTCGGTCAACCTCTCGGGGATCTCGACGCTCCACTCGACCACCAGGTCTCCCTTCTTGCCCGGCGCCTTGCTGATGGGCATGCCCTCTCCCACCAGCCTCGTGGTGCGACCGGGGATGATGGTCGTCTTGCCTGCACCGGGCGCCGGCAGTGGCACCTCGAGGCGGCGGCCGTCGAGCGTCGTCACCGCCTTGCGCGATCCGGGCGTGCCAGACTTGGGCGGGTCCAGCGCATCCACCAGCGGTAGCGGCACCGTGATGCGCAGATCGTCGCCATCGCGTCGGAACTTGGCGTGCGGCTTTTCGTCAATGATGAAGACGACGTCCTGGAAGCGCCCGGGCGTCACCTCGTTGCCAGCGCCGTTGAAGCGCACCTTTGTGCCCTGTGAGCGGAGAAGAAACGTGCAGGATGAGGGTAGCAAGGCGATAAACAAAGTCAGACGCATTGCCAAGAGTAGCAGGGCAAGGGCGCACCTGGACGTCTAGACTCGGGACTCACCTTCTTCCAACCGGGCTTGACGTCGACGGTGAGGACCTTTTCCTCGGACCCTCCGCTCTGCAGCCTCCTGCCGATCTTGAGCTTCTTGGTGGTGCCCTTGTAGAGATCCTCGAGCGCGCACGGCAGCTGCTTTTCGACGTCCGACGGCTTCTCCGGAGCCGGCGCTCCTCCCCCTCCACCACCGAAGCCGCCAGGCATGCCGCCTCCACGACGACCGCCGCCGCCGCCGAACATGTCGTCGTCCATGTCCATCCCCATGCCCCCGCCCATGCCGCCCATGCCACCCATACCTCCCATGCCGCCACGTCCGCCGCCCATGCCACCCATGCCACCGAACGGGCTGGCGCCGCCAAAGATGCTGGCGAAGATGTCGTTGGGATCCGATGGAGAGAAGCCGCCCGGTCCTCCAGATGCTGTTCGAGGGAAGCAGGAGCAAGATTGAGAGAGCAGCGTCAGTATACAGCTGCGTGCGGGCTGTCCTTTGCCGCGTCGCGATCGACTCGGGCTGCACTCACTGAACGTGAAGGTTCTGCCGCCAGATCCGCCGCCGAACTGGCTGAAGCCACCGCCCGGGAAACCGCCGAAGCCGGCACCTGCGCCACCGGGCCCAGCGCCGTCGGCAGAGGGGGGCGGGCCTCCCTTGAGGCCATCCTCTCCATATGTATCGTAGATGGTCCGCTTGTTCTTGTCAGAGAGGACCTCGAAGGCCTCTCCGACCTCTTTGAACTTTTTGTTGGCTGCTTCCTGGTTGTCCTTGTTGCGGTCGGGGTGCCACTTGAGCGCGGCCTTTTTATAGGCTGTCGGGGGCGTGAGGAAGCGAGAGATATGGGGAGCGGGCGGAGAGAGGGGAAGACGATGTCAGCGTGCGGTACAGCGAAGATTGGATGCAGCGGCACGGAGGCGTGGTACGGAGTGCTCACCTCGCTTGATGGCGTCGTCGTCGGCGTCCTTTGCGACTCCGAGGATCTTGTAGTAGTCTTTTCCCATGGTGTGGTGCGTCTGTGTGTGCGTGGTGCTTGATGGGAGCCTGGTTTCCTCTCAGGTGGATGGATGCTCTTGCCTTGAGCACGAGATGTCGAAGTCGCTGCTGGTCAGTGAGGATGCAGCAGAGCGGTACGCAGTTGGGTGTAGCGTGGAGGAGAGTTGCGTTGAGGGAGGGTATACGAGATGGGTCAAGCGAGCAAGCGAGCGAGAGCGGGAAGCGGTGTGTGATTGGTGTTGGTAGTGTGTGAAGGTGTGCAGGCAGGTATATGCGGACGAAGGAAGGTGAGAGGGCGGCGAGAGGGTACCGGTAGGAAGGCGAGCTCCAGGTCGCAGGCAGGCGGACGGCTGCAGCGGGCCGAGCGTCCATCCGCTCGCTGTCTCCTGCCCGCCTCTCCTTGCCCTGCCTGCTCTGCCCGTGCCCGGTGGGTTCGTCGAGCGTCGGATGGCTTCGTCGAGGCTGTTGGCGCTGCCCAGCATGCTGCCTCCACATGCGGGCTGGGCCAGGCAGGGTGCCAACCGGCGGCGACTCACGCCTGCCTGCCAGCCGCCTGCCCGCCTGCCCACCTGCCCACCTGCCCACCTGCCCGGCCAGATCGACGGTTTTCCCCAGACGTCCATCGGCGTTGAGAAGCTTCGAGGTGCTTCTGGAGCTTGACTGTGGCTGAGCCTGACAAGGTATGTACTGTGCCTTTTTGGCGATTTAGACAGGGAAGCTCGCGTGGCCAAATGGTACGGCGTACCTCTCCTATTCAAGTCCCTCAGAAGCAGGGTCTTGGGTACAAGGTAAGATTGTGGGTTCGATCCCCACCGTGAGCTTTTGCTTTTCCCCCCTTTTTGCCTTCGAAATTGGAGTTCGATCGATCTAGCGGAGCAAGCCTCGACCAACACTGCTCTGGCTCTCGGAGGAAGAGCGGAGAACCGGCTCGATCCTACGGCATCGAAATGGCGATGCTCCCTTTTGTTGCGCATCTGATGCTCTATCGTCTATATATGGGTGAGAGTCATGGAACGGCCCGTCCCGTGTCGACGCAGGTTGGCTCAGATGCCCCATTCGAGCTCGAGGGCCTTCTTGACGGCCTGTTCGACGTCGTCGACAATGACTGTCGGCTCGTGCCTTGGTGTCCCGTGGGCGTCCTTGTAGACGCCAGTGCGCACGAGGGCCGATGACCAGCCGTAGTTGTTTGCGCCTGCGCAGCCGAGCAGCGGGGGGAAGTGGCGTCTCAAAACGAAGTCAGCCGCGCGCGCAATCCACCCACAGCGACATGGTTCACGGCCGCGACGCGTGGTGCAGAGGCACGTGCATTCCTCACCTGCGATGTCGCTCTCGGGGTTGTCGCCGACCATCCAGACGCTCGGGCCAAGTTCCTGCGCGGCCTGTGCGCGTTGTTGCTGCGAGGCCGACTTGGACGATCCGGCAGTCTGGATCAGGAGGTCCCGCAGCAGCTCGGTGGCGTAGTCGTACGTCAGGCTGTGCGGTTTGCCAAACACCGTGGCCTGCAGATCCCGGCCCGTCGTGTGCTGTGAGCGGCCCGGTGGCGAGGCAGAGACATGTCAGGATGCTATAAGCAGCTCTGGTCGACCTGCCAGAAGGCTCCCCGAAGCGCTTACCTTCCACACATTCTCCAGGGCCAGACGGAACGCGCCCTGCCCGAAGCGCACGACGCTGTGATCGTTGCCCCACACTGTCAGGTCCAGCACCAGCACAGCGAGGGAGGGCGGAGCGGAGGGGGTCGGTCAGCAACGCAGTCTCAGTCAAGGCGAGCGTTGGCTCCGCAATCCGCCGAGCGACGCTGCAGACTCACGCAGGTCGCCGTGGGAAAAGTAGATGGGCATCTGCTCCTTTGGCGGCGTGTCGTGGCTGTGCTCGGTGCCGAACACGCCGTTGTTGGAGCGGAGGACGTCAATGATGAGCTGGATGTCCCTCCCCCACTCGCGGCTGTCGTGGAAGACGAGGACCGCGGCAAACTGGATCTTGGAAAAGTCCTCTTTCTGAAATGGGGGAATCGATCGGGAGAGATGGAGGGAGGGAGAGTGACACGTCGCGCTCCTCAGTCACCCGGACGGCGACACCTGGTGGCACGACGGCAGCCGCGCGTCTCGCTCACCCGGATGTGCGGAAGCTGCTCCGGAGCCACCTTTGTAAAAGGCCACGCGGCGGGTGCGTAGGCGTGCAGGTCGTGGGTGGTGAAGACGTTGTTGAAGCCGTACTGGTGCATGACTCTCCGGGGCACGCCGGGCGGCGATTCGGGCCCGCCGACCATGAGGATGGGCTTGTTGGCGTAGAGGGGCACGAGAGACTTCATGACGGTGTGGGCCTGGATGATCTGGGAGGGTTTGAGGTCGATTTCGAGCTCGCGCGAGAGGTCTGCGGCGCGGGAAGCCTCGTCCTTTCCGCCGCCGTTCGTGATGAAGACGTAGGGGACCTTTTCGTTGCGCGGGTTGCGGCCGTCGAGGATCTGTAGGGCACGCTTTGCCTCGGGGAGGACGAGGGGCCCTGCCTTGAGTACGCCGTCGATGTCAAAGGCGAAGGCGAGGGGACGCTGTGCGGCGGGCAGCGAGTAGGAGCGGACGGGCGAGGAGAAGGCGGCCGGCCAGGATCGAAGGAGGGAGGAGTGACGGGTGCAGCCGGACTGCCTGAGCAGCGAGGCGAGCGCCATGTTGGTTCTCGGTGGCATGTTGACGGCGATGGCGGTGGCGTTGGCGGTGGCGGCGGCGACGGCGGTGATGAGCTTGGCAGGGTTGGAAAGGCTAGCTTTGAGGATCGGAAGAGCAAGCTGGAGAGCAGGGAGCGAGGAAGCGAGGGAGCGAAGGGTCTGGGCTGGACAAGCAAAAGACAAGCACGACGGCCCGCGCTCAACCGAGCCTTGTCGACTCAGACCACTGACTCCTGACGTAGGCTTGCTTGGGCTGGCCGGCCGGCTGGAAGAAACAGGAACAGGAAAGTCGAAAAGGTGGAGCGAAAAAGCGAGGCCAAAATGCGGGGGGAAAGTCGAGGGCGGCCGGACAGCTTTCAGAAAGGTGCCGGGCCGGCTTCCGCTTCCGCTTCCGCTTCCGCTTCCGCTTGACCGGAAAACGACGAGCACAGGTCACCCTCGCCTTTTCCCCTTTGCCGTGCACTCCTCCTACCACCACCACCACCACCACCACCATCACCACCCACCCATCCTCAGGCATCCGTCGACATCTACCACAAGCATCTTGCGCACCTCGCTCCGCCCTCCCTTTCCCTGGATGCTCCATCTGCGTCCTACGCCAACGCTGCTACCTCTCCGATACCGCCTCCCTGCTCCATCTCGGCTTCGTCTGGCTTCCCCACCGCCCCTCCTCCTTCCACCCCGTCCCTTTGCAAGACCTCGTCAGCTCGCCATCATGCAGAGCCAACCCCACACACCAGCCCCCGCTCTGAGCGCCGCATCGATCTACACCACCAGCGCCGCCCAGCAACCCGCATCGACATCCTTCTCACACGTCCCTGCACCGCCGAAAGCCACGGCACCGCCGCCCCAGTTCTACCCCATCGCACCCTCCATCTACGTCTCCCGGCCCACCGACAAGGAACGCGCCTCGCAGCTGACAGATATCGCCGAACCCCTGCGGCCGCTCGACGCCGCGCTCGCCACGTCACCCCGGGATGTCGTCATCTTTGGCTGGATGGACGCGCCCCTCCGCCTCGTCGCAAAGTACGCTGTGCCCTACACCGTCCTCTTCCCGCAAGCAAACGTCTACATCAAGCTGTCCAACGGCAAAAGCTACCTCTCCTCCGAGGCGCGGCGCAAGAGGGACCTCGAACCGCTCGTCGACCACGTCTGTCGGGACGTTGCTCAAGCGGACCGCGACGCCTCCTCGGCCCCGGCTGAGCTGAGCACCGAGCTGGGCGATTCCACAGTCACCCTCCTCGACACCTCCCAGACCCTTGCCGACGCCGCAGCCAACGCCGACAAGCCTTCCTCGAGCCCGTCCCAGCATGGAGGTCTCGTAATCCACAGCTTCTCCGACGGCGGCGCGGGCAACCTCGCCCTCTTCCTCTCGATGCTCCCGCGCACCTCGTCCGCGCCGCGCGTCCACTCGCTCATCATGGACTCGTCGCCCGGCAAGTCGACGCCGGCCTCGGGCGCCTCCGCCTTCACCATGCCCCTTGCCCACCGCCCTGCCCTGCGCGCCGTCGTGCGCTTCTTTGTCTACCTCGGACTGTACCTGCTCAAGATCTGGACCCGCCTCAAGGGCCAGCCCACCAGAGCAGAGAAGATGCGCTCCACCCTCAATGCGCTCCACACCTGGACCTGGGTCACGGCGAGCCGCAACACCACCGTCGAGGCTGCAGCGGCTGCAAAGGCGGGAGCGGCGGCGGCCGATGAGGTCCAGGTGCCGCCGAGGATGTACCTCTACTCCAAGTCTGACAAGCTCATCCCGTGGCGGTACGTCGAGGAGCACGCCCACCACCTCGCCCACTCCAGCCGGCCCGGCTCCAGCCCGCGACTCGTCGAGATGCAGTCGGCCGACGCCAAGTCTGCCCTCGCTTCGTGCGACAGTGGCCCAATGGCTGTCGAGCTGAGGAGGTGGGACGACGCCCCGCACTGCGGCATCGTCAGGTCCGACTTCAAGGGCTACTGGTCCGCCGTGGTCCAGTTCCACACCGCCGTCCTCTCATCACAGGCATCGTCGACTGCGACCGGCCAGGCATAGTCCTCCTCCCCTCCTCTGGCTCGCTAGCGTTGCACTCTCTCGCTCTCGATAGACGTCTGCATAGATCCAAAAAGGGGTGAGGAAACGATTGGCTGTCGCGGCCGTACGCGCTGGCAAAACCGATCGCAGCGGCTAGTCTTCGTAGCCGGGAGGGCCGCCACCATGCGAGGGCCGCGAATAGACAAAGGGCCGGACCTGAGTCGCACCTTGCGATCCATCCGCATCGGCCGTCGAGGTGCGGACCGACGAGGAGCCGTAGGTGCCGTAGGCCGGGGGCCGCGCAGAGTCGTCGTTGGCCGACGAAAGCGGTGGTGGCGGCGACGAAGGCGGGGCCTCAAAAGTGGCCGACGTCGCCTGCTCGAGCGTCGACGGCCGTCCCGGGTGCCGTCCGTCGGTGCCGAGGGCTGCAGCGCTGGTGGAAGAAAGTCGCGCACCGCTAGACCCGCCTCGTTGCGGTAGGCCGCTGTCGATGTAGGGCGGCGGCTCATTGTGCCCGCCCAGCACCGCACCGGCAGACGTTCCACCAACCGCGCCGTGACCGGATCTATCTCCCACGACGTCTTCATATGACGGCTCCGGTTCCAGACTGGCGTATGATGGACGCGGAGGGCTATGAGGAGGGGGCGGCGACGGCCGTCCAGACGACGGGATCGACTGCGTCGAGCTCTCCTCGCTGACGAAGCCTCGCAGTGGGCCAGACCTGCGCAGGCTCAGGGAGCGCAGCTGCTCGATCCGCTCCTCGACATCGTCGCCAAGGTCTGCCGACTCGCTGCCGGTAGGAGACAACGGCGGAGGTGGCTCCTCCATCGCCGCTTCGTGGTAAGCGGGTCGATGGAGTTCGTCATAGTGGGGCTGTAGCGATCCATCGTCGATAGGCGTCCCGAGCATCGGCATGGACGGCAACGAAGTTGCATGCCCCAGAATGCCCTCAGGCAGCGTGTCAGCCGGATGCCGATGTCGCGGCATCGCCAAGCCGACGCCCTCGACCTCGACCTCGACTTGTAGGTCGTTGCGGCTCTCCAGCAGCGTTGGCGGCGGTTCTCGCGATGCCGTCTCGTCAGACTGGTCCAATAGCTGGCGCAGCTGCTCGAGCCGCTCTTCATGGGTAGAACTCGAGCTGGGCTCGTCGACGCCGTTGGCCTCGCTGATCAGTTCGTCGAGGCTGCGACCGACGTCCTCGTACCCGTCGTACTCATCGTCCATGCCAAAGTCCAAGAGGCCCGCTTCGTGCACGTCGCCGCTCGAGGATCCTGTCGCAGCGTCAGCCAAGTCTCGCGACTTTTCGGCACGCTTCTCAGAGCTCCTGCCCGGCGCAAACGCGCCCTGATCGAGGTCCCCGGCCGACAGGTCCTGATTTCGGCCTTCGTCGTCCTCGTCGCACTGCAAAGGCCCAGCCGCGCCCGGCAGGATGTGGACCAGGCGCTTGCAGACAATGTCTCGGCGCTCGCCGTGGCCGCCGAGGATGGCAACCTTGATCCTGACCTCGAAACTGACCACGTGCATCACCGTCTCCTGGCTGATGCTCTCGCAGCCGCCACCACCCCCGCGGCCAAACACTGGGCCCGAGGCCAGCGCGTCGTGGTCCGGATGGGGATGTGGCATGTTGGCCGGGTCAAAGGGCGGGTGGAGCGTCAGGCGCAGCAGGACGGGCTTCTGCGAGTGGAATCTGCACAGCTTGCCGCTATGGGCCAGGAGCGCCTCTTGCCCGACCAAAACGGCAGCATAGTCATCGTGTGATCCGCTGGGCTCGGCTTGCGAGCTCGACATGGCTTCCGTCGGATCTTGACCGTGGATGCTGGCCAGCGCGGCCTTCTCCTCGGCAGCGGTCGGGTAGCCTGGCGTGTCCTGGTCGGCGTGCGACCTGGCCTTGCCGTCCATCGCAGAGTCCGGCCTCTTGACGGTGATGATGCGCACGAGGTCGGCCTCCACGGCGCGCAGCTTGAGGCCCTTTTCCGTCACACTCTCCTGAGAGGGCGGCGCCACACGAACCTTGACGTCGATGGGCTCGGCTCGTCGGAAGATGGTCTTGTTGAGCTGTATGTAGGCCGTCGTCGGCGAGTGCACTGTCCACGTGTGAGGTCTTAGAGAGAATTCATCCCGGCGCAGCTCAGCGCCGTCGATCTCTTGGAGGGCGTGCTGGTCTAGAGGGCCTGGTCGGGTATAGCGGGTGAGGTGGACTGGCACAACCTTGACGGCGTCCGTCAGCCCCGACGATGGCGGACCGACCAGGCGCGCTTCGATGTGGTAGGTCAGGGAGCTCTGCCGAGAGTGGATGCAGTGGGGCAGATCCGGCGTGAGCGGGAACGAGAACGGCATGGTAGAAGGTAGTGCCGGGCTAGGGGCCGTCGAGCTCGTTGCGGCCGAGGCGTCCCACAGCACCTGCCTTGCCGAAAAGAGCTCGACTTCGTCCTCGCCGTCGGCTTCGGTGCCTTGTATGGCGTCGGGCGCCGAGTCCTGGCGGCCATCGGATGCTCTCGCTCTTCGAGCGGCCCGCTCGATGGCCTTGAACTCGACTGTACACTGCGTGTAGCCGCCCAGGGAGCGGCTTCGTTCGTCGAGCTTGACGAGCACGTCTCCCTTGACCCAGGCTCGGAAGCCCTTGAGCCCGAGGTAGCCCACCTGGAACGAGGTGGAATCGCTACGTGGTGCCACATCGAAGAAGGTGTCGCGCGGCAGTGTCGATGCGGGCAGGGTGGCAGCATCCGGTGGCGGCGCAAGGGTTTGGCCTTCTGAGTAAGGGGGCAGGCTGTGCCGCTGACCATCCGTGCTTCGATCCGACACGGCGTCGTGGAACAGCGGCGGGTCTGGCATGTCTGCTGCACTGCTCACGGATGGCGAGGGCTCGGCTGGACGCTCCGAGATCTCGCTCAAGGTGGTGGCTGGCGGCGATGGCAGCCAGCAGGAGGGCCGCTCGGAAGCCTGGGCTGAGGGATGTGCGTCCTCTGAGGAAGCTCTCGAGGTGGTGATTACGATGCCTCACAAGGCGTGCTTTGATTGATGATGAGTCGGATGTCGATGCTGAATCGATGGCTCAAGGGGCGCTGGTGGGCGGTAGTCGATGAGCTATTGGTCCGAGTTGGGGGCGGGACATCAAGTCAGGCGCTCGTGGGCGAAGGGTTCTGTGGGCGTTGTTGTTTTCTTGGCTGGACGTGGTCGTGGTTGTGCCTCGGTGCCAGGCGAGGGACGGAGAGATCGAGGTGTCGACGGCGAGTTCGGACAGGGATATGCCGGTGCAGGAAGCCGTTCCGAGGCGCGAGGATGGGGTGGTGAGGTGAGGTCTACGAAGCAACCTAGAGAGGCAAGCCGAATTGGCGTGCACGGGTGCGTCTGTGCGTCGAGCGAGGTGGCGCCCCCCCCCCCCCTAGCCTTTGGGCCCCCCTTTTCACGTAGGCACAACGTCGGCCTGGCCGCTGGCCGCCAAGAGAAAAAGTCTAAGTGGAGCGCACTCGCACCCTTCGGTCACGAACCACAGAGGCCGGGGCCGAGGCCGAGACCGAACGCTACGCCTCATCCGACGACTCAAACCCCCTCGACGGTCCTCTACCTGCGCTTTGGCATTGCCTGCACACACACTCTGGCCCACATTTTGCCAGCACTACCCCTCTCCCGCCAGACGCGCTGCTTTGCTGGGTGCGGTTCGTGTTTGGGAGCAGCTGCTATTCACTTGATCGATGGCCGTGCGCTCGGAGGCTTCGGAAGCGCTGTGGACGAGGCGGTGGCGTGCTCTCCTGCTATTCGGTGGGACGCCGTGCTGCCGGGAAGGGAAACGGAGGGTTGTTTTCGCGGCCATCTGCGCGTCGCTCGTGATCAAAGGGAAACGGGTTCTCGGCCCTGGCCTCCTCGATCAGAGCGTCCAATCCCTTGGCCGAAGCAGCTCGCTGATGGCGAGGCCAAAGCACGAGGGGCCAATGGCGGATGTCGGGATACAGGGCGGGCGCAGGTCAGCAACGCTCCTCTGCAGCAGCAAACGGCAGGCGGTCAAGACGACCAGCGGCGGCGCTCACCTTGACGCAGGCCCGATACTCGCTGAACAGCTTGCCGCAGTCGCTCTCGTACCGTTCCATGACCTCCCGCTTGCGGCGCTCCAGGTCGGGATCGGCCGATACCCCTCCAGACGTGGCAAACAGGCCCGACTTTGCGCCAGCCGACGACGAAGCAGAGGGTTGTTGGTCCTCAGAGCCACCTCCGAACCAGCTGCTCTTCTTCTTCCTGGGCGGGTCCGCTGCGCCTGCGTGCGAAGCCGAGGGGTCGCCGTTGCCCTGACGCTGCTGCTCGAGTATCTGCGCGTCCCCGATGGCGAGGTAGTCTGTGAACCAACGGTCAAAGCACGAGTCGTACCGGTGCTTGAGCGGGGTGCATTCCGGGGATAGGGAAGAGATGACCCCGAGACCCGCTGGCCCGTCGGCAGACCAACCCGCGCTGCCAGTCGTCGAGGTCGATGTTGTCGATGCCGTCGTTGACGAGTCGCTCGCTGCCGAAGAGAGCCCGGGTGAAGATGGAGCAGACGAGGCCGAGTTGGCATCGCCCGAAGCAGCCTTTTCGGCTGCAGGAGACGAGGAGGACGATGACCAGAACATGGCGACTATAGAGCCTCCAACGAAGCTGGGAGCAAGGGAAGGGGAAGGAGGGGTAGCGAGGGCTAAGGAGGGAAGAATCGGAGCCAGTCGACCCGAGCGATTTCACAGAGAGGCAAGAGGGGGGAGCAAGGGCCAGCCAGCCCTGCCACGCCGGCTCGCTGCCCTCTTCCGACTCTCGTCCTTTGCCTGCCTGAGCCCTAGGCCTATATGAAAGCGCACCACGCCTTTGACCTCGATTCCTCCGCTCGTAGCCTGCTCAAGCACGAAGGCGGCATTGACACGTCCAGTCGAGCTCACAACACACAGACGGAGCTTTTATCACTCGGATCGAGCAGGCTCAAGGCGAGGAACCACCATGTACCACTATGAGGTAGTTATCAAACGCATTCCATGGGATTCTGGGTCTGCACATCGACAACAAGGCCGACTGCTACAGGCGGATCGACCTGGTCAAGTGCAGAGAGGCAGGCCTATGACAAGAGCGGAGGCAAGGACGAGGAAAGAGTCAGAACTGATGCTCTGTCGGCTGAGATTTCCTTCCTGGTCCGCTGCTGCTGCGTGCTCGCTGCCGCCGCATGCGTGCGAGTGCCGTGCGTGACGATGCGACCCATCATATAGGAGCGAAAGACGTTTAGATGCTAGGTGTTCTCATGAGGCCTTGAGGGGCCTTAGATTTGAACTATGCTGAATATTTTGTGTATAATCCCGCGGAGTCGTCGTGGTCGGCGGCGGCGGCGGCGGGCGCAGCAGCAGCAGCGAGCGAGGGCGGGCAGGCGGGCGGGCGAGTGGATGCGCGATGAGGGTACTCACGATTCGCTCAGGTCGGTGACGGGCCCGTGTTGAAGGGCCGCGTCGGGGTGTGCGCGAGGCACGATGGAGGGGAGGGGAGGGAAGGGTGAGGGTGGGATGGTGGTGGCCGGGAGCGAAGCCTAGAAAGCATCTTGCGCTCGCCCTTTTTGAGAGCGTCTGGTTGATGGGCTGCCAGCCGGATTTTTTTCTCTTTTTCTCGCTGTCGCCTCTCTGGCGCGGGCCACGCGAGAAAGGGTTCCGCAGCGGCCTCTCGTTGGCCCACGATCACGTACGCCTGCCACCGCCGCCTGGCCTGCTCGCCCAAAGGCACCCTGCCGTGAGCTTCCTGGGACGGGGATGTCGACTGACGGTGAGCACTGCACTACTACCTATCGCTACCTCTTTTCTTGGATCAACGGGCTCGTTGACGGCAGAGGAGAGGGATGAGGAGCGCCCGAAGATGCCTACGATGCTGGGCCTCTGTTGGGCCAGACGGGCTCAGCGGTCATTTTCCATCAGCATCATTCTCAGCCAGGGATTAGAAATCCAAAGAGTTGTCCCTGGGTCGAAGGTGGATTTTGTATTGAGCCTTACGGAAGGCTAGTAGGCAGGAAAAGTCAAAGGCAGGCCGACCTTTTTCTTCGAAACTGGGCCTGCCTCTCTGGCTGGCCTGCCGCGCCGCCCGCCCGCCTGCGCTCTCCGGCCTGGCCTGGCCTGGCCTCTTGGAGCCTGGCGCTGGAGAGCGCCGGTGACAGAGGAGACTCGAGGCAGGCAGAGAGGGTGTAGGAGGAGCGGCCGCCGAGGAAGAGATGGAGTTTGCGCTCATTGCGCGTGCTCCGCCCGCCAATCTTCACACCACCTCCGCCGCCATCACCATCATCACTACCACCACCGCCACCGCCGCCACTATTTCTCCTGCTGTGACACTCACATCCGCTCCCGTCCACGCCCTGCTGAACCCTGGTCCCGGTCTTCACGCTCCTCTTGACGCCCTCAGCGACCCATTTCCCTTCTCCCCGAGTCTACATCCACCCGCCAGGAACCACGGCTCGACCTTTCACTTGCGGATCCCGAACCAGCACGCTGCTTCCCAGCTTCGACATAGGCTTGATCCCCTTACACCAGCACTAGCGCCTCCGCCCTGACCGGTTGTGCCCTCGATTATCCAGCACGGCCCGCCCGCGTCGGCACAGAATCCAGAATATCTAGGCCTCCGCTCGACGCCCTCGCTTGATTCGAACCACCGGCAACACCACCGCGAAACTCGTCGCCCCTCTCAGTCTCAGAAACGAGGCATCGCTGCGTCCATTTAATCGCTCCCTCTGCCACCATGGCCACCACAGCACCAGCATCATCGACGGCCTCGGACCTGCCCAAGGCTCCCGCCGCCGCCAGCAAGGCCGCCCTTGACACCGCCGTGGCCGACAACACCAACGGCAGCGCCGACACCAACGCCGACAGCACTACCGACGACTACCGAACCGTCTTCCAGGACCCGACGAACTTCAACGTCAAGCACCCCCTCTACAACTCCTGGACGCTATGGTTCGACAACCCGAGCCAGAAGGGCATGGCCTCCGCGCGAGGCTCCAAGGACAGCTGGGGAGACGACATGAATAAGGTCGTCGACTTTGACTCGGTCGAGGAGTTCTGGGGCCTGTACAACAACGTCGTCCCGCCCTCGGAGCTGCCGCAGAAGGCCAACTACTATCTCTTCAAGGACGGCGTCAAGCCAGCGTGGGAGGACCCGGCCAACACCAACGGCGGCAAATGGAGCATCCAGCTGCCAAGAGACAAGACCCGCGCCAACATTGACCGACTCTGGCTGTACACGGTGAGTGGCAAAGCGCTCTGCCTTTTCACTGGTCTCGCTGCGCGTCATGGCGTGACAGCGTCTCCGCTTTGGCACTTAGGCTGATCGACAACGACGACGACTGCCGATGCATTTTCCTCTCCTCCCATCTCCAAACGCACACCCCCCGCCTCCATCGCAGATGCTCGCTGCCATTGGAGAGACGCTGGAGGCACCCTACCCGTCGGGCGTCCCGCCGCCATCGTCGTCGCCGCAGGACGAGCTCATCACCGGTGTCATCATGTCCGCGCGAGCGAACTTCTACCGCATCTCGATCTGGACTCGCAGGGCCGACGAGGACGATGAAGTGATGGCGAGGTTGCTCGACATCGGAAAGCATTTCAAGACCAGCATCCTTGGCTACGACCTCGACGCCAAGGTCGGAGGCGGCCTCACCAGCGATGTCGAGTTCCAGAGCCACAAGGAGAGCGAGAAGAAGAAGGGCAAGAAGACGATCGTCTAGAGCCGAGATACCCTGCCCATCACACTGTTCCACGCACGGATCGGAGGGAAGGAGGGAGGCAACAGGCTCTCGTGCGGCTCATCCGGTGCACGACAATGAGGAGAGGAGATCAACGAGACGATCTTCAGAGACGGAGGCGAGTCTGATACGACGGCCGCGGGCATCGATTGGGCGTACGAGCGCCATCCGCGCCACCGCCAGCCAGCATTTTTCAAGCCGGCGGAGGGGAATCTCGGTCATGGCGCCGCACACCAGGAAGGACCGGCCCCCGACCACCGCACTCTTTCGCGCATCGTTCGTCAGCCGAACCACCAAAAGCATCCAGCAGCGCGCCCTCGCCGGGCGCCGATGTACCTGCACGGCCCACACGTAACCATCGTCGGACTGCCACTGACCGCAGCATCGGTCGAAACAAGCCAGGCACCCACTACCATGCCTAAACCCCCACTGTGGAGGCTCGCTTCCACCGTACCCGTGCCGCTTGATTGTCCATAACCCTGTGCGAGCCCATCCCAGCCCGATGCTTCCATGTCCGAAAATCCCATAGGTACCACATTCGCGCTTTCCCGCTGCTCTACCGTCGTGGTCGTGGTGGATCTGTGTTGAGGGGCGCCAAGATTGAGCAAGTGGGTGGGTGCGTGTATATGAGCCCGTCCATGAGGGCGTCGTGCGCGGTGTCCGCAGATGGAGCGATGGCGAGCGTCGATTGTCGCATGCGTTCGCTTGTCACTACGCGTGAGCGTCGAGGCCGACCATCGGCGCGGGGAGGGTACGTGTGACTCAACGCTGCGAGGGACCATGCCGAGGGACAGTCCCACCGGCCGTCGACGGTCGAGGATAGGCAAGAGGCTGGATGTGGCTTGGACCTTCACTCGAGGTCTCGCGGGAATCGCGACGCGCGACGAGTGCCATCCGGTATCCCGAAGGAGGGTGCGGAGCGCAGCTTGATGGTAGGTCGAAGGACCCGAAAGACTTGCTGGGCCAGGGGCACAGCCCGCGCGCGTTCCTATCACCAGCCCTGGTCGCCGCGCAGTCGTGAGGGATATCGAGGACTTCTCGATGTCGCACTTGAGCCGCAAGGCGGACGGAGACTGGTGCGTCGATGGAGGAGCGCGATGCCAAGGGGGCTCTAGGCTAGCCATGAGGCGGAGGGTGTAGGTCGGGGCGACGTGCTGAGGTTGCTCGTCTTTGTTGATAGGCCGTGATCCCACCTGGCAGCGGTCGTGGTAGGTGCAGCTGCCTGGACCATGGCGGATTGGCAGGATTGGAGGGGGAGAGGGTGGCGATCCGCTCGCTCGTATTGGGCGTTCGAGGCGATCGGTGAACGGCGGAGAAGGTCGTGGCTCTCGCCAGCTGGTCTGCAGCGTGGGCGGACCGAACTCGATCGCTCCCTTCCCGAGCTCGGTATGAAGTGGCACGTCCAGCGTCGTGGTAGAGGAGAAGGGGTCTGCGTGCGGTCCGGTGCCGCAGCCTCTCCAGCATCGATCGATGCCGATCCGGCGCCGGAGACTTGTTGGCACGCTGTCTGTCGCCGAACGATGCCCGTCCGTTCAGCTCTCGACGACGCAGCCGCCACCAAGGGCGGGGATGGGCACCGAAGAGAGAGGATGCGGAGCCGGGCTGTACCGAGATGACCAGGTAAGGGGAGGCCGTCCGAGGCCGTGGTGCGGAAACGCCTCCATGTCGTTACCAGGGCCGTGGGTGACGGCCAGCGGGGCCCCCCTCCCAACCAGGCCGACCGGATGGACGCGCAGGGAGCGATCATCCAGGCCACTTACCGGAGTTGAACCACCTGCTCATCCACGGCCCGGCTGGAAAACGGCGCCTCTGTGGCACAGTAGTAAGTGTACCTGGTTCCGACCTTGGGGGGCCGGGACTGCGCCCTCTGGCCGCCCTTTGGGGCCCGCGTGCAATGCCAGAGCGTCTCGGGCTCGAATCCCGGACGGAGCGCTCGCGGGGGGGCGGGCGGCCCAAGTCCAAGCTCTGGCTAGAGGACCGCAGGCCAGGCTTCATAAGCACAGGAGATCCCAGGGGGTCCCGGATGCAAATTCCGGCAGAGGCTGCCTTCCTTTTTTCCCCCTCTCACCGCTGCGTTCGTGAGCCTGTTCTCTAGGTGAGGACGTTCCGAGCACAGCCGTCGTGTCGTATGCTGTCAGGCCCCTCCTAGAGCTGGCGGATGACGAATGCGCTGCACGGATGGGCTGGATCACGCACGAGCTGCCTCGCCAATCGCGCGACCCGCGAGAGAAACATGATTTTTCCGAGCGGCGGCCAAAGCTAAGGTTGCCTCGACGCCCCGCGGCGCCGCAACGGGGGCGGGCCTCTGGCTGCCTGGCTGGATCTGGCTGGCTGGCCAGCATGCCGAGCTATGAAGCATGCCACACACACCATCGTCGACCCTGTTCGGATCATCGCTGTTGGCATCTAACGCCTTGTTCGCGTCTTTCTGTCTGGCGAATCCAGGTTGGCCAGAGAGGCAGCACGTATAGTGATGCCCGGCCCACTCTGGACCCGACTTCAACGCTTGCCGCGCTGGCATCGCGTGCGGTCCTCATCCCGGCGACAGTCAAGAAGCTCGGTCGGCGTTGGCATCATCGTCATTGGAACACACTCTGGCTCGGTCTGCTGGAAAAAGTGCAACAGGGGTTGGCGCAGGCGACGCCGTAGGCGGAGGCCTGCATGGCAATGGCAGCCCGTGTCCCACAATCAGAACGCGCCGCTGGACGCCCCCCCAATGCGTCGTGCCGGGGTCCCCACGAGAACGGCGCATGCTCCTCTTTCCACCGCTGTTCGCATATCGAAGCGATGGCCGCCCTCCCCTCCTTCTTCATCATCCTCTGCGGCCCACCTGGTGTTCGGTTTGTATGGGGGCGGGCTGCCAGTCGCGCGTCAGGTCGACGTAGACGATGCGGTTGCGCTGGCGGTTGACGACGGCGACCGTCTTTTTGCGTTCGCTCATCGACATGCTGGCAGCGCGGAAGCCCGTCGGGAGCTCTGTGACGCGCTCCAGCTGTAGAGGCACATCCTCGAGCGGATGATAATCTTCTTCGAAGAGGAGACCCCGCACGTGCTCATCCTGCCAGAAGGTGGCGATAAAGTAGCGCGCGGCGGCGGTGTCGTCGTCATCGCCGCCGCCACCGCCGTCGTCGGTGCTGCCGCCGTTGGCGTCGGACGCCCGCGTCTTGCGCTTCCTGCCGCGACCGCGGCCGGCGCCGCTTGCAGAAGCAGAGGATGCGGCGGCACTGGCGGGTTGGGCAGCGGCGCCAGACAGGGGAAGGCGGACGAGGAGCACCAGCTCACGATGATCATAGTAGGCATAGTCGAGGATCGTCGCGCCCTGGGCCTGCCCTTGGAAGACATGGGCCGATCTGAAGCCGAACATGAGGTACTGATGCTCAATCGTGCGCATCTTGGGCGTCCAGGCCCATACGATGAGGCGGTCAAACTCGGGCTGATTGTCGCCAGCAGCGACCGCGCCATCGCTGCCGGCGGGATTCAAGCCGTAGCTCGCCCGGGTGCAGGTCGCCACAAAGTATTCGGTGAAGTCCTTGCTGTTGACGCGGTCCTGTCCATGCGCGCTGGCCACCTTGAGGAGCCTCGGAGCAGGCTCGGGCTGCTGCGCCGGGACGCTGGCAAGCGACTCGATGGCGTCACAAGCGGTGAGGGGGCGCTTCGGGATCGGGCCTTTGGCTTCGTCTTCGATTGGGATCTTGCCGTGAAACACCCGCGTGGATGCAGTGTAGGTCGACTTGATCTTGACGTTGGACAGGCTTTCGGCCAGGACGTCGCCGAGCACCTGGCCCATCTGCCTGACCACGGTCGCCAGCACGTCCAGCAGGCCAGGCGAGGTGGGCGACGTCGTCGACAGACCCGTCTTTCGAGTCGAGCCGCCGGCACGCTTCGAGGTGTCTCGAGAGCCGCTTGCAACCTGTGGAGGAGGCGAGGGTGCGGCCATCGCCGACGGAGGCTTGCTGACAAAGGCAGGGGCTTGCGAGACGCGTTCCCTGCCTCTGGGCCGCTTGGGAGCCGGAGGCGGTGGAGGAGGTGCTGGTGCCGCCGCGCGCTTGGCCGGAGCTTTGCCTTTGCCCTTTTTGCCCTTGGCCCCTGCTCCTCCTTCCTTGGCCCCCGCCGCTTCCACCAGCGCCTCGATCTTCTTGAGATGGGCGCGGGCCTGGGCCAGCATGGCCTCGAGGGCGCTCGACTCGACCACTTCGGCATCCTCGCCGGCGTCTGCCCGCTGCTCGACGTCGTCCATGTCGTCATCCACGTCCAGCACGCTGTTCCCACCCTCGAGTTCGTCGAACTCGCTATCGCCCAGATCGTCGTCGTCGTCGCTATCGTCGATGACCACGACCTCCTGCTGTGCCAGATCCGTCGCAGTAGCATCACCAGCTGCAGCCGCAGAGTCCGGAGCAGGTATTTCACTGGCAAGAGGGGTGGAGCCCAGCAGCCGCTTGATGCCCGGAGGCTCGAAGCCGCGTTCGAGGAAACGGGCGACGGTCGTCACGTCGTAGTTGATGGCGAGCCTGGGCTCTTGCTGGTCTTGCTTCAGGCGTTCCTGCCGCTCCTTTTCTGCATGGTGTGGGCGAGGGCCGGGACGTTGGAAGGAGCGAGATCTGCGTCAGTATGCTTACCTACGCGCGGGCCTACCGTCCGAGCGTCACTCCAACCGCCGTTGGCCGGCTCACCATAGCGACAATAGCGGAAAAACTCCTCGACGGTGACCGACTCGATGTCGATCAGCTCGGCGAGCGACAGGCAGGTATCGAGGCACTCCTGGATGACCCTGATGAACTTGTTGGGCAGCCGGTTCGACTTGTCCGGCCTTTTTGCTTCGAGCGCAGGCTCCTCGTTTGAGCTGGATTCCGAACAGGTCTGAGTATAACCGTAGCTAGGGGTGCTGCCTGAATTGGAAGACTCGCGCTGTGGCGCGTCGTCCTCCAAACCGCCAAAGTTGTAGAGGCGGAAGCTGGCGAGGCGTCAAAACGAGACGGGTCGGAGACAACTGTCAGCGGACGCGCCCGTGACCCCAGTGATTGACAATGCCGACGGCCCGGACGGATTCACTAGCGGTAGAGACCCTGCCACTCTTTGAGGCAGATGAGGATACGCTCGAGCGCCGGGCGCAGGCTGACGTGGAGCAGCTGCTTGAGCCGGTCGAACGCGGCGAATGCCGTCTGCTCGAAGCGGGTCAGAAGGCCCTCGGTGAGGTTGGCCAGCAGCAGCGTCTCGACGGCCGGGCTGGCCTTGCCGGTGAGGAGCGAGTTGAGCAGCTCGTACTTGTAGTCGCAGCCGAACTTGACCTGGAGCTCCTTTGTCAGCTTGGTCCACTCGTCGATGACGCCCTGCTGTATCTCGCGGCTCCAGATCTGCTGGATGATGGCGGCCACGTCGAGCGAGTAGCCTGCGTAGATGCCGAGGAGGTGACCGAGGCGGGAGAGCTTGTTCATGAGGTGGGCCGACGACTTGGGGTGCGCCTTGCCGCTCTGCTTGATCGGCAGCTTGGCCTCCGTTGCCCGCAGGCTGACGACATGCTCGCCGGAAAGCTTGGACTCTTTCGGTCCCGCAATTCTATCAAGGGTGAAGCCCACGATGACGGTCGAGAGGTTGCGAGGCACGTGCGTGGTGATGTGCGAGGTGGTATACCTGTGCGGGAGATTGTCGTTGCGGTAGGCGGGGCACGCGGCGAACGAGCCGAGGTGGATGGAGGCGTCGAGCAGAAGATGGATCCGGCTGGTCTTGGAGTTGGCCACGCACAGGATGGAGGTGGCAGCGAGGTCAGACGCTGCCGTATCTCTGTTGGCGCCGTCGGCCGGTCGGGGGCTGGGCCCGGTGCCGCTGCCGCTGCCGCTGCCACGGTCGCTGCGTTCCACCAGGCCCAGCTCAGTGCCGTCCTTGAAGAGCCACGGATAGGACGCAAGGGGTCCGCGACCCGACGCGCGCATCGAGCTCGGCAGCTCAAAGCTGGGCTGCGGCTTCTGTGCCCCGCTCATCTGCATCATACGCAGCTGGTGCGGCATGAGGTTGGCTGTCGAAGATCCCGAGGCGAACTCGTCGGCGCTCGGTACGGGCGGCAGCGGGTCGAACTTGGCCAGCTGCTTTGCGGCAGTGGCCGATGCGGTCTGCCCCTTCTTGGCCGCCTCCGTTGCCTCCGCAGGCGGATCGAGGGGATGCCAGCTGAGCTGGTGCGGCGCCTTGAACCTCTCGGCATCCCTCTTGGTGCGAATGTCTCGGACGGGGTGCAGCAGGGCGGTGCTGCAGAGGCGTCCGTCGTGGACCGAGAAGGTCCTGACGAGCGTGACATAGCGTCCGCTTGGCTCGGACGCCGCCGCAGCGGTTTTCAGGCGTCGTACCGAGAAGAGGGCGGCCAGCCGATCGCCGTCCGGGCTCCAGCCGATGTCGTGGACGCAGAGGTCCTCGAGCTCCTGCTCCGCTGCTTTGGCGGCCGCGCTGCCCGGTTCGGGGTCGAGGAGCCGCTCTGCGGTGAGGGGCACCTCCCACACGCAGGAGCTGTCGTCGCCGAGCCTCCAGAGCTCCATGTTGATCTTGGGTCCCCTGGTCGGTTCGGGTGCGGTGGCGGGGCCGGCGGCCTGGCCGGCTCGCTTTGCCATCATGCGCTGCATCAGGGCTCGCTGTGCGGCCGACATTCCCCTGTTGGCGGATGCGCCCGCAGCTGTGGTGGCCGCAGCGGCGGCCTCATCCTTGGTGAGCAAGAGGACGAGGTCCATGCGTGGGTTGGCGGAGCTGTGCAGCAGGGTGGCAGACTTGGGGAGCCTGTGGTCGGCCAAGACCGGCATCAAGCCCAGGCACGCCCCGGGCTCAGCCCAGGTTCCACCTTCGATGGGCAGTGCCATGGCGAGGGGGGGCACGGCCGAGTTGGCGGGACGAAGCCGAGCCCGCAGAGATGGACCAGGTCGATCAAGGCTTCGAGGAGGGTGGTGTGGCTGGGATGCCTTGTCCCGGCTCGGCCAGCTTCAGCTGGGAACACGGGAGGAGCCGGTGATTTGACGTGGGCGACGTTGCGTGACGTTGGGTAAAGACCGGAAACGAGGAGATTGCGGCGCGGGAGAGGTGATGGGGCGCTGGCATGGAGCAGGAAGAAAGGGCTGGAGGCCACGGTTGCCAGAGAGCCATGGGACGTGCCCGCTCGTGTCGGGGGTCTGGCCTGCCTGCTTGTCCTCTAATCCGCCAGGCAGATCTGCCCTGGCCTGGCCTTGCCCGGGCCTGCCGCGCTAACGCGAAATCAGCTCGGCGCCACCACGCCTCCTCACGCACGGCCCATCCTCGGTTCGCCCGTTCACCCCAGTCGTCCTTGCCACCTTTCAAATCACAGCAGAGCATGCCTTGGGCACGTGACGTCTCATTGAGCATGCCAGACAACGTCTGCTCGGATCGCAACGCGGTCGCTATTAGTACGTCGCAGGCCCTGCTGCGCCACAAAAGCGCGTGCGACGCAGGCGGGCAGCAGGACACAAGATGGACGACTCGAGGGCACGTTCAATTCCCTGCACATCGCATCGACTACGAGACATTACGGCAGCATCTCGACATGCTCGCTGCACATCAGGCCTTGACCTTCTCACTGCGGTCGCAATTCGGAGGAAAGGATCGACAGGGATCGGGGGTGACGGCAAGAGACAACGAGGGGATCAGCGAATCTGCCCATCCATCCGTGGCCATCAAAGAGGATCCGGACGCGAATCAACTCACAGCAGCTCAGGCACGGCATCGTAGAGGTCGGCGACGAGACCAAGGTCGGCCACCTGGAAAATGGGGGCGTCGGCGTCCTGCGAGTGGCACAGACGACATCGAGCGGAAAGCCAAGAGACGGGGCCCGGAGATGACAATGATCAGCACGCCAACGGCAGCTGACACAAAGAACCGGCACGATAGCCTACGGCCAGCTCGAGGCGTAGCTGGCCGCGGGAGCGAGACGCACCTTGTTGATGGCGACAATCGTCTTCGAGTCCTTCATACCGGCAAGGTGCTGGATGGCGCCCGAGATGCCAATGGCCATGTAGAGCTCGGGAGCGATGATCTTGCCCGTCTGTCCCACCTGGAGCGCGTTGTCGGCGTATCCGGCATCGACGGCGGCGCGCGAGGCTCCCACAGCGGCACCGAGCGCATCGGCCAGCGGCTCAATGTACTTGACAAAGTTGTCGGCCGACTTGAGCGCACGGCCGCCGGAAACCACCCGCGGCGCCGTGGCGAGGTCGGGGCGCGACGACTCGGACACCTTCTCCTCGATAAAGTCGGTCAGCGCTGGTGGATGTGGGAAAAGAGGAAAGGCGGGAAAACAACGATGGGCAACGGGAAGGAACAGTCCGTTCAGCACCTAGCCAATGCGGCGGTCGTGCACGGAATGCGAGCCTGTCGAGCACTCACCCTCTGCGCCGGGCGCAGCCACCTCCTCGACGGTCGCACTGCCGCCCTCGGTGGAAGCGGCATCGAATGCGGTGCCTCGGACGGTGAAGACCTTGACCTTGTCGGTCGCCTTGACCGTGGCGATGGCGTTGCCGGCGTAGATGGGGCGGACAAAGACGTCCTCGCCCTCGAGGTCGATGATGTCGCTGACCTGGGACGAATCGAGGAGCGCGGCGGCGCGCGGGAAAATGTCCCTGCCGACGGCCGTGTGTCCGGTGACGACGTGGGTGTAATTGTTGGAGTCGACGAGCGACTTGATCAGAGGCGCAACGGGCTCCGAGAGGAGCGAGGCAAAGTCCTTGTGCTTGCTGTAGAGAACCTTTGTCAGGCCCGAGATCCTTTGCGAGGGGGAAAAGGCGGCGGATCAGGAGCACAAGGGAAGAAGGGGTCGGCAGGAGCGATTCAGTGTCCGGACTGGAAGGCGTGGGTGGTGCTGCAGAAGATTCTTGTTGCGCAAAGAGACAAGGCAAGGATTGACTCACTTTGCCGCCTTGTTTGCAACCTCCTCTGCGGCGTCCTCGCCGGCGACGACGAGTCCGTGGATGTCGCCTCCGAGCTTCTGGGCTGCGGTGACGGCGGCGAGAGAGGTGGCGTTGAAGACGCCCTTCTTGTGCTCGAGGAAGAGGAGGGTGCTTGCGAGGTCGACGCGGGAGGTGGCAAAGGTCCTCCTCGGGAGGGCGGCGACGCTGATCATGGACGAGGTCGATGCGCGCGTGGCGGGGCGCGGCAGGCAGCGGGCGGCGATCATGGTGCTAGAGGGTGGGCGTGCGGGGATGTGGGCTGCAGGTCTAGGTTGTGCGAGTACGGAAAGGGATGGCAGTGATGGCGATTGCGATTGCGATGGTGGTGGTGATGGTGGCGTCGGCGTCTTGGTCGTCGTCGTCGTCGATGGGCTGCGGGAGGGGTTTGGTGTCGGCTTTGAAGGGGATTGACGAGGCGGGGCGGGGAGAGTTGTGGGCCGGCCAGCCGGTCAGTCGTCGGTCTCGGGGGTCATTGGCCTGCCTTGCCTGCCTGCCTGACTGCCCATCGCCCGCTCTCTCTGCCTGCTTTCACGCTGGCCCGTCCCTTGGAATCCGCGGTGAGCGTCTGACCTCAGCCCCGCTTCCGAATGGTCCCGCTGCCCCTCGCTTTTTGAGGCCTGGCAGTCCGGGCCAGGCCTGGCCTGATCTCCGATTCGAGAAGAGTGACCGAGACTACTCCCGATGGGCAAGCGTCCCCGATTCAGCAGCGGTCAGGACCCAAGAGGTGGAGGAGGCTTGGACCGTTGCAGCCGCCGTCATTGAGGGTTGCGTGCGCCTCGCTCGCCGCCCTATGCTCTCCCCGCTTTCCCCAGCTGTGTCACCTCTTGACCCTCACCCCGATGATCAATGGTCAACAATGCTTCTGACACTGTACCACCACGACAGCCGGCCATCATCGCCTGCGCTCCCATCGCCCGCGAATGCTCCTGGCTAGATCGACACTCGGCCTCGCCGCAAAACACGCCCGCAACGCACCACCAGCCGCCTCGATCCTCACCGTCTCAAAGACTCCCCACGGCACGCCACCGCGCTCGCTCCTCGTCCGTCCAGCATCCACCGCGGCACGCCGCATAGGTCGACCCCGCAAGGACGCCAAATCGGCCTCAGCTACAGACATGCCCAAGCGCAAAGCCTCCGACGACCAGCTGTCCTCCAAGAAGCCCAAAAAGCCACACTCGCCATCCGCTTCGTCTCCTCCCTCCTCCAAGACCCTGCCTCTCATCCAGGTCGCCAGAACCTCGTCCGACTGCCCAGAATGGCCTGCACCGCCGCAAAGAATGGCAGACGCCGTCAGCTTCCTCAGACGATGCGCTCGCAGCGGTGAACGCGTCCTCGTGGTACCCGACAAGGACGCAGACGGCCTCTGCTCGGGCGCCATCATGCACCGCACCTTGACCCATGCGCTCAAAATCGATCCAACCCTCATCGACGTCCACCTCATGACCAAAGGCAGCAACCCGGCTGCCTCCGAACAGCGCGAGGCCATGGAGGACGTCAACGCCAAGTGGGTCATCGTGCTCGACCAGGGCAGCCGCAACGGCCCACCCCTCGTAAACGGTGGCCACCACGGCTGGCAGAGCGATCACCCGGAAGCGGTGCGCACCATGGTCATCGACCACCACTGGCTGCCCGTCGACGACCCTGGCCCTCGGGGCTCGCTGATGCTCAACGCATGCCATCACAAGCCCGTCGCCACCGCATCTCTTCTCACCTGGGTCCTCTGCCGCCCGCTCTGGGAGGGCACAGGGGCCGACGCCGAGGCACAGATCGACTATCTCGCCGTGCTCGGCACCATGGGCGACCTCAGCGTCAATGTCGACTGGGACCCACCCTTTCCCGACCTCACGCCCGAGATCAAAAAATGGACAAAGAAGCGGCTGGGCTCGGCCATTGCCCTGATCAATGCGCCGCGGCGCACGCCCGACTTTGACGTCGCCACCGCCTGGAACGCCGTGCTCTCGAGCCGCGATCCGCTCGGCATCATCGACCCGGCCTCGAACCCGCACGCCAAGCGACTCTACGAAGCGAGGGACGCCGTCGCCCTCGAGACGGAGCGCTGCACCCACACGCCGCCCAAATTCTCAAAGGACGGCCGCGTGGCGCTGCTGCGGATCCGCTCGGGCTACCAGGTCCACCCGAGCATCGCGACGCGCTGGAGCGGCACGCTCAAGTCCAAGCGGCTCCAGGTCATCATGTGCGCCAACGACGGCTACAACGAGGGGCTGACAAACTTTTCCTGCCGCATCGCCCAGATTGCGAAGAAGCGCGGTGAAGAGGTCAACATCATCGAGATCCTCAACAGCTACGCCGACCGCGACCCGCAGTTCAAGGCCGAGGTCATGGAGGCCGTCAACGGCAACGCCTTCAATGGCCACCCGCAGGCGTCGGGCGGCATCTTTCCGCACGCCTTTTTCGAGCGCTTCACGGAGCTCATGGAGATTGGCGTCAAGCCGGATGATGCTCCTGCGACCAAGAAGGCGAAAACGACCAAGGGACCGACGCAGAAGAACACGCTGCTTGCCATGGGCTTCTCGTCGACCTCGCCCAAGAAGGCGGCAAGCTGAGCGGAGGCATCACCGAGGCGGTTGCCAAGCCTCCTCTGGTCTCCTCATACGGGACAATGTGCGGGAGCTTTGATCACGTCTCGGCATTAGCGTCGAGGAGCGTGGGAGAACCGTCCATGCTCGTTCAGGCTAGCCTTGCCGCTCATCGGACCCTCGCGCGGTCCGACGGCAAACGTGACCGGGGAGCCCCCCACGAGCAGACACGCACAGTCGATCAATGGCGCGGCGCATGTGTCATTCGAGATCCAGCGATACAGATCTCGCACCGGTCTGCCAGAGGGCAGCGGACAGCTTGAGACTGCGGGACCTTCCATGCGGCGCATGGGCCTCGCCGCGATCGCCATTGTAGTGCGATCTACGTACTTGTACGATAACCCCCCACGATCCCGAGCCGCGGTAGGGATTGTCGACCCGTGTACGAAGCGCTCGCCGACACACGCATGCATAGATACAGTATCTGCGTGTCCGCGGCGTTTGCATGCGGATGCCCTTCATATCCTGAAGACGAATCATATCCTGAAGACGAATCATTGCCGCGGGATCGCGACACAGCATCCGTTGGAGCCATCGCAAGAGCGCGTCGAGAGTGTTGCGTACGCGTGGCGCGCGCAGACCCTCGTTCGAACGACAGGCAGCGGGTGGTGGGAATTAGGATGGTCCCGCCCTCGACTCGCGATGACCAAGGACATGCGCGTACGGGAGGTGCCGGGATGGCGTTCCCACCGACTCGGAGAGAAGGTGACGGCGGAGTGGCGGAGTTGGATGGCGTGGTGAGGCCTCGAAGGCAGGCGGGTCGGCCACGCGCGTACGTGCACGCGCGGGCACTCCGCCTTCTTTCCCGCCATCTGCCCCGCCGACCCGGACGAGGTGGATCCCATCCTATCCTAACACAGCGCTGTACCGGTACCGTCCTTCTGGATCGCACGAGACAGGACATCTGGGCGCACGTTCTTGCAACTGTCGCAACTCCGCTCTCCCGACCCTCGGCCATCCGTATCCTTGGTTCGGAGACGGCCAGGTTGTTGGCCCCATCCCCGCTCGTTGTCGTATCCGCAATCGGACCTGCCGAACCGCTTAGAGTCCGGGAGAGGGGCCGAGCGGGAAGGCGGGTCGATGCGCTACATACCTGCAACGCACCGTTGGCCACGCACGCACGACCCCGCACCAACGTAGCGGGAGGGTGGACGCCGTATCATACCAAGTGCATCATGTACGCTCGCACCGCGCCATGTCCTCTCTCCTCTGCATCTGAATGCACCTCCAAGGAGGGCAGGAAGGGCTCGCCCCGGCCCTGGCTTGTTTGCTCTACACTCTGTCATGCCTGCATCGCCCCTCACCCGCTCCGCGTCCGTGTTCGACCCCTGGGCTCGACGCATATCGGACTAGAATCGTGAGAAGAAGGTTCCGGCCCTCTCACGCTTAGAGCCGCATCTAAACTACTCCTAGCCCGTGTACAGGAGACCTAGCAAGGCACAGCAAGGCAAGATGTACATACAGAGATGAAAGGAGAGGGCCTCTTTATGCGGCTCCATCCAACGGCTGGTCTGGTAGAACGTTCATCTGAACAACGCCCGCCGCACCATCTCCCCTGATTGCGTATGTACCCCCTTGTCATATCGTGAACCCCGACCGACAGGGGACCCGTTCAGTTCTGGGTACAGGCCAAACAGGATGATGCTGTGTGCATGTACAGTACATGAGTGTGCCGACCCGGGACGAGATCTGAGAAGATGTACATACATATGAACGCATAGCATGGATGGCAGTCGCTCCCTCGATGACCACTTTGACCATGGTCGAAGTCGCCCCTGCCTCTGGACCCCACGCTTCGTCTCGTCGATCCATGCTAGCCTCTGTTCATACACCGAGCCAGCCACTCTAGCACCGGAAGTTGCTCTGGAGACCAAAGCGAATGAAAGAGACCGGGTTGGTGGCGGCTGTACCTATGCAAGCAGAGGGGCCGAGCAGATCCTACTACTCTGATGCTCGGATCCTCTCGGTCCGTGACGGCTTCTCAACCGTGTCTTCCTCGCGCGTCTTTCCGCTACAGCTATACAGAGCAGAGACTGAAGTCACGTAGACATCGACATACCGCACTCTCGAGCTTGCTGCTGAAAGTGCGCAAGAGCCGACAATGACGACCCTCGATCCAACGACGACAAGGATGGCGAAGACGACGAAGTGGCGCCATCCCGTCTAAGCGCGCCCGTCCGCGTGGTCCGAGGGGATCTGCGCGGTTGTCGTCGATTGTAGCCTTCGCTTCGGCCAGGCGGGCCGCTCGCTACCGCCAACAAGCTAAGCAGCTCGAGCCGCCGAGCGAGAAAAAACCGTCGGGCAGCCACGAGATGCGGTGCGGTGCGGTGCGGAGCGAAACGGTAGCGCGGTCCGCCTCGTCATCCTCGCGGGCCCGCCATCGTCGGCACTCGAGCCTGTGACACTCGAGCTGAGGATGTGGCAGTCCGCGCCAAGCAGAGAGAGAGAGTAGTGGTACCGTAGCGCGGTGCAGCAACGCGCACTAACTAGGCCGCAACATCGGCGCTTGGTCCCCCCGCGACCTGGGAATGGCGCCATGACCAACGGAGCGCTGCAACCGTCCGCTCCGACCTGCGTGCGCAGGCGGCAACAACCACACGTGTCGTCTGCAGCGCGCCCACGCTACATTTGCCCTAGCCTGTGTTGACGACCTGTGCGGTCGTACCTAGTGCGTGGTCACCGCAACGAGCGCGGGAGATCTGGTGATCGCCCTGGCGATGGCTCCTAGCCATTGCTTCTGGAGTGGACAGATGGGGAAAAGGCGGTGATGGCGAGAGACGCGGGTGCACAAACCCTCGGAGGAGAAGTCCGGCAGTCAAGTGGTTCGGCGGGCTGGCCAGGACGACAACGGCTCCCTCGGATTCGCTTGCATCTCTCTCGCTTTGACTTGCTCCGGCTGGACCTGGCCCGTCGGTTGGGACGCACTCTGTGCCTGCCATGTCCAGCCAGTCAGGCCCAGCCGAGGCCCAGGCCAGGCGAAGGCTGTCGGCAGCGGCGATACCGCCTCGCCGCCAGCCGGGCTTTGGGCATGAAAATTTAAGGTTCATCCACACCGCTCCAGCCGAGTCCAGCGCAGCGCAGCCGGCAAAGCACCGCGTGCGTGCGTGCTGTACGAGTCACGGCGGCAGGCCGCCACACAAGAAGGGCTCGCCTACACCCTGCCTACAGTAGGCCTCTCCCCGGTCAAGCGCGCGTGGCGCACCTTCGCAAGACCATCGATCGTCACAGAGAGCCTACGACACGTCCGCGGCCGAGAAGAACAGACCTGAAGCAACTGTGTTCTCATCGACCGCCCTCACGCTGCCCAAAGCCACCCCCGGTTGGCTGTTCCGACCAGCCATCGCAATCGAGCCAATCGACACGGCGGGATTGCCGACGAGGGCGCGCGCGGCACGCCTGCCGGACGGCGGCGCGCAAAGTCCATCTAGGCAGGCACCGGGCGAACCGCCGTCGGCATCGTGGCAAACCAGACCGACACATCCCCCCGACCAACCTGCGTCGGGCCATTTGATCGGACGGCGCCCGCCGCTCCCGCTCCAGGCCGGCGCCCGCCGTACAGCGTCACACCGTGCCTACCGGACCGGGACGCGGCCACAGCCGCCTCCGCCGGCGCAGATCGTCAAGGCAGGCCAGAGCAAAGCCTGCTGGATCAACGGATCGGTACTCGATCCGTACTCACGAACAAGGCATGTACATAGATGCTTGCTGAAGAATCTGCTCGCATACCGCAGCGGTGCCGTTTTCGACCGGCCAAGATGATCCTGCACACGCCGAAAGAGGCCGGCTTGGTGCTCGCGTCGAGCGAGATGGAGCAACCGACATGCGCCAGCCTCGGCCGCTGCGCCACCGGTCTTTCATCCCTTGTCTCCCCCTCGGCGTCGACAGCACGAGACCTGACTCTTGACTTGGCTCGTCGGCCAAGATGAGAAGAGCATAAGGGGTGAACGAGAGCCTAGCCTTTCCCGCGCGCGTCTTGCCGGTGGCGTCGAACGGCGGACTTGCTTGACTGGCGACGTCAAGCAAGAGGCCGGCGCAGCATGCTGGGCTCCATGTCGTCGCATCCTTGTGCCTCTCGAATCCTTCTTCCGCCTCTTCTATTGCGCCCTCGCCGCCATCTAGGTACGCCGATGACCGTACGCTCGTCTACGGACGGCATCTCACTTTTGAGGTTTGGCCGCGGAACTCTGAGCCGGATCTCGCTGCTGTCGAACTCGACCTGCAACGGGGCGCAGCGGGAGGCATGCCGGCCCGTCCTGGCTACGACTCCGGTGTGGGCGTGCTGGTCATCGAATGATCGGTCGGTCGGTTCAGCCAGCCATACGCGCTTCGTTTGCGGGCCATGTCGAGGTCCCTCGTCAAGCGTCGCACGAAGTCTGAACGTCCAGCGTCGCTCGTCGATCCTGGCCGCCGTCTGTTGCCGTTTGATTGCACCCACGCCGGCACGCTTGGACAAGGGGAATCCAGGCCAGGCCAGGTCCGTTCCGTCCTTCGCGCCACGTACGTAAAAGAAGACGGCAAAGCTTCGATCTGTGCACCTGCGCACAAAGGGACGGCCCGGGGGGGTTTCTGCGGGCAGCTGATGCGGAGGTGACCGGCCTGCCGCTGTGCAAGCACCGACTCTGTTCGATAGGTGGGCATGTACCTGCCTTGCTCTGCCAGATCGAGTCTTCCGATGCTCTTGCCAGCCACAAGGACCGCTACTTTGCGGCCCTCGGAACACCTCCCGTTGGACGCAGAAAGGTCCAGACGAGCGAGAGGGGCGAAGCGGCGAGCCCTTTGAAGAAGAAGAGGCAAGAGGTAGACAGGCGCCTTTGCTTCTGCTTGCCTGGGTGAAGCGCTTGCTTCTTGGCGGCGGGCGGGGGTCGAGGCAGGCTGCATAGGCGGTTAGGCCGCGCTGGGCCGCGCTGGGCGGGCCAGGTCTGCCGGGCTGGGCTGCAAAGAGGCGGCGCTCGCCTCGGTTCATGCCGCTTCGCTGGCCTTGGCTTGCCGCCTGCCCTGCCTGCCTGCTGGCTCACACCTCTCCTTGCAGGTCGCGGCTACCGAGGGCCACCTAGCCTAGACATGGCCGGACGTCTCCCGTCGTTCCCTACGATGGTCCAGCTCGGCCTCGGCCATCCCGTAGGTTGTCTCCTCGCGAGGACATCCGGCGTGGCTTGCCAGGCGGCAACCTCTCCCTGCCTGCTCGACCAGCACCGCCGAATGGGCCTGGCAGGCTAGGCTAGGCTAGGCCAGGCCAGGCCAGGCTAGCGCTCGGTCTGGTGCTGGCTGCAGGGGATAACCTGTGTGCAGCTGGCCGCTTTCTTGGGTCGGTACGCATCTGCCTCCTCCACCCCTGGCTGTCGCCTGTGCGCTCTGCCTCGAGCCACCAACGGGGCCCAGGCCAGGCGCAGCACAGGCGAGGAGGAAGGGCTAGGCAGGCGGGCTGTAACGGAAGTCTCGCCCGGCCAGGCGGCTGGCAGGCAAGGCAAGCAGGCAGGCGGGCGGGCGGGCGGGCGGGCGGTGCCTGGGTGGTGCTGCGCTCAGCCCTAGCCTCCCCTCTCCACCACCCAAGGCAGGCCTGCCTGATCCTCTTCTGCACATGGGGACGGTTTCCTTCCGACACCAAGCCAGCCTGGTGCGGTGGTGTTCTGCCGCCCTGTTGCCCGGCCGCCTGGCTTCGATGCTCGCCTCCGTGGCCGGCCTTGCTTGTGGCTGGCTGGACGCTCCTGGTGCCGCCTCTCATCTGCATACGCACGCTCCCTCCTGGCTGACCGGCTTCGGTTCTCACACCAAGCAAGCAAGCAAGCAAGCCGGCCCCCTCCCCGTTTGCATCATGCATGTACGTGCGTGGTGCATCCTGGCTTTGCCCTGCCTGCTTCGCCTTGCCAGCCTCGTCCTGCCATCGCACGCCTCGCCTCGCCTCAGTTCGGGGTGGCCGCGCCTGCCTCCTCGCTCCTCGGCGTCCGACACGCGGTGTCGTCTACAGGTACCAGGCTAGGCAGCCTGGGCGACGGGCCAAAGCCTCTCCTTACGACCACCACCACCGCCACCACCATCATCACCGCCGACCGTCGCGCACCTCTCTGTGCCGGCGTCACCTCTGCTTTCTCCCCCCCTTGCCTCTTCCCCTGTCCTTTTCGACCCGTTTCTCGCCGCCACGCTCACTCGGCCTCCACTCGACGCCATCGCCGGCCTCCCGTCGAGGCACTTGCTCGCTCTCGCCTGATTCGACGGGTTTCGTCTTCGACCTGTCCGTCGAAGCACTCTTCGACGCCTGCGTTCGAATCGCCAACCTTCGACAAGGCCTCGGAGCCTCCCCTGACACCTTGTGTCAACGTTGAGTCTCGGCGACGATTGCCTCCTGTGGCCCTAATCTCTTCGTCGAGTACGGGTCCCGTGCCTCGTGACGCAAGCCTACCTCACGCAGCATCGGCGACCGCGCACAGGGGGCTCAGATATACGCTGAGCGACGAGCGAATTCTTCGACGGCCCTCCGGCAAGGAAAGACCAACCCGGAGATCCAGCGTTGGCCCAGCCATCGAGCAAGACTCAGCACAAGCTTGCTTATCAACGCGTGAGTATAGATGCACGGCCTCCGTCTTTCGTCCGATGCTGGCTTGACTGGCACTGCGCCGAGGCGGTTCTGTCAGAACGGGGGCGAGATGTGTCTATCGTCGGCGCTCAAACGACCGCCCAGGCGAGGCCTTCGCCTTCCTCATCGGCTCGCCCAGGCAGCGACGCAGTGCTTGGCCACCTCGGCCTGTCCGGGTGTTGGCCGCGCCCAGGTCACCACATAGTGTCTTGCGAGATGGAACGCAGCCCCGGAATCCTGTTCTGTGGCTTAGCCCCGCCGGGTGGGCGGACGGGCTTGGACTGAAGCAATTCGGGGGTCTCGACAATGGTCGAGTTGTGAAGCCGTACACCGGCTTTCGCCCACCCAGATGACAAGCCGCTTCGTCCCGTCTTCGAGCCAATCGATTGTTGACCGACCCACAACCCTATCCTTCGTCCTACATGAAATGCTCCTCTCCTCGCGGCGCCCACCACAAGGTAGATTGAACCTCGAACTTCCTCCGCCAGATCGCACACCGCCACCACCGCCTCTGGAGGACCTCGGCCTCGGACGAGCCCCCTTGTCTATCGTCGCATCGGCCGTTCCGCACCATCGAAGGCACCATCACCGACGACAACGACCACGACATGGGCTTCTTCGACGTCGGCTCCATGCGGAGCAAAAAGTCCAACGCGGAGCTTACACAGGAAGCACGCATGCAGAGGCGCAAGAACGACGAGATCCTCGCAGCCAACCTCGGCCTCGACTACTCGCATGGCGGCAGCAGCAATCGCAGCAACGGCAAGTCGAGTCGTGACCGGCTCCACGACGACTTTGCAACGGGGCACGGCGCCGCCGCATCGACTGCGGCCAGGGACGCGACAAGACGGAGCAAGCTGGAGAGGATGATGGGTGCCGACGTGCCACTGCCCGACTCGCTCTCGGCGCCCAATGCTGACCATCGGCGAGGGCAGCATCAGGCCGACGCGGCATCCCAGATCTACGGCTCAAACGGAGGCTCGGCGCTCCACCTGCCCATGTCCAAGGGATCCTTTGACGCCATGAGCCAGCATTCGTCACACTCCTCCGGCCGCGAGCGTCAGTCGAGCGGAAGATCGTTTGATCCGCTCCCCGGCGCTTCAACGACCTTCACCGAGATGGCCGAGGTTGACTGCCCTGTCTGTCTGGAGCCGCTTTCGTACCGGCTCGCCGGCGAAAAGCCTCACGTTGTGCCCAATTGCGGCCACGCGCTGCACAACGCTTGCTTCACCGCCGTCTACGGCCCGCCGGAAGCCATCATTGCGCAGCAGAATGCGGCCTTGGGGGCAGGCAACGGTCGCACAAAGGGCGCCGGTCTGGTCCAGCGGACCCCGGCCGCAAACCCGCCAGGCATGTGCGGTGTATGCCGTCGAGCCATCGTGCTCGGCGGTGACGAGGCCACCGCCAAGTCTCAGAAGCTGGCGGGGCTGGGTCCGCACGGGTCGCAGGCCGATCGGATGACTCTGAGCTCGGACTCGGCCTCGGTTCGAGCCCTCTCTGAAGCCCACGAGGACGACCCTCTCGAGAGCCAGGCAAAAGGCCGGTCTGCCAACATCTCGGGACCCATCACGACCCCGACGATCCGGGCTAGGCCAGAGTACTCGACCATCTACAAGAAGGCCGATCGCAAGGACAACAGCAAGGTCAATGTGGTCTGCGTGCTCTCGGTCGAGGTGCCATCGAGAAGGCCGAGCTCTGACGATGCGGTCGAGTCCGGCCTTGACACGATCGAGGATCGCGGCTACGCTGAGGAAGAGTTTGACGAGGAGGACGAGCGCGACTACGAGGGCGAGGACTCGTACTCGGACGACCTCAAGCGCAGCGGCTCCGAGTACGTCCCCAACGACCGCAGGTCGAGCGGTCAGCGCAGCCCGCTGCCGACGTCGTACGCCAACGGCGCCGACGGAAAGCAGGCCGCCAGCCCGGAGCGCTGCATCTCTCCCGAAAGTCAGGCCGGGTTCTCGTACAGTGCGACGCCGGCAGCGCAGCAGCGGCTCAACGATCCCAACCTCGCTGTGGTCGAGGACCTCCGCAGTCGCGTGGCCGATTGGAAGGGTCACTCGCTCGAGCATTTCGGCGAGCTCGTGCTGCACGACCTTCTCAACGTCCGCCAGGACAGTGTCGTACGCGAGTTCCACGTCTACCTGTTCGAGGGCGCGCTGCTCTGCGTCACCGAGGAGAAGCGAAAGGGTCTCAGCCGGTTCATTCCTGCGGCACCTCCGGCCGCTCCGGGTGCCACCCCCGACGTTCCTGCCATGCCCAAACCCGCGCTCAAGCTCAAGGGCCGCATCTACCTCAAGCACATCCGCCGCGTCATCGACTCGTCGGTCGCTGGCGAGCTCAGCATCAGCATCACGATGGACGAGAGCCTGGATCAGTTTGTCCTCTGCTTCCGCGATCGCGAGACTCTGTCGGTGTGGAAAGAGCGTCTCAGCCAGAAGGTCGCCGCACAGTCCAAGTCGGCGGCGGCGGCAACTACGGCCAAGGAGGCGGCCAAGCCCGAGGAACCGGCATCAGCCTTCGACGCCGCCTCGGCCGCTCACTCGGCCGCGAGCCATGGCATGCACCCCCTCGACGACCACCAGCGCCTCCGCGGCCTTCCCGCGGCACCCAGCCACGGAGTTTCGATCTCGCGGGCGAATAGCGGCGCCGCATCAATCATCAGCGGCAAGACGGGCTCTCACCAAGGCGCCCTCTCTCCGGCCGACTACAGGAACATGCGACGCTTGTCGAACGTCTCGAGCGTCCAGAGCCACGGCAGCCACCGCAGCCGCACCTCGACAGCTTCGGACACGGTGCCTCGCCACCAGCAGTGGTCCGCCTCGGGCGGGCTCGACCCGAGGATCCCACCGCCTCCGATGCTGCCACACACGCCGCTCGACTTGGTGCTCATGTTCGCCGTGCCTCCGGTCCTGCCCAACAACGCACAGGGCTCGATCAACTCGTCGGCCGCGCTCAAGCTTCGCCTGGTCCGATCGACGCTTGACTTTGTTGTCAGCCACATGGGACCCAAGGACCGCGTCTCGCTCGTGGCCTACTCGGTCGGCTATGAGGGCGAGGTGAAGCGCACGGCGCTCCTCAACCCGAGGCGCTCGTCGAGCCGACAGATGCTGGGCGAGTTCATCCAGTGCATCGGCAGGCCTTGGGACGGCCACGCCGAGGACCCGTTCCGCGTCGACCTGGACCGGCTGGGCGGAACGAGCGAGCGGACCGATTCGGTGACGGCGGTCAATGTCGGGCTGGACATCGTGCTGCAGCGCAAGCAGAAGAACCCGATCACGGGCATGATTCTCGTCAACGACACGGCCGACGGACCCAAGCGGCACCAGATGGACCTGGTCATGGCGCGGGCCGAGGCGGCCAACGTGCCCATCCACTGCTTCGGCTACGGCAAGACGCACGACCCGTCTTCGCTGTGGCTGATCTCGAACCACACAAAGGGCTCGTACACGTTTGTGCGCGAGTGGTACCAGCTGCGCGAGTGCCTGGCCGGCTGCATTGGATCGATGATGTCGATCGCGCTGACCGACGTCAAGCTGCACGTCAGTGTGCCCCACGACAACCAGTTCCGCGTCCGCAAGATTGCCGGCATGCCCGGAGCCATCATCTCGTCGTCTGGCAAGGACGTCGACATCGACATGGGCGACATTCGCTTTGGCGACGCGCGCGAGCTGCTGGTGGAGCTCGAGCTCGATCTCGAGAGCCTGCTGCCGCGCCTCAACGCCAGCAGCAGCAGCAGCCGCAAGCTCTCTGCGCCTCCCATCGAGCAGGGCAGCGCTACCGACGACTTCATGCAGCGACTCGGCATCCAGGGGCTGAGCCTTGCCGACTCGGACGGCGCCGAGGGGTCATTTGAGCACCTGATCGACGAGGTCCCTGTCTTTGAGGCCGATGCCGGTTTCCGCGACCCGACCAACGGCACCAGCACGTCGAGGCTGGCCAACCCGACGATCCTGACGCTCGAGATCGACTGCCAGTCGCCGGACCCCGTGTCCTCCGGGCCGCCGGGCCTGGCCGCTGCGATGGCCGATCCAACCGTGACGCGGCGGCGGCTCGAGGTGTTGGTGTCGGAGATGATTACGCGCTCGCTGCTGCTCATCTCTCGCTCCAACTACGCCCAGGCGCAGAAGGTGTTCAACGAGACGCGGAGGATCATTGAGACGGTGGTGCGGGCAATCCCGCTGCCCGCCGGCGGCAGCGGCAGCGGCTCGCGGCGGCGGGCGCCGATGGGCAACTCGCGCTCCGCGGCCAAGCGGCAGCGCGACGCGCTCAACCGCAAGACGATCGACAGCCTGATGGCCATGATGAATGACCTCGACACGCTGCTGGAAGGGCTCGAGGCGCAGAACCGGACGACGTTCGAGCGCGACGGGCGCAACTTTGGCGCGCAGCAGGCCATGATCCTGCGCGATCAAAAGGCGTGGACGACGCGGACCGACACCGAGTATCAAAACTTCCGCGACGACAACGCCGCCGCTTTCGCTGCCTACGGTGCTTCGTACGCCAGCTCGCGGTGAGCGTGGTGCACCTCGCTGGTTTCGACCGCTCTGCCTCGGATGCCGGCGCATCTGTCCGTCGCCAGTCAGAGCCCTCGCCGGACGACGCTCCTGCCCTGCTGTCGATTGGCCTGGCCTGCCAGCCCCATCCCGAGGCGTGCTTTCGCGCTCCCGCTGCCCCTTTCTCTGTGGGGAGGGGTCGCCCTGTGCAATCTTTCGCTGCCGTGTATCTGGCTCAGGATACCCTTGTCACGCTCCTTTGGTCACCGTATTCCCGTTTCGCGCCGAGTCGGTCGGTAGGCTGCGCGGACCCACGCTCGTTTGTGCCTTCCCCTCCCTATAGTGTTTTCGCCGTGACTTGATACCCTTCGTTTTGTCAAGGACGTCGTCGACGTCGACTGAATGCCAAGAAACCCATCTGGAAGCCAAAGAGAGGGGCGAGGGTCTCGCTCGACCTGAGCGAGCAAAGGTCGGGCAGCACGCGCTGCCATGGGTGGCGATCTTGCGGGCCGGCCGGCCTGTCTGGTCTGCACACTGACGGCACCTTCGGCACGGCAGAACCCTGGCCTGCCGTGGCTACGGTAGCCTGCATGCCAAGCAAGCTGAGGCGTACGGCTGGGGGCCCGACTGCACGGTAAAATCACGGATTCGATGGTGTGCCGGCCATTTTCTTTTTCTTTTTCGACGCAGGCGGGACTCTGACTGGAGGTGGCTGGAGCAGGAGCGCGCTTGACACTGGACCGTCGTTGCTGCATGCAGGGCCTGCTGCCTTGCTTTTGCCTGGGGGGCCAGCAGGCGCGCACGTACCCCTCGAAACATGCCCGCCCCGCTGCGGCAATCAGAGCAGCAGCACCCTGCCGCGACGCTCTGCTTGATCTTTGCTGGCCTGCCCGAGGCTCGGCGCTTCCGTCTCCTCTTGCCTTCCCACCTCCAACCACTTCTCCGCGCCAAAGAGCTCACCCAAAAATATCGTTCCCCCCCGCCGCCCCTGCAACCGGTCCGTCCCTCCATCTTTGCGCTTCTCTCTCTGACGCCTTCGGCCCCCTCCGCAGCTTGACACCCGCGCCTACCATCTTTGCCACCCGCACATTCCACCCTCGCCGACCTGGTCCCTCTGCGTAAGCCCAGCTCCACGCCGGCGCAGGCCCAGGTTCCATCATGGCGCTCGTCCTCTTCCACCTCCCCACGCTGGTGCTCAACCACACCGCCACCCTACTCTACCCGCTCTACGCGTCCTACAAGGCCGTCACCGCCCAGTCCAGGCGCACCTCCTCCGTCTCGAGCTACAACTGGTCCGTCCGTGGCCCCGACGTTCCTCCGCCGTCCATCGATACCGCCGATGACGCCGGCAATGGCACCGAGCTGGCAGAGATGGAGCACTGGTTGATTTACTGGTCCGTCTTTGCCTGCCTCGCCCTCGCCGAGGGCACCTTTGGCTGGACGTGGCGCTGGCTCCCCTTTTACTGGGAGATCCGTCTCCTCTTCAACCTCTGGCTCGTCCTGCCCCAGACCCGCGGCGCAACCTGGCTCTACGTCAACCATCTCCACCCTTTCCTCCAGGGCCAGGAGGACAACATCGACCGCATCGTCGACGACGCCAAGGCCAGGATCCGAACCGAGACTCGCGGCCTCCTGGGAAAGGTGCTCGGTGGCGTCTTTGCCGTCCCAGGACCGATGCAAGACCCTCTCGGCGCGGCACCACCACCTCAGCAGCAGCAGCAGCAGCAGCAGCATGCACCTGCCTCGGCGGGCGGCATCTGGGGCGGCGCACCTCCTTCGCATGCACCGCCCGGCAATGCGGGATCGGCGCCTCCGCCGACGCATCTCGGATCCCTCTTTGGCAAGCTGGCGCCCTATGCGGCCGCAGGGGCCGCCTCTTGGCTCGCCAAGGCCAACGCATCTGCCTCGTCTGGCCAGCAGCGATCGCACTCGACACGCGCCGCGGCGCTGCAGACAGACCTGGACCTGCAGAATCGCGCCCTGTCTGACCTCCGCGACGCAGAGGGCATCGCGGCCGAACCTCAACGCACGCTGCGACGCGCCCAGGCGCTCGCGCGCAAGCGACAGCTCGAACAGCAGCTCGCCCACCTCAACGGCCTCGACGGTGGCGGCGGCGGCGACTCGACGACCGAGAGCGGCGAGAGCGACGACCTAGGCCCGCCAAAGGCAGGCGGCGGACCCAATGCCGCCGCCGCCGCCGCCGTCGCGGGTATCCGGAAGAGGTACCCGAGCGTCCTGGGCGAGAGCTATGATTTCCTCGAGGGCAGCGACACCAACGCTGGTGCCAGTGGCTCGCCCCGCGTCGAGGGCGAGAGAAAGGCGAGCAGCCAGGAGAAGTGGGCCGGATGGATCGGCAGGAACCTCTCGTGAGCGGCTCGCGCATCTCGAATGCACCCCCGGTACGGTTTTGCCTGCCTGCGTGCCTGCTTGGCCTGTCCGCCTCCGACGCCGCTTCGTTGCCGCGGCTCCAATCTGCCCGCCGTCATCATTGCCGGCCATTCGGGTCATGTTTCATGTGTCGCTGGTCACACCTGCTGGCCGGCGCACGTTCCGCTTCGGTCATGACAGTCAGCGGCGCCCGACTCGACGGCGGCACCCCTTCTCCGGCAGTCGACCTTCTTACGTTCTCGGGCCGTCCAGCGACCTCTTTGCCTTCGGGCTCGACATGATGCCGCAGCAGCAGCAGCAGCAGCAGCAGCAGCAGAAGCGCACATTCGCACAAACGACTATAGTGGCGACGGGAAGCGCGTTCCCGAGATCTGGATATTAGCGGGAGTGGTATCGAGCGCATTATCGGGAAGGAGGAGGGGACGAGGCAGGAAAAGGGGCCCCGCATCGCGCGCGGGCACAAGGGATCGGTAGGCAGGCGGGAGGCGCGGCGCTGTCCACGTAGCAACCATGGCCCGCCGCAGTGGGGCGCGCGAAGCCGCGGACAAATGAGCACGGGTCCGTTCAAGCCGACGTCGGTGCCGACGTGACAGCGTGAGCGGGCGAAGACGACGACGACGACGACGGCGGCGGCGGCGGCGAAGCGGGTTCGGTGGCGGCGGCAGCGGCTGCGCCGGAGAGGAGGGACCACGCCTCGCCGGCATTGGTCGAGGCGAGGACGTAGCCGAGGCATCCCATCCCGTTGGCCGTGTCGATAAAGGCGTCGGCCTCGTGCTCGAGGACGGGGATGCCGTCGCGGGCGGGCGAGTCGGCCGCTGGCGGCTGCAGCAGGCAGCCGAGCTTGGTGCAGAAGCCCAGGGTCTGGTTCTGGAAGAGCGAGAGGCGCAGGTAGAGGGGCTTGAAGGCCGCCGCGTCGTCGGGCGCGCCGCCCGAAAACATGCACAGCATGCCCACCATGCGCACGTAGTCGGACATTTTGCGGCGGTAATGCTCCAGCGGCTGGAGCGAGGCCGAGACCAGCCCCTTGTGGTCGAGCACCCGGTCACGGGACCGCAGCGTCGACGAGGAGGAGGAGGAGGAGGAGGCCGAGGAGGCCGAGGCGGGAGAGGCGATGCCGCTGCCTCCATATGCCTGGGCCGTGAGGATGGCAATGACCTTGTAGCACCAGAAGAAGGACACGGCGACCATGGCGGCGACGTGCGGACCGATGGCCGACCGGAAGAGCTTGCTCGCCGGCGTCAGCGGCGTCTTGGCCTTGCCGAGGACGATGATGCGCTCCGTCATCTCAAACAGGCGTCCGATGTCCTCGACCGTGGCCTGGCCCGCCGGCGGCAGCGTGTGCAGCGCGTGGTAGGTGCGCACGGCGTGTTCGAGGCTGTACCGCAAGGCCGCATCGCACGTCGGGTCCAGCTGACTGCCCTCGGCGATGTGCGATTCGGCCTGGTTGGTGACGCTGTGAACGATCGAGTCGACGTCGCTAGGCGAGATGTGCTTCCAGCCGCCGGCCGACTGCGCCATGTCGTGCAGGTGGCCGAGCATCACAGAGGCCCGCACCACCTCGTAGCTGCCTGGTCCCAGAGGCGAGCGCTCGACGTCGGCCAGCGCGTCCTTCATCGTCTGGAAGGCCGTGCGGTCGAGGGCATGGCGGCCGGTGACGACGTGAGGCGTGCCGAAGCCGGCAGAGTGCCAGCGGTCCATGGTAAACATGACGACCCTGCGCCGCAGCTGGCGTGCGGATCCGTCGCCGGCGTCGAGCTTGGTGACGGCGGCGGCGAGCGCACTCTTGTTGGGCTGGCCGTGACGGAGGAGGTCGAGCTGGCACAGCATCAGCAGATCGGCCTCCTGCGCCGCTACGTCGGCAGCCAGCTTCCGCATGCTCTTGAGCCTGTCGTTGTCGAGCCTGCCCGTGCGCTGAGACGAGAACAGGTCGCCACTGGCCGAGGCCAGGCCGGCAGACGCCTGTCCAATGATTTGCGCCAGGCGAGAGGAATGAGGCTTGTTCTTGATCCGTTCCAGCCCCTTTTCTGGCACGCGCGTGTGGTCCGCTTCGGAGCCGGTAGCCGAAGGGCTCGTGGGCGGGGGCTCAAGAGCCTCGGCCAAGATCTTGTGGCCCCGCGACAGCATCCTGCTCTCAAGAGGCGGTGTGCTGCTCTCTCCAGCGGCGTAGCAGACGACCGGAAAAGTGGCATGCAGCGTCGACTGCATAATGGCGTCCTTGGCCGACCGCTGTGGGGGTGGCGCGGCAAGCGCAGGTAGCTGGGCTGGACGGCGTTGACGTCGCTCTTTCTGTTGGCTGGGACTCCGTGACTGTTCCGGCGCTTCTGCGCGGGACGCAAGCCCCTCGGCAGGATGGGGGGTCGGAGACGTGCAGGCATGTTGATGTGCCGCAGACGCTGGCGACGCTTTCTGATCGTCATGAGCTTCGCGGTCGGGCATGGGCGAAGCAGATGTCCAGCGTGAGGAGGACCGGTCGGTCGGGTCCAGATCGTTTGACTCTGATTCGGTCGCCGCCATCAGCGCCTCGCAAGGGGGTGGTGGCGTGCGCTCCGCCGCCTTCTCCCCGCTATTGAGGACCTTCTCGAGCCGGACGATGCGATCCTCTGTGCGTACCTTGGGCTTCGCCGCGGCCGTGTCCGAGGGCGCTCCGACAGCTGACGCCGCGCCATCTGGAGCGACCATCTGGGACTCGAGCGAGTTGAGGCGCCTCTCGAGGTCCTTGATGTAGCCTTTACTGGGCCCGCGCTTCAGGGGACGCTTGCTGTACGAGCAGGTGATGCCGCTACGGCGGCAGTTCATGCACGGCTGCAGGATCAGCATGTCGCCCTGCGGTTCCTGGTGCGGCTCAATCGGAGGAACGAGGCCGGCGATGGTGGCTGGGTGACCCGCCTCTCCAGGGAAGGCTCCGACGACGTCGCAGCGGGTCTTGCGCCTTCGGCACTCGTCGCAGGCGCGCGAAATGCGCAGGCGCTTGCGCTGCTGCTGATGCTGGTGCTGCATGTACTGCGGCAAGTGGGACGGGTGCGGGGGCTGCTGCGGGGGCTGCGGGGGCTGCGGGTGTGCGAAGGCCATCGCATGCGCAACACGGGCATCAAAGGGTGCTGGACCCAGCATCGGAAGCGGACCGCGAGCCGGTGCCGGCATGGCGACTGCGGCGCGGACATCGCCTCTAGCCTCGGTCGCCCGCGAAACGGCAATGGCATGGTACGGGTTGATCGAATCGGGCCCCCTGCTCAGGGGATGTGGCGAGCCGTGGACGGTGCCTCTCTGGCGCTCGCGCGAATGGTCGTGCGGCCGCTGTCCTTCGTCGCTGGGCGACCTGCTGAAGCGAGAAGGGGATACGTGATAGGCGGAGGGCGTGGGCGCAGACGCAGACGCAGGCGAGCCGTGTTGGGCCTGCGGCAGCTCGCCGGGGGAGCGCATAGGCTGCAAGGACCCTGGCGAGGGGTACAGTTGCTCGTACGACCGTTCCGAGTGGTAGCTCTTGGTCCGAGCGTGCTTACGATAGGGGTCGTGTGCAGCATGATCGCTGTAGGAGCCATCGCGGGGACCGGCGCCGTAGTAGATGTCCGCAGGTGGCATCGTCGGGCTAGACTCGTTGGGGCGTCTGGACGCCGAGCCCATATTGCGTTCATGCGGAGGTGGCGCTGCGTATGCGGCTGGAGAAGCGTCGGGAGCGGGTCGCTTGACGCCACTCCGCTGCTGCGTTGCTATGCTCGAGCCTGCCGCAACCTCTGCCTGTCCATACGAGGGTGTCTTGGCGAAGTCTGGTCGGAGCAAAAGGCGAATCGGTCATCGTTAGCTGCAATGTTCGTGACGGCAAACGCCGTTTGGCGGCTCGGCAGTGCAAGGTCCGTGTCGACTCACCAGGTGATCTGCCACGCGCAGTCGAGGGTCGACCTCGGTGGTCTTCGAGCCGACCAAGAGGTGGAGCGGTGCGGCCCCAATGACCTTGCATGGAAGACGAGGCGTGCTCGTAGTGCTGTGGCGGTGACCTCGGGCGGTCGAGGGTCATCACGGGGAGGTCGCGATTTCGGGGCTCCGAAGGTGATGCCAGGCGAAGGAGGCTGGCGGGGGGCGGGAGCCGGAGCGAATCGCGCGGAGATGCTGGGTACCGTGTAGCCATGGTCTGCTTGACGTGACGGTGTCTTTGTGCGCAGTGGAAGAAGCCTGTGCCTTCACAGTCGGACGATCGATGGAGAAGGGGGGCGAAGTGAGCCGGGGACGGTGGGTCGGCGAGGCGATGTATATGTAGACGTCCAAACGCTTGTCCAGGGTCAGATGCGACGGCGGCCGATGTGGGAAGAGCTCGTGGGTGAAGGGGACGGACCGGCGGCAAAGAGATGCAGGTGCGGAAGCAACGCGGATGGTCGCGCGCACGTTTTGTTGCAGCGTCGGGGTAGGAGGTCGGAAGGCCAAAGGTTTCCAGGCAGCAGCAGCGATGACGAGAGCCGACCGGCGATGTAGTGGGGATGAGGCCGGCAGCCGAGACTGTGTCGGAGCAGTGGGGGTTGGCCTGTCGAGTGCCGTCCCGTTGCGCTGCCCGGGCAACCTGCTGCTGTGACACGGAGGAGCGGCTCTCCAACGCCGCTCTGAGGAGGGTATGCTGCGAGGGGGTTAGGCCGAGCGGGAGCGGCGGCCAAGTGGTCCGGGTATGGAGGCCGCGGTGGAAGGCGATTACTGCCGAAAGACGGCAGTCGCAGAGCGAATCCACCGACGCGGACTGCGTTCAACAACCGTGTTCTGGCGCTTCGACCGGTCAGGGTTGGATAGGGCGAGGTTGTGTGGGGCGTGGTTGGTATCCCGAGGTCGATGGTGGGGTCCAGGTTCGGCAGCTCTTTCGGGCCGGTGTCGGTCTTGTGGCACCGAGGGAAGCGTGACGGTGCGCCGATGGAGGCTCGCGATGGCGAAGTCGACGTGGGTTGCGCGGATCTGCTAGCGCAGCTGACTGGTGGTGGTGGTGGTGGTGAGGCAGATGGTCCGATGCGCGCGATACGTACACTCAGAGATGGGGGTCCGTGAAGGGGTTGTACGGGGCGAGTAGAGGGGGTTGGTGGGGGCGGATATGTATAAAAGGGGCAGGCCGATGGCGCGACGTCCAGAATAGGGTTGCTGGAGAGAGGCGCTAGACGTCTGAGGGACGGGGCAAGGACGGAGAGGTGGTGGTGACGAGGGTGGGTTGACGATCGAGGGCAACAGGCGGCGAGAAGTGGGTCGTTGATGAAGCAGCAGCTTCGGTGGGAAGTGCAGGCCGGGGTTGCGGTGGGTAGGAGAGGGGCAAAGGCCAGCCAGGCAGAATAAGACTCTGGATTCTGAAGAGCCTCGCGAGGGAGAGCGGGAGCAGCCCGGCAGGCACGCCCACACGCGCCAAAATCCAGGGCCTCTCACTATCTATACCTGGCGGCCCCTGCCTCGCCACTCTCGGAGACAGCCCCAGCATGGACAAGGGGCGGGGCATGACCCAAGAGTCTCAGAGCGTAGCGGAACGCCCGGAAGGCGGTGGCTTCCGAGACGGTTGGCAGCTACGGCATCATCGACTCGATCCGAGATTCTCGCAATAATCATACGTCTTTTTTCTTAGCTTGGCTCCTCCGGCCCCTGCGGTTCGACCGGGGAGCGGCAGCTTTCTCGCCTCGACGGGCGACGACAGAACCTGTTGGCGAGGCGAGCTCAGCCCCCAAGCTCCTCCATGAGAGCACTTCGATACGGGCGCGTCGCCGCTCACAACTACAGCCTACATACATCCGTGACACTGCTTCCGAGGCGACCTTTTTGCGGCCTGGCTGCCTGCCTGTCGCTGATTGTCTCGCTGCGGTTTCCATCTCACCTTTGCTTCCTCTTGCCATGTTTGGCGTCAGCGGGCGACGCAACCCGAAGCAAGGCCGGGGCGTGGGGCGGCGGCGGTTCGCCGCTTGATTGGCTGCCCCGTCTCCGTTTCGCCCTCGCAACTGCAGCGGCAGGCCTGGCTGCCCAGCGCGTTTTACGTACAACCGGAGCGGGGGTTGGCTCGGTTGAGGGGGTCGCAGGTGTATGTACGTAGTACATTCGAGCGGCGCCGAAGATTTGGGCCTTTTGCGTGCGCGCGCTCTTAGCTTGCCCTTGCTTCTTCGGGCTCGCCGTCACAGCCGCCAGGAAGCGAAGGGGAAAGGTGACGGCAGCCGCGGCGCTGAAGATGCTTGCCTTTGGTGGCAGCACACGCCGAGGGCAACACCCGCCTTCTCGTAGAGCCCCAATTTCCATGCCGAACATCCGCGGTCTCTCAAGGCTGCGGTCGTCAGCATGTATCCGACGCTCCTCCAGATTCCCTGGTACCGGTGCAGCGCAGCCGTCGAGGTGTTTGTGCAAGAGTAGTGGTAGGTGGCCGGATGGGCTGGACGCAGGCGGGCGTCGAAGGGCTCGGGTAGGTACCGAAGCAGTGGCCCACCCCGTCTCGGATGAGGCGAGGAAGCGATGCGCGCCAGAGACATGGCCTGGCCCCTCAAACCCCCCCTCGGCGTGAAGTGCCATGCATGCTACTCTCGGACTAGGGGTTGAGAGCACTGGAGATCGAGGTACCTGTCGCCACACACAGGTAGGCAGTTACCATATCAGAGACGTACGTGCGCGCGGCGTGTATGTACGTTCGGATGGTCGGCCAGACGGCGGTCGCTGGCTCTTCGGGCCAGCGTGTGTACCCGAGGGAACGAGCGCCTCGCTTCGCCACCAGGCAGCCGGGCATCGACGATCATCGGCACAGATACTCCGGCCACCCGTACGTATATCTCGAGGTGTCTCCTGCTACGGTAGTAGGCCAGCCTACTTAACTTCTGCTCTGCCCTAGCCTAGCCTGTCTGGACGCGCGAGCCGGACGGCGGAAGTCAGCCGACTGCAGTGCCGGCAGGGGTCCCGAACCATGCATGCACCATATGCATGCTGCGGCTGAACACGGCTCGCCTGCGGCCAAAACCGACTCGACTAGCCTATAGGTCGGTGCGGACGCGATGGGCTCAGCCCTACGCATCAGCGTGGGACTCGGGCCGTGTGAAGCGTAGATGGCCTTGACGAGATCAATCCCGCCCTCGAGGTGGTATCGGCACGGTATGCAAGGTCCATACAAACCGCCGCCATCGTGTGTGACTCTCTGACACCAAGACTCCACGTTCGACGGTAGGGGCCAGCCGGTAGCGGGGAGCATTACGCGCGCTCGTCGAGCGACGTCGAGCACATCCGAGAACAAGCAAGCCAAGGAGAGCTCCAACTCGCCGTGCCTTTGCATCGTCGTCTTTCACCGCTTGGACTGAGTTGCGCCCGGTGGCGGCGATGGTCAGCAGGGGCTCAGTGTCGGCGAGTCACAACGCTACCGCGCACACGTGGCCTCTATGACCGCCCTAAGTTGCCTGCCTGCTTGTCCTCGCAACACCCGCGGAGATACGAAGGGGCAGTAGTAGTAGTGTACCAATGTCTGTGGGCGCGCCTCGGGCCGCACCTTTGGCCGCTGCGATGAGCTCGGAGCTGGCACCCGCGTCGCATCGCCGTCGTCAGCCTGCTTGTGAGACGACTCAAGACGATGACCGCCTCGCCAGGCTACCGCGGTGCTGACCATGGCGGTTATGGGAACGCGCCTCTCTTTTCCGTCGCCCAAAGACACGTACACGCGCACATGCATGCACGTAACAGCCATGCATGATGCCGAGCGCTTCTTCCTGCTGGCCGTGCGTGTGCGGGCCGATGCGAGATGCCCCTCGCTCGTCAAGCAGGCAGGCAGCCAGGCCGATCTAAGCTCGTGCGTCCGCACCCCACACGCCCTCGCTGCGCGCGCCACGAGGAAATGCTGCAGATGCGCGGTATCCTGTCAACAGCGCCGCGCGGGTTGTCGTTCCGTCGTCCCGTCGTACCTGTATGTAGCGGCGGCAATACGGTAAGGTGGGTAGCCACGAGCGGTCTGCTTGCGTAACACGTACACACCCACGGCTGCAAAACGTGGTGTGGCCGGCCAACTGATAAGACTTTGGCTCGCCGTTGTGAAGGCCGAGTGAAACGACAACGGAACGAGTCTACAGCGGCTGGTGTCCAATATCGGCCGCAAAGTGTTCTTGTCTGTGGTGAGAGGGGTGGCCAAACGCAGTCGGGCTGGGCTCAATCACCGCGTTTTCATGACCGGGGGGCCCTTCTCGTATGATCGTAAGCACCAGTGGTGAGCCGCAACGATGATCATCGCTAGCTCGAAATACCGGGAGCGCATGGGGCTAGACGAACCGTCGAACTTCTTTACGCCTTCGGTAGGGAAGGATCGCGACGCCGGGCACCTCTGTTGCCGCCCTCGGCATCATTGCGCGATTCCAAGGTCAGCAGCGGCACTGACCGGTGCGTACGAACACTGCCGCTGCAAAGCGATCCGAACGGCGAGCTGTGCAGCAGGTGGGGTCCCCGACCTAAATATAATGGTTTCCCGTTCCCGTGCGCCCCGCATGCTTCGCGACGATGTCTCGCCAGACCACCTCGTTGGTGTGGCGTACCCTCCTTTACGGGAAAACGTCGGGGTTCGACTCTAGATTGATCGCTCGTCAGCTGGGGTGGTCGATCTGACAGGTCAATAGGCCGAGCGAGTTCACAGGGCCGCTTTCCCGACAGCGCCGCTTTCCCGACAGCGCCATGCCCGCGGCCATGTCTACGAGGACAAGGAAGAACGTGAAGACGCATTATCGAGACTTCCGAACCACTGGACCTGAACTAGACTCAGCTGGTAGACTCATTTGCTTGGATCAGCGTGCGCTGCACGTCGTTCTCGCTACTCCCACTGGTGCCGCTGTCCGCTGCGGCACCGTGAAAGAGAAATCTGCAAACAGTCGACCCAGCGAGGCGATACCGGCGTGTCCTTTGGCGGGCTCGCCACCCTTGCCCTTTGGAATCCCCGCAGAACCACCTTCGCAGACACCTTTTTGGCGACCCACCGCGGCGTTGGGCGTGAAGTCGCCAGCGCCGTCGGCACGCTAGCACGGTTTCCAGGGCAAGCCTTGTCTCGCCTTGCAGGCCACATGAACAGTCCTCCGAGCGCGTGAAAAAGTCGAAAAAAAGGAGGAGCAAATTGCCTTGCGCGAAATTGCAAAAGCTCACGGTGGGGATCGAACCCACAATCTTACCTTGTACCCAAGATCCCTGCTGTCAGGCACCTTGAATAGGAGAGGTACGCCGTGCCATTTGGCCACGCGAGCTTCCATGGACGCAATGGCCGAATGGTAAATATATAAAGAATGTTGAACTGCTGGCGTCCCACCCTCTATCAGACGAATCCAGATTACCCACGCAGAGCCCAACTCTCCTCGTCGTAACCCTCGACGACCTCGGGATCCTTCTGTTTAGCGGTGGTCGAGAGTGGGCAGACAGATGTAAGCGTAAGAAAGAGGACAGTGTCCGACGGGCCCAGCTCTGGGGGGACCCACCTTGTACTTGTCCTGGAACTCCGAGAAGCCGCCGCGCAGGACGAGGACCTGTTGCTGGTTGGCGCCGTCGGTCTGGGCGGGGAGCTTGCCCTGCTCGATGGCCTCGGTCCTGGCCTTGGCGTAGTTGCCTGCCGCTTTCGGGCCTCTGCAGGGTGGCGGGAAGGGGAGGCTCGGTAGGGGTCAGGACACCGGGAGCGCGCCCGAGAGGAAAAATCAGCAGAGAGTTGCAGCCAACTCACCGCTGCTGGGAGAGGTGGCAGTGGAAGACGACTTGCTTGTCTGTAGAGCGCAGGGAAAGGGCATGGTCCAGGACTGAGCCGCTGGAAGTTGCGATGTGCGTTCACGTACGCCAGCACTCACACTCCTTCAATGGACCGAGCACGAGGTCGCCGATCGAGTCGGCGATCTTGGTCGAGGGGACGTTGTGTGCGCCGACAATGTTTCCGCCCTCGAAGTCGTCGTCTGCGCAAGGTGGAGCGAAAGAGGATGGCGAGAGGAGACGGGAAGGTTGTCAGCGAGCGGCTGGGCCGGCGTGGAGAAGGACGCGATGCCGGCGAGACGGTTGCGACCCTCACCCCTTACGTCGACGATGGCGATCTCCTTGTTCTCGGGCTGCTTGACCTGCGCGCGGACCTTTTCGGCGAGAGCATCGCGGTCGATGTAGCGGTAGAGGGGCATGAATGACATCTTGCGTTGGAACTTGCGCTGAAGGTCAGAGAGGCGTTGCTGACGGCGATCGTCTTCGGTGGATCTAGAGGGGGTCAAGTGGCGACCAAAAGGTGCGGCGAGCGGACCTGGTGCGATCTTGCTGGTGGTGATGGAGCGGTATATCGATCTGAGCATGCCCGAGGGAGGCGATATAAGTGATGGTCGACAGCAGCGCGGAAGGCGGTCAAGGCCCCAGCGAGGCACAGACGACAGCACGCCATCGTCGCTGTCGACCTGCGAATGTGGAGGCAAGGACAACATCTTTTCTCTTTCTCGGACGAAAGCAAGCGCGCCCTCGACCACGCTCATCACAACTGCAGGGCCTGGCCCCCCCACAGGCCTGAGCGCGCCAATTCTCGTGTCCCACACTGACCTGCCCAAGCTTGGCTTGGCCAGACTACCACCACGCCGTCATCTCGTCTCCCCGCTCCCAGTCCCCCGCTCCACCCTTCAGCGCCATCTCTATCCACGCGCGCCGGCGCTCTTTCGGTCGCTCAGCATGTCCGACCGTCCGGCCACCTTTGGCAGCGGCAGCGTCCCTCCGCCCCCTGCGTCGTCGTCGCCGTCTGTGTCGCAGCAGCAGCCGGTCGCATCTAGCTCCTCGTCGCGCACACGGCGCCAGAGGCCCGTCACCTACTGCCTGCCTCCCTCCAGTTGGGCAGCCAATGTGACCGAGGACGATGCCCAGCTCTCGCTGCACAAGCTCGTCGCAGCGCAGTCCCAGCGGCAGGGCTTCGACGCCGCATCCTCGAGCGCCCTTCACGAGCTCTCGCACCTCACCGAGCGCTTCATGCTCTCCATCTTTGCGGCCGCCAGCCACGGCGCTGAGCTGGCCAACCGTGGCTCGCCCTCCGCCCGCGATCTCATCTACTCGCTCGAGACGCACGGTCTGCCCATCGCTGAGCTCCGGCACTTTGCGCGCGACCAGGAGCAGCAAGCAGCGCCGCCCAGCCAAAAGGCGCAGGGCAAGGCGAGGGCGACGTTCCCCGCGCCCACAGCCCGCAGCGTCGAAGCTGCTGCCGACCATCAGTACGGCTGGACCGACCCGACGTCGGCCTTTCTGCCCTCTGACTCGGACACGGATGAGCAGTCGGACGCCTGGTCGGTCAGCTCCGAGTCGGACGGCGGCGGCAGCAACGCCAACCGGAGGGCCGCCCTCGCCGCTCGCGTCCAGCGCAGGCAACAGAGGATCGAGCGGGCCGAGGCGAAACGGCGGCGGCGGGAACAGAGGATGGCGTCGGACCCGACGGGCTCCGGGCTCGACGTCTCTGCGCTCCAAGAGGGCGAACGGGCGTGGAAGAGGATAGCGGACCACGTCGTGCCAAAGCACCTGCCGGGACGGCCGCCGAGGCACTGCTGGGTCGAGACGGCCGCATATCCGCCCAACGCCTACTCATCGGGCGGGCCCGGCGGCTCCACCGCCAGCAACCCGCTCGTCCTGGTCAACCGCAAGCTGGCCAATGCCAGGCTCGTCGAAGCGTCACTGCGACGCCTCATCCAGAATACCGACAGCGTCGCCGCACTCGCCATGGCAGCG